GCAAGCCTGAGCAACATAGAGAATCTAAAACATTTTTTTAGGCTGAGCATGGTGGCTCATACCTGTAATCCTGGTACTTTGGGTGGCTGAGGTGGGTGGCTCACTTGAGTTCAGGATTTCGAGATCAGCCCGGCCAACATGGTGAAACCCCATCTCTACTAAAAATCCAAAAATTAGCCAGGCATGGTGGCGCACATCTGTAATCCCAGTTACTCAGGAGGGTGAGGCAGAAGAATCACTTGAACCTAGGAGGCGGAGGTTGCAGTGAGTGGAGGTTGTACCACTGCACTCTAGCCTAGGTGACAGAATGAGACTCTATCACAAAAAAACAAAACAAAACATTTTTTTAAAAGTTAGCTGGGCATGGTGGTGCACATCTGTAGTTCTAACTACTTGGGAGACTGAGAAGGATTGCTTGAGCTTTCAAGTTCAAGGCTGCTGTAAGCTATGATCATGGCACTGTTCCTCAGCCTGGGCAACAAAAGGAGACTCTGTCTTCAAAATAAATAAATAAATAAATGAATTGTAATATTGGATAAAGTTCAGCACCCATTCAGACATTAAATAGAAATGAAAGGGAACTTAGCCTGATAGATGGTACCTATCAGAAAATTACAGTAAACATCATGCATTAATGGTGAAACATTAAATGTTGTTCTGATGGAGAACAACAAAATAAGGATATCTGTTGTCTCTATTTCTATTTGTTAATGCAATAAGTAAAGAAATAGAAATGTAATGCAAGATTGGAAAGGTAAAAATAAACTGTCATTTACTGATGGTCGTGATTTTTTTTTTTTAACCTAGAAAAACCAAGAATATGGCTGTGTAAACTTAAGTTTCGAAAGGTGGTTAATTAGAAATTTTGCATTCAGAAACTCTCTAGTTTCAGCTGGGCACAGTGGCTCACACCTGTAATCCCAGCACTTTGGGAAGCCAAAATAGGTGTATCACTTGAGGTCAGGAGGCCAAGACTGGCCTGGCCACTATAGTGAAATCCCATCTCTACTGAAAACACACAAAAACATTAGCTGAGCTTGGTGGCACGTGCCTGTAGTCCCAGCTACTCCAGAGGCTGAGGCATGAGAATCACCTGAACCTGGGAGGCAGAGGTTGCAGTGAGCTGAAATTGTGCCACTGCACTCCAGTCTGGGTGACAGAGTGAGGCTCTGTTTCAAAAACAACAAAAAAACAAAACTCCGTAGTTTTCCTGTTATACAATAGAACCAGTAGACGATGCAATAGAAAAAAAATCCATTTCACAAAAGCAACAAAAACTTTCTTACCCAAGTAAGAAAAAAATCTTCAATATATAAGACTTTCGTGGGAAAATTATAAAATTTTACTGATGGAAATTAATTGCCAGTTTTTAATCAAATTGATATTACTATCAATAAATCCCACAAGGTTTCTCGTAGAACCTTATAAATATCCTAAAATGATAGAAAAGAGCACTATGTTTGATTAATGAAGACAGTGTAGAAAAAAACAACAAAGCAAAGGGGCTTAGTAGAACTGAGATCATAATAGTTAGGATAAATTTGAAAAAAACAATTTAGTCAGGGCATCTTGCTCTAGTATACATCAAGATGTAATGAACTATAGTTGTTAAGATGGTGCTGTTGCCATGGGAATATATAGATAGACCAGTGAAACATACTAGAGAACACAGAAACAAGTCAGGCCTATATATTAATAGGATGCATTGAGAAGAACACAGCATCTCCTCTGTGTTTTCCTGTTAAGGATATATAACCTGAACTTAATTATGAGTCAACACAGTCTTATCAGACAAACCCAGTTGAAAGTAATTCGATGAAGTAAGTGGCCTATAACCCTTCTAAAGTGTCTGGTTCATATACATCAACAAAAGACTGAGCCTCCAGCCTGAAAGAGATTAAAGATTGCAGTTCAGACTAGCAAATGCTAAGTGTGATTTTCAACTGGATCTATTTTCAGTAAAGGACATCCATTCATTACTGGGACAAGTAGGGAAATGGGAATGGAGTCTTAACATTGGACTATGTCATAATGTATGTTTAATATTGCCCCATAGATCAGTTAGTCTCTGTTTATTCATTTCAACTTTTTTCTTCTCTCCATGCTTCTTTGGATTGTTTTTATTGTAATGTCTTCAAACTCACTAATTGTTTACTATACAGTGTCTAATTCGTTGTTAAGCTTGTGCAGTGAAATTTTCATTTAGGTAGTTGTATTTTGCAGCTTTAGAAATCCCATTTGAGTTTTCAAAATATAATTTACATTTCTTCCTACTTAATGTTCATATTTTTCTTTAAATCTTTTAGTAGGTTTATAATAGCTGTTTTAAAGTTCTTGTCTGTTATTTCCATGATCTTTTTCATTTCTGGGTCTGTTTCTGTTTACTGTTTCCATTTTCTTTCCTGGTTATGGATCACATTTTTCTGATCTTTTGAGTCTATTAATTTTTTATTGTATGGAGGACATTGTAATGATTACATTTGGCATGTCTGGACCTTGTCCTTTTAGAGTGACAAACTTTGTTTTGGCAGTTTGTCAAGTTACTTGCAATCAGTGTGATCCTTTCAAGGCTTGTTTTATTGGTGGTGGGGTTCTTGAATAGCTTTTCCTCAGCTACTGATTTAGTCCTCCTAAGACCCAGGACTCTTCTGCAGTCTCTGCTCTATGTTCTGGATGTTCATTAAGGTCTCTACTCCACTCTGCTTGCCAGAACTCAAATTTCTCTCTGTACATTGTGAGCGTTGAGAATTGTTTAGCTTACAGCTTTCTTGTTTTTGATCTCTGCTTAGTCTTGTGGAGTTTTAGGGTATACACGCACAATTTAATATTTAGCCAAAATCTTGTTGGTTTTTTGTTTTGTTTTCAAGATAGGGTCTCACCATATTGCCCAGGCTGGTCTTGAATTCTTGGCCTCAGGCATTCCTCCTGCCTTAGCTTCCCAAAATGCTGGGATTACAGGCATGAGCCACCACATCCTGGGATTACAGGCATGAGCCACCACATCCATGCCTGTGCAAAGCCAAAGGCAATATCTTAAAGGCAGATTTTTGGAGCTCTTTGTTAGTGTAGCTTCATTTTCTCTGATATTCTTTTCTGAATGTGTCAGTTCAGCATCCATGAACTCCAGCATTATCTCCTCAAGTTCAACAAGACTTGGGCTACCGTACATTTTCCTATACCTCATTCTGGAAAGCACCTCAATGCCTTACTAGAGAGAATCCAGTCTTGCATTACCTGCTGTTCAAAGTCAGAAAACAGTGTTTTCATGCTTTGTCCAGTTTTCTAGTTTTTTTTTTTATGGTGAGAAGGCATCTTCCTCATTTTTGTAATAGCTACTTCTTCCTACTTATTAATAGCTTAGTTTGATTGCATTATTTTCTCAACTAGTCCCTTGAACAATCTCAGTGTAAATGGTTGAATTGATCCAAGGTTGGGGATTAAGAATGTGGGGGTGTGGTCAAAGGACAAAAGATCAAGATATTGGGAGTGGTGGCAAGCAAATAGTTGAAGAAGTGGTTCTCAGTATGGATGGAGGATCCTTTTGAGGGAAGTTAGTAGTGGGAAGATCCATAGGGTCTTCCCACTACTAACTACATGTGAGGATGAAATGTCTTCATATACTTGAACCAAAATACTAAACAATGGATTAAATGAAGCAAAGTTAAGAATCTGTTTTGTAAAAGTTAAACTACACATTAAAGAGATATGCAGAAATAGTAAAACAATACCACTCAGTTTTCTAAGTTTTGTTTGTTTTTTGTTAGCCTGTAATGGTTTTATTATTTTGTTACAGTGAGTTAATAAATAAATAACTTTGAAATTTTCTGTATTTATTTATTTATTTATTTATTTGAGACAGATTCTCGCTCTGTACCCCAGACTGGAGTGCAGTGGTTTGATCTTGGCTGACTCCAACCTCCGCCTCCTGGGTTCCAGCGTTTCTCCTGCCTCAGCCTCACAAGTAGCTGTGGCAGGGACTACAGGTGCCTGCCACCACACCCAGCTGATTTTTGTATTTTTAGTAGAGACGGGGTTTCATCATGTTGGCCAGGATGGTCTTGAACTCCTGACCTCAGGTGATCCACCCACTTCAGCCTCCCAAAGTTCTAGGATTACAGGCATGAGCCACCATGCCCTGCCTCCATCTTTATTTCTAACACAGTAAATATTAAATATAGCCCACACATCAAAAATTGTTTGGAGTTATCAATTAAGATTACAAAGGGGTCTTGAGACTTAAAAGTTTGAGAATTGCTGAAATAAAGCACCATAGAGTCTAATCTGTTTAGGGAAGGAACTGAAGGGATTAGGAGTGTAATGGACTGTGTAAGAAGAAAACAGATTAAAGAATGAGGTATTTCTGTTGAGTTTGTATTTTTGATGGTGTCAATTTCTTGACTTTTCTCCATCCTTGTGTGGAGGTGCCACAATTTCCCATTCTTAACCAGGGATGGCTTGACTATTTTTCTTCTGCATTTTCTGCTGCCTCAGGATTATTGAGCCCTTAGCAGTCATTGAATCTGTAACTTTACCAAGATAAAAATACTAACCTGTGTCATCCACTTTATTTTTGAATTTCTCTGGGACATTGCCTTTTCAAATATAATCCCTACTACCCAGTGAGGAGAAATAACATTTATTGGTTATTAGCCCATATTTTAAATGGATTTATTTTGTGTGATAGAACTATATATTCAAAGGAAATAGGAAGTTATTCATCCCAGGAATGTGGAGTGGCTAAATGAGAATGAAAGGCAATATCTGACTTATGTTTGAAATGAATTATGTTCTTGCTTTAGGAGTATCAGTTGCATTTATATTAATTAGAAGCATGGAATGCATGTCAAAGTAATAATCTGCCCTTTTGGACCATCTCTGTTAATGAAGATGAGCACACAATTTATTTAAGTAAAAAAGTATTATATGATTAATTTTGGTTATGTATAGGTTGATAATAGTGTTTTATGTAATTTTAAAGTATTTTTTTTAATTTCTTACAGTAATCCTAAATTGGAGAGTCAGAGAGTAAACAAAAAAGTCAATAATGATGCCTCCCTTAGAATGCATAATCTATCCATTTTGGTGAGACAGATAAAATTTTACTACCAGGTAAGTGCCCTTTTTAAAAATCTGGGGTTTTAATACTACTTACATTTTTGTATTATTTAGTATCAATCATCTAACAAATATTTAAGTGTTTATTGTATGCCAGATTCTGGTCTATTTGCTAATGTTAGAGTAGAAAATAAGATAGTTTATTTCTTATGAACGTTAAGGGCTTAAGTAAGCACTTAATAATTTTCTAATATTACAAATTATTACTGTATTTTATCTGTTTTAAAAATCAGTTCCCAGTTTCCTGAGAACTTGCATAGTGTAATATTTTGTTGTTAGCTTTCTTGAATTGTGCCTTTGAAAAGTGTATTTCCGTTTTTTGTAAATATCTAAATTGGATGCATATTTTAGTTTTTAAATATGAACATTGTTGAGGCTTTCAGTATACCTCTAAGAATTGCTATATCTGCATTGCATAAAGTTTGGTATGATATGTTTTAAAAGATGATTATTTCTGTGCATTTTCTTATTTCTGCTATGATTTATTTCACTTATAAGTTACTTAAAAGTATGCTTTTAAATTTTTGAACATGGTATTTTTCAGGTAACCTTTTGGTGGTTTTCTTTTGGTCAAAGAATGTGGTTTGTATTATACTGATTGTTTGATATTTGTTAAGAATTACTTAGCTTGGTCTAGTATGTTGTCAGTTTTCTTTAAAGTTCTGTGTGTGCTTGGAAAAGATACGTATTCTCCAATTGTTTGGGTGCAGAATGATAGCAACCTTGTTTGTTAATTGTTTTGTTCAAATCTTTTATAGGCTTATTGATTTGTCTTTTGAGCCATTAGTTACTGAGAAAGAGGGGTTGAACTATGCCATATAATGATGAATTTATCAAATTTTATTTTATAGACTTTGAAACTGTTACTAGGTGCAAATGAATTTAAAATTGTTTGTAATCCCAGCACTTTGGGAGGCCAAGGCAAGTATATCATGAGGTCAAGAGATCGAGACCATCCTGGCCAACATGGTGAAACCCCATCTCTACTAAAAATACAAAAATTAGCTGGGCGTGGTGGCACATGCCTATAGCCCGAGTACTCAGGAGGCTGAGGCAGGTGAATCGCTTGAACCTGGGAGGAAGAGATTGCAGTGAGCTAAGATTGCACCTCTGTACTCCAGCCTGGTAACAGCGCAGGACTCCGTCCTACCCCTCCCCTCAAAAAAGTTGTTAAATCTTTCTGAAGAATTTGATTATTTATCAATAATTGTTTCTTTTCCTATTTTTTTTTTCTTTTTCTTTTTTTGAGATGGAGCCCAGGCTGGATTGCAATAGTGTGATCTCATCTCACTGCAACCTTCACCTCCTGGGTTCAAGTGATTCTCCTGCCTCAGACTCCTGAGTAGCTGGGACTATATGCACGCACCACCATACCCAACTAATTTTTATGTTTTCAGTAGAAATGGGGTTTCACCATGTTGGTCAGGCTAGTCTCAAATTCCTGACCTCCCTTAGCCTCCCAAAGTGCTGAGATTATGGGCATGAGCCACCGTGCCCCGTCTATCAATAATTATTCCTACATGTTTTTCCTTTCTACTGGCTTAAAATTTTTTCACTCCTCCTATTTTTACAGAGGTGACTTTTGAAATTATACATTTTATACTGAAACATAGGAAAGGCCAAAATATCTTTACCCTTTTATGGAATAGTGCTATGACTTTAGAATGTTTTAATTCCGGTCATTCTCTTTTATGACTTTTAAGCTCTTCTTGTCTTGTGTTTTAGGGCTTTTTCTTTACAAATTAAATATTGAGAAGTACTGTCAAATAAAAAACACTTTCTCTATTATTATTATTATTTTGAGATGGAGTCTTGCTCTGTTGGCCAGGCTGGAGGCAGTGGCACAATCTTAGCTCACTGTAACTTCCGTCTCCTGGGTTCCACCAATTCTTCTGCCTCAGCCTGCTGAGTAGCTGGGATTACAGGTGCCCACTACCACACCTGGCTAATTTTTTTTTATTTTTAGTAGAGGCTGGGTTTCACCATGTTGGCCAGGCCAGTTCTGAACTCCTAACCTGGTATATCTACCCGCCTCAGCCTCCCAAAGTGCTGGGATTACAAGTGTGAGCCACTGTGCCCAGCCCTGTTTCTTTAGATCAAGCTGCATGTTTTTCTTTGAGACTATTTGTCTGAAAATGCTTTTATTTCACTCTTGTTTTTGAAAGATAGTTTTTTGTTTGTTTATTTTAAAAATAGAGATAGAAGGCTGGGTGCAGTGGCTCACACCTGTAATCCCAGTACTTTGGGAGGCCAAGGCAGACAGATATAAATTAAAAAATTAAATAAATAAAATAGAGACAGAGTCTCACTATGTTGCCCAGGCTGGTCTTGAACCTGGGATTACAGGCATGAGCCACCATGTCCAACTAACATGTCTTTTTTCTCTGCAAGCTGCTTTTAGTATTTACTCTTCTAATATTATCTCTTTTCTATTCTACTAATCCTATATAGTTCACATATTTCTACTGATATATATTAGACTTTGTTGCTCTATTTCTTGTGCATTAAACTTTTATTTATTAAGCTTGTACTGCATTCCAAGTCTTGTGTTCAGAACTCTCTGGTTTACTAATTTGCTCCTTATTTGTGTCAAATCTTCTGTTTAACACGTTGATGATATCTTTCATTTCTGGAAGTTTTATTTGGTTCTTTTTACATTGCCTTTTCATTTTGTTCATTAATCATTTTCTTAACTGTTTCCTTTATTTCTTCAGATATTTAAATTTTCTCTATTTTAGATTTCCTATCTGATAATTCAAAAATCTGAAATATGTGCAGATCTGAATCTGTTCTTTATTTTCTGCTTGTTGTTTCTTGTGGTGGTGATAGTAGTGGTGGCCGTGGTGGGGGTGGCAGTGATGTGTGTGTTTTCATTGTGAGCTCATTTTTTGGGTCAGGACTCGGTGGGAATTCTTTGTGTTCAAGTCATGGATTTGTTTCCTTTTGTGCAACCAACCCTGAACCACCTTTATTTTAAGCCAAGTTTGGCCGGGTGCAGTGGCTCATGCCTGTAATTCCAGCACTTTGGGAGGCCAAGATGGGTGGATCACTTGAGGTCTGGAGTTCCAAACCAGCCTGGCCAACATGGTGAAACCCTGCCTCTACTAAAAATACAAAAATGAAATGAGCTGGGTATGGTGGTGCATGCCTGTAGTCCCAGCAACTTGGGAGGCTGAGGCACAAGAATTGCTTGAATCTGGGAGGTAGAAGGTACAGTGAGCAGAGAATATGCAACTACACTTCAGCCTGAGTGACAGAGCTAGACTCTGTCTAAAAATATATATATATTTAAGCAAGTTTATATGAAATATGTATGTATATATATATATTTTTTTTTAAGCAAGTTTATATAGAAGCAATATTGTTGAGTGTAGAAAATTAGAAAAAAGATAATATAGATATAGTTTCAGTGCCAGGAAATTACTACTGTTATCACCCAAATATATATACTTCTGGATTTTTTTTCTTTTTTGAGACAGAGTCTCACTTTGTCACCCAGGCTGGAGTGCAGTGGTGCAATCTCAGCTCACTGCAACCTCTGCCTTCACCTGGATTTTGTTTTTCTTTATGCATTTATAAATTACATATTTATTTGTTTACATTTTTTGATTGATTGATTGAAACAAGGTCTTACTTTGTTGCCTAGGCTAAGATGCAGTGGTGCAGTCATAGCTCATCATAGCCCAAGACTTTCTAGGCTCAGGCGGCCATCCCACCTCAGGCTCTCAAGTAGCTGGGACTACATATGTGTGTCACTATGCTGTATTTATTTATTTTTTGAGATGGGGGTCTGGTATTGTTGCCCCTGCTGGAGTGCAGTAATACAGTCATAGCTCATAGCTCACTGCAGTCTTGAACACAATTATGTTCACACCAACCAATATTTTAAATTGTCTTTGGAAATGGATCAGACATTTTATATATATAGTTAATTGGCTTACTGAAATAATTTTTTATTCTCTTTATATTAGAGAGGGTCTGGTTTAATATATGACACATTGCAAGTTAATATGTCCAAATCAATGGCGTTCTCATCAGCGCTTATATTACCTTGTCTTAGAAAATTCAGATTTTTGGGGAAAGTCTGTATAGAACTGTTAAATTTTTTTGTATGTCATATGCCCCTGAGAAGATGTAGTTAAGGCAAAATATTTTAGTACTTTTTTTTTTTCTTTAAGACAATGTCTCACTCTGTTACCCAGGCTGGAGTGCAGTAGCGCTATCTTGACTCCCTAAAACCTCTGCATGCTGGGTTCAAGTGATTCTTCTGCCTCCGGCTTCTGAGTAGCTGGGATTACTGGCACCCGCCACCAAACCTGGCTAATTTTTTTGTATTTTTAGTAGAGATGGGGTTTCGCCATGTTGGCCAGGCTGCTCTCGAACTCCTCAACATAGATGATCCTCCCACCTCAGCCTCCCAAAATGCTGGGATTATAGGTGTGAGCCACTGCGCCTGGCCATTTTTGTACATTTTGATTGTTCTGACTCATAAAGGGGAAGGTGAATTTGGATAAGTTAAAATTCAAAAGTGTGTCTTTCAAAAACAGTTTTTTATAGGTTGGTAGGCATCAAGGTCATCTTGTAAAGATGATTCCCAGGGAGAAAAGCAAATTGACAGAATACCCTCAAATGATTGTTGGGGGAGGATTATTTCATTTTGTCTTTTCAGTAATTATAGGTGAATTTAAAGGTCAGTATGCTTTTTTTTTTTCAGTTTTATGATTTAGAATATGTAAAAGCTCAATACAAATTCTAATTCTGTTCACATTGTCCCTCTCCCATTTCTTGAATGCCAAACATTCTACCTGGTACTGGGGCTGTATTGGTACAACATAGGACATACCATGTCCCTATTTTCATGGAACTATGGTACTAGTAAAGGAATAATAGGCAAGTAAAGAAACTAAATAATTTCTATTGTGATAAGTAATATAAGACCAATGAAGTAGTAATATGAAAGGTCATGAGAGAGATAAGTGATAACAGTAGATTATCAGAAAGTTTATCAAACATATACTTCATTATGGTTAAGTGGCAGTTCAGACCTTTTCAAATAATCACTTTATCCATAGCAAAAAAGAAAAAATATATCTGGCTGGGCAAGGTGGCCTATGCCTGTAATCCCAGCACTTTGGGAGGCAGAGGCAGGAGATTGTTTGAGTCCAGTTCAAGACTGACTTGGGCAACATAGTGAGACCTTGTCTCTACAAAAAATAAAAAATAAAAACAAATGAGGCAGGTGGATCGCTTGAGCCTGGGAGGTTGAGGCTGCAATGGGCAATGATTTTACCAATGCACTCCCGCCTAGGTGACTAGAATAAGACCCTGTCTCAAAAAAAAAAAAAAAAAAAAAAAAAAGCTGCAATGACAGTCCTTAAAATTTTGCTTCAAGGCAAGGAAACTAAAAATTTAAATGAAGTGGTCAGGCACAGTGGCTCATGCTTGTAATCCCAGGACTTTGGGAGGCTGAGGCGGGTGGATCACAAGGTTAAGAGTTCAAGACTCTCCTGGCTAAGTTGGTGAAACCCTGTCTCTACTAAAAATACCAAAAAAAAAAAGAAAAATTAGCTGGACATGGTGGTGGATGCCTGTAATCCCAGCTACTTGGGAGGCTGAGGCAGAGAATTGCTTGCACCTAGGAGGCAGAGGTTACAGTGAGCTGATACTGAGCCCCTGCACTCCAGCCTGGGTGACAGAGTGAGACTCTGTCTCAAAAAAAAAATTTGAAGTGGAAATTTAATCCTCTAAGTCCATTTAGCTGTTACACACATAGCTATAGCATATTCTCTCTTAAGATAACTTGCTTTTAACTGGAACACTAATTCATTAAATATCCAAACTCCATATCATTCATGGAGTAAGTGATTTTAGCAATTTTTGATATTTGTTATTCTAACATGACACATATATCAAGTAAGTACTTTTCTTTAAATACAGTCATATTTTGGCAATAGTTTTTTAAAGAGCTAATACACCAAGGAAATTTTTGAAACTTTCTTGGATGTATCTATAAAGAATTATAGATAAGAGATGAATTCTAATTAGCATCTGGTATCATGCCCCCCACTGACCATCGGTACGTGCTTTAGTGGATCTAGAATTGGAAATTTTTAAAAAGCAGTACAAGTTAATTTTTCAGTTATTTTTCAAGGTTACTTGCTTTATTATCATAGTACCAAGTTAAATAAAGGATTCAAAAAGAGTTGAATGCTTTCAAAAACTTATTCCTCAGTAACTAGTTGTATATGAACATGTCAATTTATAAAGAATCTGTCATAGTTATTCCTTAATATTGCAAAGATTCAGTAATTATCACATGGCACCTATCTATCCTGTAGTCTAATTCATCCCAGACCCTTTGCATATCATCAGTGTCAGTGGTTGAAATGACAGACACAATGTATTTCTTCATTTCTTCAGGGAAGAGGTGGTATAAACAGAAGGTGCATACTTTATGTATTACCTCAGTTGAAGAATTTGAAAGCATTCAGTTCTTTCTGAATCACCTTATACCTTCAGAATTTACATACATTCTTACCACTAAACTTTTACAGAAGTTAAACATCTATTATAGAAGAGAGAAATAATGGTTCACTGAGGAGGAACTAACTTTCATGAAATGATCATTAGACAGCATTTTTAATAAAGCAATTAGGTTTTTTAATTTTAATATCAATTAACATTTTTAAAATATAGCTCTCTCATTATATTAAAAATATGGCCAGGTGCAGTGGCTCATGCCTGTAATCCCAACACTTTGGGAGGTCGAGGTGGGTGGATCACTTGAGGTCAGGAGTTCAAGACCAGCCTGGGCAACATGGTGAAACCCTGTATCTACTAAAAATACAAAATTTAGCCAGGCATGGTGGTAGACACTTGTGGTCACAGTTACTCGGGAGGCTGAGGCAGGAGAATGGCTTGAATCTGGGAGGCGGAGGTTGCAGTGAGTTGAGATCACACCACTTCACTCCAGCCTGGGTGACAGAGTGAGACTCCACCTCAAGAAAATTTTTAAAAACTATATATATATATGTGTGTGTGTATATATATATATATGTACAGTGACAGTATTCATAAATTTGTATGATATATTTTTAGTTTCCTCAGCAAGAACTAACGAACAAAAAGCACTCATGCTCCAACTTTTATTGAGGAATGTTTCTTAATTTTGCTTGATCTTTTATTGAGGATGTTTCTTATATTTCTAGCACCTAAAACTTCAGATTTCCAAATAACAAATATTAGACCATTTTGACTTGGATGCTTTAATTTGGAGACATCTGATATTTTTAAAACTTTATTATTGTTTGTGTGTGTGTAGAGACGAAGGTCTCACTATGTTGCCCAGGCTGGTCTCAAGTGATCCTCCTACCCTGGCCTTCCAAAGTGTTAGGATTACAGGTGTGAGCCACTGCACCCAGCCTGATGTATTATTAACTTAAGCCTATCTGGTATTATAATTTAAGACCATATGTAACTTTTTTCATATGTGTTTGTTTTAATTGCAGTATAGCACACCTACAGAAGAATGTACAAATCATAAGTTACAGCTTGATGAATAATTACCTAGTTAGCATTATCCATATAACAAGTATTGGATATCTTTTCACAGGAGACTTTGCAGCAATTAATCATGATGTCGTTGCCAAATGTCTTAATCATTGGCAAAAATCCCTTTTCTGGTAAGTATTAAAATTAACAATGTGATAGTAATGTCTTATCTTTGTGTAATACTGTGGTGTTCATTTTTTACTAAGAGCTTGCTTGTTTACATTAACTCACTAGATTTTCTTACAACTGTGGAAGTTGGAGGTCATGTTCCATTTTATAGAAAGGGACAAGCTTAGGATATTTTTAAGTTGTAGGTAAGACCAGACATAAATTTTACATTAAATTCAGTGTTTTTTCTACTATACCAAACCAAATACTTTTCTGTGATGATTTTTAGTGTCTCATTATGGAGAAGTATAGAAGATGATATAGTTATAAACTTAAAGGAATATTTCCTTAGAAAAGAAATGATTTTGAAATAATTTCCAGATTTCTATTCATATAGTATCTAACATTGCCCAAATTGTTTGAATCTTAAGTTTTTCTGATTGATATATTTTATTTACTTATTTATTTTGGAGATGCAGTTTTGCTCTTGTTACCTAGGCTAGAGTGCAATGGCAGGATCTCGGCTCACTGCAACCTCCGCCTCCTAGGTTCAAGTGATTCTCCTGCCTCAGCCTCCCGAGTAGCTGGAACTGCAGGCATGGCTACCACGCCCAGCTAATTTCTGTATTTTTAGTAGAGACAGGTTTTTACCATGTTGGCCAGGCGGGTCTTGAACTACTGACCTCAGGTGATGTTCCTGCCTCAGCTTCCCAAAGTGCTGGGATTACAGGCATGAGCCACAACACCCAGTCTGATATGTTTTAGTTTATATTAAACTTCTTCTGAATGGAAAGAAAAGAGACAGTTTCCTTCTTTTTTCTGTTTTTTTTTTTTTTTTTTTTTTTTTTTTTTTGAGAGAAGAGTCTTGCTCTGTCATCCAGGCTGGAGTGCAGTGGCATGATCTCCACTCACTGCAGTCTTCCTCTCCTGGGTTCCAGCGATTCTTTTGCCTCAGCCTCCTGAGTAGCTGGGACTACAGGCACGTGCCACCACACCTGCCTAATTTTTGTATTTTTAATAGAGACGGGGTTTCGCCATATTGGCCCGGATGGTCTCGATCTCCTGACCTCGTGATCTGCCCGCCTTGGCCTCTCAAAGTGCTAGGATTACAGGTCTGAGCCACCACGCCTGGCCAAGGCAGTTTCTTAGATCATTTAATTTTTTTCTTCAAAATGTTCTGCCTTTTACCAGATTTTAAATGTGATATTTTAGAATTGTAATTTTTGAACAGTTGGGGAAATTAACAGCTACCTAACAGTTTCATCAATGGACTTATCCTTAAAGGTTATCCAAATTAAGTGTGTTTTCTTCAGCTCACACCCCCTCTCAGTCAAAACAAAACCAAATAAAAACTTAAATCAAGTAGCTATTTTTATAGAGGAAACTATTAATTAGATGGGGTGAATTAAGAGCTTAGATAGTTTTTAGAGATACCCTGGGATTCGATTATATAAATTTAAAAATGAAAAAAAAAATCTCATATAGGATGGAGTTGCTCCCTCCTACATGCATTTGGTAAATACCTACCAAGTTACAGGGACCAGGAGTGGAAATAGTCTATGTTCTGAAGGCTCTTCTGGTTTGGTGAGGGATACACAGGTTATATGGAAATCATGTAATCATGTAAAAGTTAGCATGAAGTAGAAATATGTACCAGATGTTCTGGCATATAAAATATGGAGCCATTAATTATTCTTAAAGTTGGCATATAAGTGAGGGTTGGGGACCATTGATGATTGGGTCAGGGAAGACTACACAGAGATGATAAGAACTATGCCTAGGATTGTGATTAGCAAGCAGTTCACTAGGGGGATGCGGAGGTTGGGGAAGAAGGACAGGCAGAGGCAGCAGTATTAGTCAAGGCAGAGGAGTGTGTATGTATGCATACTTGAGAGGAATAGTGATTAATGTGGCTCAGTGTAGCTAGAAAGTAGGTTGTTTTATCGAGAGTAGAAGGAAATGTCTGATAGGAAGATTGGGACTTTTTCATAGACAGATTTGCCTAGTGGTAAAAACCTGGCCCAAAGAAGTGATTTTTTTTCCCAGCTGAATATTTTAAGAAAATCTTAATTGAATGCTTTTGGATAGGGAATATTCTTTCCATTTATGTTATAGAGTGTTAGCTTTTACCTGACTTGTTATATACATTTATTTGAACAGCCTCACTGTAACAGACATTTAAGATTCTGATCTTCATGAACATGCGCAGTGGAAAATGATTTAAATTTGATAGGAAGATGAATCATAAGATCTGTGTTTTAAGTAAGAAAATGCTAATAGGCCTAAGAGGAGCCAGACCTATTAGGAGCCATTTTGGCTACCTTTGTGGCATGTCCCTATATCAGCCTGATTTGGTAGGTTCTTGATTTGTCAGTCTGGTATAGTACAATCATTTATGGAAAAGGAGTAGATTCATAGTTAGCATACTTACTGCACAGAGCCTTGAAACCTCTTTATCCACCAGCCCTTCAAAAATGATATGATATCCTTGCCCATTTCTTCTGCTGTTACCACTTTGTACATGTATAGAGCTGGTATTTTGAATTCTCCACTATATGTGCTTAGACTGAATCCTTCAGTCAAGTTACTATTCATAAATACCTCTAGACGTGATTCTCCAAATATAAGAGAGTTGGAAATACAGCAAAATGTTGTCCTTAATTAATTGTTTCTATTTTAGAACAAGGCACAGAAGAAGTTAAAAAACTGCTTTTACTTTTATTGGGTTGCGCAGTTCAGGTAAGTTAAAATACTTTTTCACATTTTCACTTTAACAACCTCTTTATATATTTTTATTAGGCTCTAGCTTCTGAAAGACTTACAGATGGACTGTTGGTTTTCAAAGTCCTTGTTAGAAAAATTTCAATAACTATATAACCTCCTAACAAGATTACATTGAAGAAAAGGACTTACTTTATTTCAGAATTTAGTTATATTATCATAGTCATATCATTTACAATATTTAATTACTCTTTTCCTTATTCTGAGGCTTATCATGACCCTAAGTTTTTTGAGTTTTTTTCCACAGTTGCCATTAGAAACCTCTCCCAAAACATCCTTATGATTTATGTGTACTTGTGTATGTTTTAGGAGAAGGGAAGGAAGAAGAGAAAGGAAGGGAGGAAGCAGAAATTTATTTAAAAGAAAAAGTAAAAAAGGAGGCACAATGTGTGAAAAGTGTTTTAGGAGTCTTGGTTATTATTATATTGCTCTTTGATCAATGACTATAATGATAGCTATGATTTGTTGAATGCTTTCTTTTTGTCAGATATTATGCCTTATGTAGATTTTCTCATAATAAAATCTACATAAAAAACTCCTTTTTTCAGGTAGGGAGTTTGGGAAGGGTAGTATTTAAGTTATTCAAATTAGGACACTTGTAAAAGTCAAAGAAGATACTGTTAATAATTATAGTGGGCTAGGCATGGTGGCTCATGCCTGTAATCCCAGCACTTTGAGAGGTTAAGGTGGGAGGATCACTTGAGGCCAGGAGTTTGAGACCAGTTTGGGCAACACAATGAAATCCCATTTCTGTTTTAAATACATATAATAATTATGGTGGAATGGCATGTGTAAACTGGGACTGTCTCAGGCAAACCAGAATGACCATTCTAAGTTTAAATTTAGGCCATATTGCTAGTAGGCCAAAGAACTGAGATTCAACTTTGGTTGGACTTCAGAATCTATTATACTGTGTTGATATTTCATTTCAGCCATTTTTGGATGAATTACTACAGTATTATTTTAAACTGTCTCACTTCTTTGTGGAATGAGGTTATAAACAAATAAATTATATGATTACTAGTAACTTTTTTTTACATACATATAACAGAAATTATATATCCCAGAGAATATTGGCTTTTAGAGCTGACTGCTTAGGAGCTATAATCTTACATAATATATGTTATTAAAAGTTCATGCTGTATAATGTACAGGTGTTTACTTGACAATTGAATAAATATTAAGTTGAATGTGGTGTTTGTAGTCTTCTAATTTGGTTTGTAGTCTTCTAACTCAGATCCTGAGTTAGAAACACAGCTCTTATTTACAGCCTTTATGTACTATATTTGCTTTTAAAAAAGTCCTGTGTTGGTGAATGTTGCATAAATTTAGATAATATAGCAACAGCATACATTTGGTTTTTATTGCTGGTTATTGCTTGGTAGTTATTGCTAGTTACTAAAATTGACAGTAGGAATGGAGCAGAACCAAGGACCTTTTTTCAAGACAGAGTCTTACTTTGTCACTTAGACAGGAGTGCAGTGGTGTGATCATGACTCTTACTGCAACCTCAACCTCCAGGATTCAAGTGATCTTCCCATTTCAGGCTCCCAAGTAGCTGGAACTGCAGGCACGTGCAACCATGCCTGGCTGTGTTTTTGTTGTTGTTGTTCTTTTAAGAAATGGGGTCTTGCCAGGCACGGTGGCTCAAGCCTGTAATCCCAGCACTTTGGGAGGCCGAGGCGGGTGGATCACGAGGTCAAGAGATCGAGACCATCCTGGCCAACATGGTGAAACCCTGTCTCTACTAAATACAAAAAAAAATTAGCTGGGCATGGTGCCACATGCCTGTAATCCCAGCTACTTGGGAGGCTGAGACAGGAGAATCGTTTGAACCCAGGAGGCGGAGGTTGCAGTGAGCAGAGAATGCGCCATTGCACTCCAAGCCTGGGCAACAAGAGCGAAACTCCGTCTCAAAAAAAAAAGAAATGGGGTCTCACTATGTTACTCAGGCTGGTCTCAAACTCTTGACCTCAAGTGATCTTCCTGCCTTGGCCTCCCAAAATACTGGGATTATAGGCATGAGCCACCCTATCTGGCCCCACAGGGTAAATTTATCTGAGAATAAAGGAAGACTAAAGACTAAGTTTTTTTTTTTTATTTTGAGATGGAGTTTGGTTCTTTATGCCCAGGTTCGAGTGCAGTGGCGTGATCTTGGCTCACTGTAACCTCTGCCTTCTGGGTTCCAGTTATTCTCCTGCCTCAGCCTCCCAAGCAGCTGAGATTACAGGCACATGCCACCACGCCTGGTTAATTTTTTATTTTTAGTAGAGACAGGGTTTCACCATGTTGGCCAGGCTGGTCTTGAACTCCTGACCTCAGGTGATCCACCCACCTTGGCCTCCTAAAGTGCTGGGATTACAGGCATAAGCCATCTTGCCAAGCCTAACTTTTTAATATTTAGAGAGAATAAGTTTTATAAACTGTAGAAAACAAACCGAAGACTCAAGGAGACTGTCATTCTAACCCATGTCAACATCATTCAAGGGTTTTGTAGAAATGAGGGATAAAAAGGTTGTCAGACCTTGGCCTTTGATTTGATATGAGCTTGTCAAGAAACTTGGAGACCATCTTTATACATATTGTATGTCCATGTAGTTATAGCAGAATTATACTCTTATTTAAGAACCCTTAAGACTTGCATCTATTGTGGTGCCAGAATGACAGATCTACCAATAAAGGAGGAAATATCAAATTTTGAAAAATGCTGGTACCATTTGATATTTTTAAAATGTTAGTGACCTAGTGTTTTTTAAATGCTTCCTATATCAGGTGCTATAGTAAAGGATAGGGACAGAGATTTTAGAAAAAAGAGAGGCAAATCTCAAGGAGTTTAAATTTTAGAGGAAAGAGAGTAAACAGTTTAAGGTGATAATTACCATAATATAATATACATTGGTACATATAAGTATTTTCTTAAGTTTGCTTGTAGTATTAAAAAAGGCCTCTGACAAGGTAATATTTGAAATAAGAGCAAAGATGTTGAGAAAACAGCTGATTCAGGGAATATAAAGTGTGATTGGGCCAGGAGCAGTGGCAGGTGGATCATTTGAGATCAGGAATTCAAGACTAGCCCGGCCACATGATGAAACGTTGTCTCTACTAAAAGAAAAATACAAAAAAATTAGCCAGGCATAGTGGCTTATGTTTGTAATCTCAGCTACACAGAAGGCTGAGGCAGGAGAATCGCTTGAACCTGGGAGATGAAGGTTGCAGTGAGCCAAGATGGCTCCACTGCACCTCACCCTGGGGGACAGGGCAAGACTTCATCTCAAAAAAAAAAAAAAAATCGTGTGATTGAAAAGTAGCATTCATGGAGAAGAATGGCAGGAGATTAGACTAGTTAGTTTACATGAATTGAGTTATGAAAGACTGGATTTGCCACTTTAAGATAGAGTTCAGATTTCAGGCTGGATGCAGTGGCTCATGCCTGTAATCCCAGCACTTGGGAGGCTGAAGCAGGTGGATTACCTGAGGTCAGGAGTTCCAGACCAGCCTGGCTAACATGGCAAAACCCTGTCTCTACTAAAATCACAAAAATTAGCCAGGTGTGATGGCGCATGCCTGTAATCCCTGCTACTTGGGAGGCTGAGGCTTGAGAATCACTTGAACCCGGGGCAGAGGTTGCAATGAGCCAAAATCGTGCCACTGCACTCCAGCCTGGGTGACAGAGCAAGATGCCATCTCAAAAAACAAACAAACAAACAAAAAACTGTCAGCTTTCAGCTGTGACTATATAAACAATTAGAAATCTTTGTTGATGCTTAATAGCCAGAATGTGCTTCAGGACAAGAAACTATTGAGGAAGCCAATCAGCCAACAAATATTGTTGGAATACTTTGTAAAATGTCCTTGCTATTACAGAAAATTTGTTCATCTTGTAGTGAAGAGATTAAAATTATAATGATTAGTATAATATATAAATAGCATGTTTCCCCACATCTATGTCAATCAATTTTATCTGTTATAATTGTTATTTGTAGGTAGAATTAGCAAGATAAAGTTGCTGACATGATTCTCGAGTTTAGGAAATCAGTGGGCCACAGGTTTCAAGAGATACTACATTCATGAAAAGAAATAGGGGCCGGGTGCAGTGGATCATGTCTGTAATTCCAGCACTATGAGAGGTCAAAGCAGGAAGATCACTTGAGCCCAGGAGTTTGAGACCAACCTGGGCAATGTAAGGAGACCGTGTCTATCAAAGAAAAAAGGCGGGGGTGGGGGGAGAGGAGAAAGAGAAACAAGCATTGGGAAATTGAAAAATATGTTCTTCTTTTGAAGAAAAAAATAAGAAATTATTGAGAGGAAGCAGCATTCAAAACCAGTAACGTTAACCACTATCCAAAGATCTTGCCTCACAGAATAAATTATAATTATGACTTTTAATCCTTGATTATACGTAAGTAAAAGCCGCAGAAATAACTTTAAATATGAAGAAAACTGTCCAGGGATAGGCTTGGGTATTTTTGTTATTGGCTGGCCAACTCAGTCAAGTTTCTCCAGAATCTTTTTCAATGGATAACACAAGCCTTCTGAACTAGTTCTGAGCATCACCTAGAATTTCAACAGATCTGGGACTCTTCATCCTAGCCCTGAAGTAGTTGAGAGAGTCTTAGGTGAAACCATCTTATGCAGAAGTAAAATCATTGCAGTGTTTTGTTTGGAAATTTTTGTCCTAAGACTATGTGAAATTCACCCCTTTTTAGCAGAACTTAAAACCTGTATAAAACCTATCAGTGCAGTCTACTTAGTATTCAGAAATATTACTTATTTTGGACTTTCACCAGGTTGGGTAGTGCTGAAAGTAACTGGGTGTTAAGTGTGGTTGGAATTAAAAATTTGATCCTTTTTTGTACCCTCAGAAGGCATCTAACATTAGTATTTGATTCTGAAACCAGTTTTGAACTAGGTCAGTTTGACAGCTACAGTCTATTATTTACTTATCAGTGATATGTAAAGCATCTTAAAAGTTAGCATTTTATAACTTTATCATATCACTTTTTAAGGAAATAAAACAATTTCTGCTGGGTTCAGTGATACACCTTTAGTCTCAGCTACTTGGGAAGATCACTTGAGGCCAGGAGTTCAAGGCTGCTGCTGTATGCTATGATCATACCTGTGAATAACCACTGTGCTCCAGCCTGGGTAATGTAGCAAGACCCAGTCTCTTTAAAAAAAAAAAAAAAAAGAAAGAAAAGAAAACAATTTCTAGCAAGACGTTTGTTTTTCTGAGTATATATAAAAATACAAATATACCTCAAGGAGGGAGACTTTTGTTGATAGAAATATTGTTTTAATATACATGATAGGAAATTTACCATTTTAACAATTTTTAAAGTACATAGTTCGCTGGTATTCTGATTGCTGTACATTCACATTGTTGTGTAAGCATTACCACCATCCATCTCCAGAACTTTTCTTACCTTCTGAAACTAAAACTCTGTATCCATTAAATAATGACTCCCTTTGTTACCAGCCGTTGGTAACTACCACTTTACTTTATGTCTCTATGAATTTGATTGCTCTAGCAACCTCATATAAATGGAGTCACACAGTATTTGTCCTTTTGATTGGCTTATTTGACTTAGCATAATGTCTTTAAGGTTCATTCATGCTATAGCATGTGTCAGAATTTCCTTCCATATTAAGACTGAATAATATTCCATTGTTTATACCAAATTTGGTTCATCCATTCATCAATGAACATTTGAGTTGCCTCCATTTTTTGGCCCTTGTAAACAATGTTGCTATGAACATGAGTGTACAAATGTCTGTTAGAATCCCTGCTTATTGCTCTTTGGTAGAACTATGGTTTGTTTAGACCTATATTACTAGTTTTCTTATTTAAAATACAATAATGTGTTTCTTGTTTTATTATTGTCTTGTTCATTAGCTTATTTTGGGTGCCATTTCCTCTGTTTTAGTATAGTTTTTCCGCATAAACTGATCTTCTTTCTTTAATATTAGAGAACAGGTACTGAAAATATGAGGAATTTGACAAATAATATATTAAGGGCTTAAGATCTCTGGTGCAAGATGTACAACTTTAGGGTTAATGCATTTCTCCCTCCTGCCCACCTCCCACACTAATCACTTTGCTTTTTTCCTGTGTCCCAGTTTCCACATCATATTCTTTTTTTCTTTTAATGAGACTGAGTCTTGCTCTGTTGCCCAGGCTAGAGTGTAGCGGTGTTATCTTGGCTCACTACACCTTCTGCCTCCTGGATTCAAGCAAATTCTCCTGCCTCAGCCTCCCAAGTAGCTGGGATTACTGGTGCTTGCTACCAACCCTGGCTAATCTTTTATATTTTTAGTAGAGATGAGGTTTTACCATGTTGGCCAGGCTGGTCTTGAACTCCTGACCTCAGGTGATCCACCTGCTTCGGCCTCCCAAAGTGCTGGAATTACAGGCATGAGCCACTGTGATCGGCTTCCATATCATATTCTTAGAATATCAGGGTACTCTACTGGCTTAGTAATCAGTTACTATAACACAATAAAGTAAAAAAATTAATTTTAGTGCCCATGATAGTTTAAGAACTTTACATAAAGATAAGAGAGCTTAATTTTAAGTGGAAAAAACAATTTGCTGATATTATTTAATCTTACACCTGGAATTAAGCTATATATCTGTTTTTAACACCAGACTTTTCTTATGCTCTAGGGCTGGGCTATTCAATCCAGTAGCCACTAGCTGAGTGTGGCTATTTAAATTTAAATTAATTTCAATTAAATTAAAATTTCAGTTTCTCAGTTACACTAGCTACATTTCAGATACTCGATAGCATATAGCTAATGGTCACTACTCGATGGCATATAGCTAATGATCACCATATTGGGCAGCTCTGATAAAGAAATTTGATCTCATTGTTCAACTTCAAAGTTTGAATCTTATATTCTATCTCTTTTGCATCTTGACAGTCTTTCTCTTTTCTAGCCTTCAAAAGCCTATAAAATTTATTCTGTATTCTTTAAGGAAGCCCAACTTGTTTATAAAATATTTGAGAATGCTTAACTTTTAAGAGTTAAATAAGGTGTGAGATTTAGTAGAAATTGTGTGTGTTACAAGGATAAAGGAAAAATTCTCATTTGTGTTGAGATTGTGCTAAAGGATGAGCTCCTAAAGATAGTACAAGTAAACAACCAGTTGCTCTGGAGCTTAGAAAGAGAAGTGTATCTATTTAGTTGAATTAAGGGACTCTTTTGGTGAGTCATAGTCATTACCTTTGATAATAATTATGCTGTTTTATGTTCTGATAGGCTCAGAAACTATGCATAGGTCAACGATTTTGGTAGTGTTAAATTTTAAAACTGATGTTACTGTACCTGAAAAGTTAATTATTTTATATATGCTATGAATTTATGATTAGAATGTAATTCTTAATTGTTCTCACAAGGCCTGTCTAGTATTATTTGCTAGACAAAATTTCTTGTGTTTAAACCCACTAATTTTTATTCCATCCACCCAAAACTCTGAATTCCTAATCACAACTAGGAATTATACATTTCAGGCAATTTAGTTTTAACCATTCGATTATTCTAACAATTCTGTGTTACAAGATATAGAACTTTCTGCTGATGGAAGCATGTTTAAATTGTATAGTAATAGAAAATAGAACATTACAATTTGATAAAACAAATATGTGAAGTATAAATCAGAGCCTTTTAAGTTTCATGATCAAAGAACCAGTTTTAAATTTTGTGACTATATTGTCCTTCCTCTAATTCAGTAATTGGCCCAGGAGATGCATCTAATTTAGACAAGGCAGTGCTGTCTATTTTGTAGGCACTTCTCATTTTTTTGGCAGTAAGAATACAGTGATACTAGCAGTCGGTTTGCAGTATTAGTGATGTAGGTGAAGGCAGAGATTAAGATACATGTTAAATTGTTAATAATGACTGGAAGGAAAAGATTGCTTTGCATTTTAATATTTGTAATTTATATAAAGCTTTTAAAAAGTTACACTATAAAGAATTATCTTCTTTATTCCTTTTTGTTATATGTGTACTTATATATATTTTTAAATTTTGCCCCTGGTAACTTTACTATATTAGAAACAAATCAAATACTTATTAGATTACCTTATAAATGTTGAACTGGGCCACAAAAGTGGGTTTCTTTTATTAAGATTGATAGGATGAAGATGTGAGAATGAATTGTAAGCTTGAAGTAAAAATTGCTTAAATTTTTTTTCCAAGAAGAAAGGCTGTGTTGTTTGGTTATAGTCAAGGACTGACTGAGCATTTTGGCTGTTTTCCGAATTCTGCCACTGACTCACTGTGTTTTTTGGCAAGCAACTTATCCTCACTGAAACAAGTTCTTGATTCTTTACTTCTCTGTGTGTAAAGTTAGCATAATAATATTGTACTAACCTCAGATGAGTTGTGTAATGGTTTCCCACTTTAGAACTTTCCAGCATAAAAATAGTATGTATTTTCAGTGCCTTGCTTTTTAAAATAATAATTTCTAAATTGTTATTTATTAGGTAAGTATGTTAGACAATTTAAATGTAAAACAGAACCTTTTCTATACTGTTCAAAATATAGCAAACCTCGTAACGTTTTAGTTATATACAACATTTTAAGGACTATACCCTATAAAGTATGAATAATTATTTTATTCATTTATTTTAGTGTCAGAAGAAAGAAGAATTTATTGAAAGAATTCAAGGTTTAGATTTTGATACAAAAGCAGCAGTTGCCGCACATATTCAAGAGGTAATGACCTATATACAATTTTATGTGCTATTTATGAAGCTTGTGATATGTTTATTTGTGTATCTCCTAAAATAATTAAAAATCATACAATAAGCGAGAACAAATCAAGATCAAATATAGATGGACAATTTGATTTTATACAAATTGTCTTCTCTTTAGAGATAGTTCCTTACATGTGGCACAGTGTTAACTACAAATATACTGTTGCCTTTATCTTTATTGTATAGTGACATAGGCAGAAAGTGTTTTTTGAGGAATGAGGTATATGTCTTTGTTAAAATGGATTACAAAGCAGTAAATGGAAATAGCAGAAAGTGGAACACTGCTTGTAATTCAAAACGATAGTGAGGTAAGATGACAAGCTAAGTATTGTCATTCTAGTGATTTTCTTTTGAATGAATAGACAGCAAAATTTTTATTAAAGATATTACTTGAACTATAAACATATTAATGATTTGTAGCATTCATATAAAAACTTAAGTCTAGGGCATATTATGCAGTGTCAAATAATTGAAGTTAATAAAATTTATTAAAATTCATTTTAAAAGCTATTTCTGCATCTGTCTATTCTTAGGCTTTTAATCTTATAAAAACACTTTAGAATTAGAGTATGTTAAATTTTATATGTTGATTAGAAAAGGGAAAAGAGAAAATTTTTAAATAGTGAAAATTTGTAGTATTTAAAATATTCTTTATTTAGAAGACTTTTGTGTTCCATAGGTCATCCTTTCTCTTATTTAGCATTCATAAAGCCCAGATTTCTTGTCAGTAACATTGTCGTCAACAATAAGCATATTAGTACTTTTCAAGATGTAATTTTATTGGTGGTCTCCCATTACAGAGTACATATTTGCTTTATGCTAGTTTATGGTTTTATTCTGAATAAATGCTGAGTAGTGCAAGTTACTGAATTTGCCACCATCCTTGGAAGTATAATTCTTTTTGCTGCTTGTTATGAAAGTTAGAGCAAATTATTGGAATTACAGTGAGAAATGGAAGGCACTTATATAACTTTTCCATTTTTTAAAAAATCTTTATATTGGGAATCCTTTCTCCCAAGTTTCTGTGACAGTGTCATCTTCAGAATCTATAAAGACTCAGATATTCAGTTACAACAATGCAGTAACATATATCCTACAAGATTAAAAACATTTTGCTCTTCAATTCAGGTAAAATAAATTAAAAATCTTATTTACAAAGTTCAGTTGATTTTGTTAAAGAAGTTGTCAGGATATATCAACATTATTTTCCTTTAAGAATGTCTTGAATTAAATATTAATATTTTATTTTTGTTGACTAGAAAATGAATATTAATTCATTTAAGGATTATATTAAAAATAATTTTTAGTTATAGTGTTTTCATCATGAATTTCAAATGTTCTCCTTTTAACATGATATTGGCTTTTCATATTTTATATGGGATATATAATATTTTAGTTAATATTGTACTGTAGTCAAATAGATTTTTAAGTGTTAATCACTTTTTGGGTTGTTTATTTTGGTTACTTTTCTAAAGGTAACTCATAATCAGGAAAATGTGTTTGACCTGCAATGGATGGAAGTGACTGATATGTCGCAGGAGGACATAGAACCACTCTTGAAAAATATGGCATTGCATCTAAAAAGACTTATAGATGAGAGAGATGAACATTCAGAGGTTTGTAAATTTCTTTCAGTATATTGTGAAAGTTTGCTTTTCAAAAAAGAAAATAGTAGCTTTGGGAAGTTTTCAGAATGAATACTATTTCTTAGAGACAGGTAATAAAGGAGTGTCTTTTTTTGTGTGGACTACAGAAACCTGAAAGGATGTATAAGAACCCCAAATTGCCAATAAACAAATTGCAGTTAGGTTCCTCTTCTCCTTTCCTTTTAAATTAGTATTATTCTGATTTTTTTTCCTGTTTTTCAAGTTATCCCCATAGTTTTGGCAACAATACAGAAGTCTGAAACTGAAAATATAGTTGATGTAAGTGGAAAAATCATTGCCATGAAGCATAAGAATTTGCTTAAGGCTGATTTCTTAGTTTTATTGCCACATGTTGAGGTTGGAAAAGTAAGTTTTAATAGAAGAAGAATAACAGGTGTTCTGAATAAAATGTCCCACAAAAGATCTCAAATGAGGTGTGATTTTAAAAAGAGAATTATTATAAGTTGTTAAAACAGAACTTTGCTTTTTAAAAAGAGTACAAGTGTACCAAGTTTTCTATCTGCACTGTCTGAAAGCAGTTTATAATTTTAAAGAGTCTAGACTTCAGTGCATGCGGTGGTTGGTAATATTTTCTTAATAGAAGAGCAAAGTACTCTACCATTCTGCTGAATGTATAGCTTTATTAGTTTCATTTACATGCGAGATACAGTTTTGAGCTTATTTATTGAGAATTTGTATGAGTACCCTTGAGACCAATGAAAGACTACATAGAGAAAATTCCTAAGTATTTTTTTTTTCCAGTATAAAACTTTCTGGTCTCTCTGGGAGATAGTTCTGATGTGAATTTTTAATTTTTCTTTAGGCATTAAACAAAAAGAAAATATAGGAAATAAATATATTAGAGCAACAGTTAAATTTTTTTTTTAATTTTTTATTGGATTTTAGGTTTTGGGGTACATGAGCAGAGCATGCAAGACAGTTGCGTAGGAACACACATGGCAGTGTGCTTTTCTTTCCTTCTCCCCTTCACCCACGTTAAATTTTTTTTAAAGTTAGGACATTGAGACCAAAGAAAAAAGGAAAAACATCCCTACTATGTATCAAATTTATCCTGAGATACTTAGATCATTTCACTTTCAAATAGATTTTTTAGCCATATGCTATCTTTTTTTAGTGTCTTTTTACTGCTTTATGCATTTTCTAGAACATTTATTTATTTGTATTTCAGGTTGTTAAAGGTACTGCAATAAGGTATCCTTCCGTTTCTGAGGAATTATTCCTAAAAATCTGTATTTTCGTTTTATTTTAGTTTTTGTTATTTAAAAAAATTTTTTGAGACAGAGTCTCACCCAGGCTGCAGTGCAGTGGCACCATCTCGGCTCACTGCAACTTCCGCCTCCCAGGTTCAAGCGATTCTTCTGCCTCAGCCGCCTGAGTAGTTGGGATTATAGGCATGTGCTACCATGCCTGGCTAATTTTGTATTTTCAGCCCAGGCTGGTCTCTAACTCCTGACCTCAGGTGATCCTCTCACCTTCGCCTTCCAAAGTATTGGGATTACAGCTGTCAGCCACTGCACCCAACCTATACTTTAGTTTTATATGAATGATGGGCAGGTCTAAAATGTTTGATCTCAGGTTGGACACGGTGGCTCATGCCTGTAATCCTAGCACTTTGGGAGGCTGAGGTGGGCCTCCCATCATTTATTTACACCATCTCTGCTGAAAATAAAAAAATAACTGGGCATGGTGGCACATACCTGTAATTCCAGCTACTTGGGAGGTTGAGGCATGAGAATCGCTTGAGCCTGGGAGGCAGAGGTTGCAGTGAGCCAAGAGCACGCCACTGAACTCCAGCCTGGGCAACAGAGCAAGACTCTGTCTCAAAAAAAAAAGAAAAAACAAAGTTTGATCCCATTTAAGTGAATTGATTAATATGGGGTGAACAGAATACTTACCATTTCAGCAGAACATTTTCCTGAGTGATTTAAAAAAAAGAAGAAGAAATTAAAAAAAGAGAGAATACTTACCATTACATGACTCTGGCAAACTAAAAGGATTATGAAATGCTGTATAGAATGATTGAAAACCCTTTTAAAATATATTATCCTGCCTGTTTAAGCATTCTGTTAAATTTTTTTTTCAAATGAGGAAAATATGGTCATACTCTTCTGTCTCAGTTATTTGGAGAAAAAGTTGATAGCTGGGATAGGGTTGGGGAGAGCTATCCAATTATCTGGGAAATTTTTTTTTCTCAATTTGGGCTACCAGTAGACTAATTTGAAAAGGTCATTTTAAAAATTGTGGAAAATATTAGACAAATGTAAAGGTAGTATGTAACTAGAATTCTGTGTCATTCAATTAGATTGAAACAAGTTCTTATTTAGATTTTTCTTTTAACTTTTTTTGTATTGATTAGCTTTTGTTATAATTCTTTCACTTCAGTCTAAAATGTATATATTTGGTCACCTTTTTTAACATTTCATTTTACTTTTGTATTCTTAACTAACGCTATAGAACAAGTATGTTTTTAGTCCTCTTCTTTTACTAAAAACCAAATAGGAGATTTTAATGAATTTAAGATCTCTTTATTAGCACTGTTAATTTTATGCCAGACTTTGTGCTGTAAGTTTGACACATACTGTTTTATTAAATCTGGATGAAAATCACATTTTATAGATGAAGATACTTGAGACCCAAGTAGTTAAGTAACTTGCCAGATCTAACTCCAGTGCCTGTGGTTAGAAACGTAATGTGATATCTTTGCCTAAATTCATGGTTGTACTGAGCACCCCTCTAATTTCTTTTCCTTAATAATGAATTCTTCGAGTAGAATTAATAGGTCATCTGTTTTTGTTTTGTTTTTTGTTAGCACTAATTTATCTTTTTAGGTTTATTCTTCAGTATATATTAAGACATACCTGCTTTTTGCAAGGGCTTATGCTTGGGAGCAAAAAGCTGGCAAACTATTTCAAAAAAGAACCAAAGATTGTTATAGTCTAATAAGGAAGTTATTTTAATAAAATAATAAAATTTTGAACATGGTAAGTACAAAAAATGATATATATCATTTTTTATATATATTCCTATAGCATATAGTATATATTCCTATATATATTTATATCATATGTTATAGGAATTGGAGAGCTTACGAAATTAGCTATACTTTAAAAACATATCCTGTCAGATTATTTTGTTTGTTTTTGCGTCAGACCATTTTGAAAATGTATGGTAAGTCTCTAACTCAAGAAGTTACTGACATTAGGGAAAAGTCAAAATATCTAAAGAATCTTTAAAGCAAAATACCCTGGGAACTCTTAACTTTTAAAGTACCAGGTTTCTTTCTTTCTTTTTAATGTTTTGTAATACATAGTTCATTGACTTCTTGATAGATACCTCCATTTCACCACCTACTAACTTCAAATGTAGTATCTGTCTTCTGTGCTTTTCTCCTGTTCTTAATTTTGTGAATTGTTTAATTGAATATTTTTGAGCATCCATTTTTGTGTGAAATACTATGCTAGATAAAATGAGAGATTGAGAGATACAAAGGAGCTGTAAGAAAGATGGTATCTAGTTTATTGAGAAAACTACATTATTTGTAAGTACAAAATATGAGCTAGCATATAATTAAGTGCTAGTTTATTTGTGCATGAGAAAATAGTAATACTATCTCTCAGCTTTGTTAGAGTCAGGAGATGTTAGAAAGAAAGATTAAAGATAATTGAGACAGTGGCCAGACGCAGTGACTCATGCCTGTAATCTCAGCACTTTGGGAGGCCGAAGTAGGCGGATCACGAGGTCCAGAAATCAAGACCAACCTGGCCAACATGGTGAAACCCCGTCTCTACTACAAATAGAAAAATGAGTTGGGTTTGATGGCATGCACCTGTCATCCCAACTACTTGGGAGGCTGAGGCATGAGAATTGCTTGAACCTGTGAGGTGGACGTTGCAGGAGCCAAGATTGCACCCCTGCACTCCAGCCTGGTGACAGAGCAAGGCTCAGTCTCAAAAAAAACCAAAAAAAATCAAAAACAAAAATAACTGAGACAGTAAGAAAATATACAAATAAAAGTTGGCTCCAAGTACATGGAGTCTAGGATACTATGGAGATTAATAACACTATTCACAGGGAAGTTGGGATGAGCATGCTGATCGAGGGATAGAAGAGAATAGTGTTATTAGACATATGAACCATCATTCAAAAAGTGCCAAGAAGGGAATGTGATTTTTTTTTCCTGGGTAGAAGAAACTTGTATATCTTTGAAGAATATAGAAAAAAAAGCCAATATGAAGAAAGAAATTGAAATGTTGAAGGAATACATATTAGGAGCAAAAAAATGCATAAGAAGAAAGGAGGTAATCCCAGGTGGTTTTGTTTCTTTGGCAAATTGGAGGAGAGGTGAAAGTAATGATAGCAGTTTGCTGTTGGAGGCTTAAGTAGAGAAGAGGTAATATATTTACGTAGTCATCACAAAAATATTTGAAGGGAAATCAGCAAGCTTTCAATAAAAGGATAGATAGGCAGAGGAAAGAGTTTAATTGAAAATGGATGGCAAGATCTGTACTAGGACTATGTAACTTCCTGTTTTTCTGTAAGAGCTTTATCATCTTGGAGCAGAAATAGAGAAAACTGATGGTGGGTCAGAAAGATAACAGTATTAGAGTCAAACTTGAACTTGAATCTCTGCTATCCTTATCATTAGTTGTGTGTCTTTGGTTAAGTTATTTAATCTATATGAGCCTAAGTTTTCTCATGTCTAAAACTGGCATAATACCTCTATTGCAAATTATAGTATTGGGTGAGATCTTGTTAATCCCTCACAAGTTCTATAAATGTTAATTCCTTTTTCTTTTTTTGCAAAGAATGAGCCAGTAAAAGAGCACAGTAAGAATGACATTTAAGGGCCTAATTGTAATTCCAGGCTGAGTAGGAACTCGAGAGTAGCCAGGAATAATCTCTTGAACTGAGTAAAACAGGGGAGGAATTGAGTGAATAAAAGTTCAGGAGTAAGTATGGTGACATGGGAAAATGATAGTAAAGGAGGCATGCTACAATAGAAGAATTGCTTCCTTTGCTGGAGAAAACTGTATGAACTGATATAAGGAATGGACATGAAATTAGTAGAGAGAAAAAGAAATGGGAAGTAATTTTCTGAGGTTCATCAACAGACATACTGGAATCGGAAAGCAATAGTTACAGGCAGGAAGATAAGACAGACCTTGATACAGGTGCTGAAATGTATTCTGAAGATAAATCATTTCTGGTAGATGGTTAAAAAAAAAAGAAAAAGAAAAAAGTAATGATTCAGGAAATAGAGATAAAACTGGTGATAAGAAATAAATCAAGGATGCTATTTCATTATCCCAATGTAGTAACCCTACCCATTCCTTCTAAAATCATAGTACAGCTGAAATTGCTATATAAGGCAGTTTATTTGCCTGAGAAGTTTCAAAGAAAAACCTGAGATATTGGGTTAGAGTAAGAGAATTTACATACAATGAAAGGAAAATTAGGGGAATAGAGGAAGTACATATAGCCCTTAAAGTTTAGATTTAGGAAAATGAAAAGGAGGTTTGTGTCCCATGGAGGGTCTTGGAAGAGAGAGAGAGAAAGAGAGACCGAGAGAGAAAAAGAGAAGGAAGGAAGGGAGAAAAGGGAGGAAGGAGAAAATGGAAAGGAAGGAGAGGGGAGGGCCTTTGAGAGGGGAACCAGATTGGAACTAGTATTAGAGAGAGCATAAGATGTGAAGTCAGACTGGCATGGAGTCATGAGCCATTAGCTAGTTGTGTGATTATGGACAAATCAGTCACTGTGCCTAAATTACTTACTGCAGAGTAAAGAGATTGAGCTAAATTTTTGAGGTATTGTTAGGACCCTCCAAGATCCCTGTTCATAATTCAAGAGTAGTGCTGTCCCATTCTGCAGTGATGGCAAGATTGTATTTCTAGGCTCTCCAAGATTGTATTTCTGGGCTGTGCAATACAGTAATGGCTGTGTGCACTTGAAATGTGGCTAATGCAACTAAGGAACTGAATTTTATTTTATTTTTTTTAAGACTAAGTCTCACTCTGTCACCCAGGCTGGAGTGCAGTGGAGCAATCTTGGCTTACGGTAACCTTTACCTTCTGGGTTCAAGTGATTCTCCTGCCTCAGCCTCCTGGGTAGCTGAGCTTACAGGTGTGTGCCACCATGCCCAGCTAATTTTTTTGTATTTTTAGTAGATACAGGATTTCACCATGTTGGTCAGGCTGGTCTTGAACTCCTGACCTCGAATGATCCATCTGCCTCTGCCTCCCAAAGTGCTGGGATTATAGGCATGAGCCACTGCGCTTGGACTGGAACTGAATTTTTAACTTAAAAAATTTTTAATTAAATAACCACCTATGTCACTGGCTATTATATTGGACAACATAGTTCCAGACAAATCACTCTTGAGTTTCTTTCTTTCCTATGTCAATGGGTCATTTATGCCTTTCCAACATTGGCTATCTGATCTAATCATTTTCATCATAATTGATTTATTTTGTTAAAAAACTAGGAAGTGAAAAATAGCAAAGACATGGAATGAACCCAGATGTCCCTCAATGACAGACTGGATAAAGAAAGTGTGGTACTTACAAACCATGGGTACTATACAGCCATAAAAAAGAATGAGATCATGTCCTTTGCAGGGACATGGATGAAGCTGGAAGCCATTATCCTCAGCAAACTAATGCAGGAACAGAAAACCAAACACCACATGTTCTCACTTAAAAGTGGGAGCTGAACAATAAGAACACATGGACACAGGGAGGGGAACAACACTCACTGGGCTCGTTGTGGGAGGCTAGGAAAAGAGCTAATGCATGCTGGGCTTAATACCTAGGTGATGGGTTGTTAGGTGCAGCAAACTACCATGGCCCACATTTACCTGTGTAACAAACATGCATATCCTGTACTTGTACCCTGGAACTTAACAATAACAGCAATAAAATTAAAAAACTAGGAAAGGAAAAAAATTATTACCTTGTTTAGTGTTATTTACTAAGTAGCTCATGCATGAACTGTTGAATGAAACTTATAAAGAATGACAACTAAATATGATAGTTTTGACCAATTAATTATTTTTAATATTGTAGTACAATTCTTAGACCTAGTGGATAGTGTTGATGTGTCTTCTTTGCTAATACGTAGAATAATGAAAGTGATTCTGTGTGTATTTCTAGACTATCATAGAACTCTCTGAAGAGCGGGATGGTCTTCATTTTCTACCCCATGCCTCTTCATCTGCACAATCACCCTGTGGTTCTCCAGGCATGAAGCGAACAGAAAGTCGACAACATCTGTCAGTGGAACTGGCAGATGCTAAAGCCAAGATAAGAAGGCTTAGGCAGGAATTGTAAGTTGCTGATTTTTAAGGTTCATTGAATTTATATGGTCCCAAAGGTGACCCAAACAATATTTTTAAATTATGGAAATGTTGCCAGCTTGTGTCAGTGTTCTCACAAGTATGTGTCAAAATGAAAAAAATAAGGAAGCTGGCATAAGGTTTTCCTATTGCTAAATCTTACCAATTTAAAGGACGCCTTTTATTCTAGAGTTACAGCCTTTCTAGCTTTCTAATGTTAATGTATTTCTTTTTTTTTTTTTTTTAAGTAGAATAATTCCTCATTTGGCAGATTGGGGCTATCAATTTTTTGTCTTTATATTCCTTGAAATCCAAATTATTAGGAACTACTGATATAGGTCAGTAAGTTTAACTCTTTTAAAATTAATGTTTTGCACCTAAAAAACTGAGTTGTTGGCATTATAGTATTACCAAAAAATAGTTTTTCGTGTATGTATCTTGGATTGAGATGCCTGAGCCATGTACTTAGTAAAGGTAAATACAGTCATGTGCCATATAATGACATTTCAGTAAACAATGGACCACATATATGATGGTGGTCCTGTAAGATTATAATGGAGCTTCATCTAGTGAAGCCTTGATGTTCCTGACCAAGTGTAGGCCTAGGCTAATGCATGTCTTAGTTTTTAACAAAAAAAGTTTAAAAGCCAAAAAGAAAAAAGAAAAATGGTTATAGAGTAAGTACATAGGCTGGGTGCAGTGGTTCATGCCTGTAGTCCCAGCACTTTGGGAGGCCGAGGCGGGCAGAGTTGAAGACCAGTCTGGCCAACATGGTGAAACCCCATCTCTACCCAAAATATAAAAAAATTAGCTGGGTGTGGTGGCATGCACCTGTAATCCCAGCTACTAGGGAAGCTGAGGTAAAGGGAATCACTTGAACCAGGGAGGTGGAGGTTGCAGTGAGCTGAAATCATGCCACTGCACTCCAGCCTGGGTGACAGCAAGACTCTATCTCAAAAAAAAAAAAAAGAAGAAGAAATGAAAGAATAATATATAAAGAAAGAATAATATAAAGAAAGAAAATGTTTTTCTACAGTTGTACAGTGTGTTTATGTTTTAAACTAAACCTTATAAAAGAATTAAGTTTAAAAATTTGAAATTTTATAAAGTGAAAAGTTATAATGAGCTAAGGTTAACTTATTATTGAAGAGACAAAAATTTTTAAAACTAAATTTAGGGCCAGGCAAAGTGGCTCATGCCTGTAGTCCCAGCACTTTGGGAGGCTGAAGTGGGTGGATTACCTGAGGTCAAGAGTTTGAGACCAGCCTGGCCAACATGGTGAAACCCCATCTCTACTAAAAATGCAAAAATTAGCCGGGTGTGGTGGTGCAGTCCTGTAGTCCTAGCTACTTGGGAGGCGAAGGCAGGAGAATCGCTTGACCCTGGGAGGCAGAGTTTGCTTTGAGCCAAGATTGCACCACTGCACTACAGCTTGAGTGACAGAATGAGACTATCTCAAATAAATAAATAAATAAATTTAGCACTTTGGGAGGCCAAGGTGCTAGACAGATCACCTGAGGTCAGGAGTTGAAGACCCAGTCTAGTCAACATGTCAAAACCCTGTATCTATTAAGAATACAAACATTTAGCTGGGCATAGTGGCACATGCCTGTAATCCCAGCTATTCGGGAGGCTGAGACACGAGAATCGCTTGAACCCCGGAGGCAGAGATTACAATGAGGTGAGATTGCACCACTGCACTCCAGCCTGGGTGACAGAGTAAGATTCTGTCTCAAAAGAAAAAGATACAATACAGGCCGGGCACAGTGGCTCAAGCCTGTAATCCCAGCACTTTGGGAGGCCGAGGCGGGTGGATCACTAGGTCAAGAGATCGAGACCATCCTGGTCAACATGGTAAAACCCCATCTCTACTACAAATACAAAAAATTAGCTGGGCATGGTGGGGTGTGCCTGTAATCCCAGCTACTTGGAGGCTGAGGCAGGAGAATTGCCTGAACCCAGGAGGCAGAGGTTGCGGTGAGTCGAGATCGCGCCATTGCACTACAGCCTGGGTAACAAGAGTGAAACTCCGTGTCAAAAAAAAAAAAAATACAATACAATAAATAATACGATAAATAAATAAACTTAGTGTATCCTAAGTATAGTGTTTATAAAGTCTACAGTAGTGTACAGTAATGTTCTAGGCCTTCACATTTACTCAGTGACTCATCCAGAGCAACTTTCAGTCCTGCAAATTTTATTCATGGTAAATGCCCTATACAAGTGTACCATTTTTTATCTTTTATACCCTGTTTTTACTGTACCTTTTCTATGTTTAGATACACAATTACTTACCATTATGTTATAGTTGCCTACAGTATTCAGTACCATTACATGCTGTATAAGTTTGTAGTCTAGAAGCAATAGGCTATACCATATAGCCTAGGTATATATTAGGCAATACCATCTAGATTTGTGTAAGTACTATATGCTCTGTGATGTTTACACAGTGATGAAATCACCTAACTTATTAGAGTGTATTCCCATAGTTAAACCATGCATGATGGCGTTCAGATTTGGTTAGTGCTGATGAAATTATATTTTCTTAAAAGACCATTACAGAAAAGCAAGTATGACATTTATAGGCATTCCTTGGTCAACCCCAAGTAAAGATGTGATCAATCTCTGCTGGAGATTTTTTTTTATTTTGTGCTTTTAAAAGACAAAGGATTTTTGTTGTGAGGGCTTTTTTTTTTTTTTTTGATTTCTTGGAATTTGAGCTTTAGAATATAGATTTTAAATTTATAACCACAGTGTAGCAACTAAACTTATTTACCGGCTATTTAAAACAGTTACAGTGATTGAATATGCAAAGTAGAAAAAATATTACAGTTCATAGGAAAATTTGAAAATAAAAAATAACAGCTTTCATTTGTGGATGTCTGCATTATATTATGTATCTATTGAAATGAACACGCCCAGGATATTCTGTAAACAGCTGCACCAGGAGGATTAGAGAAGAGATTGCTGTTATTAGTTTGACTGGCAGTTAATGGATGGTCTAAATAGTGAACACTAGTTCGTTCCATATAATTTAGCACAATCTTCTCAAGCCTTTAGATAAAGCATGCAATTATATCTGTAATGATGGCTGTGAATTCATTTAAGGTTTTACACTATGTTAGAATTTAGTTTTTAAATAAAATTTACTTGGCCATGGAGTATATTAAAATTCTAAAAAATTGAGGAGATTGATGAAATTTGGTTTTCTAATACTGATTAGAAAATGTAAATGGGTGTTTTTTTTTTTTTTTTGTAGAAAGTTATTTATTTAGAGAGAGAGAGAGAGGAACCAGAGAAGGAGGGAGAAATAAACAGCTAACTCTCACACTGAGTGAGAGAATCCAGAAAGATGGAATCCAGGAGAGAAAAGCAGCTTCCACACTGAGTGGAAGGGGCTAGAAAGAGAAGTTTAGGAGGGGAAGACAGGCTTCCACAAGAGTGTTCGAAGGGGACTCCAGAGGGAAAATCCAGGATAGAGAAAAACAGCTTCCACGAGCAAGAGAGTGTTCGTGGAAGGGGATCCAAACATGGAGTCCCATAAATGGGTATTTTTAATGGGTAAATAAATGTGCCAGTATTCCCAGTAACTAGCTTTTCAACAAATACCATCCAATATCTTTATTTTTCTTTGAAAATGATGGATTTCTTCTATTATTAGAAAGAAGTATATCTCCTGTTACTTCTTTTTGTTGGGAGAAATCTCTACTAAAATGAATGAAGTACAGAAATTATGGTGGACAAAAATAGCAGATTGCCTTATAGCGAATGGAAGCTATACAATAAGTAATTGCAACCAGAAAGTGGAAATTAACAGCATACTCATTTATGGGGCAGAACATTATGATGTAATTGCTTTTGATTTATACATATGGAGTAAAAGTATAATTTGTGATATGGGTGAAAGAAGTAATTTTTTAAATTTAAAATAGTAATTTCACTTTTATGTAGTAGTTGATACTACCAAAGACTCCCTTTAACTCTGCCTCCATAAATCCCATGTTTTGAAAGAATTTTTCTGATATAAACTATTTATTATTTTTCAAAAAAATACCTTATTGAGATACAATTTGTAGGTCAGAAAATTCATCCTTTTACAGTGTACAAATCAGTGGTTTTAGTTTATGCATAGAGTTGTGCAGTTGTTACACACCAATTTCAAGACATTTTTGTCACTGCCAAAAGAAACCCCATTTTCAGTAACAATCGCTGTCTATCCCCCTTTGCCCTCAGCTCCTGGCAATCACTATCTACTTTCTGTTTCCATGATTTTGGCTATTCTGGACATTTTATTGTATAAATGGAATCATACAATATGTATCTTTTGCGACTGGCTTTATTTACTTAATGTTTTTCAGGTTCATCCATGTTGTAGCATGTATCAAAACTTTATTCTTTTTAGAGTTGAATAATATTCCACTGAATAGATATACCACATTTTGATTAGCCATTTTTCAGTTGAAGGGCATTTGAATTGTTTCCAGTTTTTGGGTATTATGAATAATGCTGCTATGAACATTGAGATGCATATTTTTCTGTAAACATCTGTTTTGCATTCTGTGTGCTAACGTATATGAGGAATGGCCAACATTCAACATTGTGAACATAATTAATGCTACTGAATTATATACTTAAAAATGGTTAAAATGAGGCTGGGTATGGTGTCTTGCACCTGTAATTTCAGCACTTTGGGAGGCCAAGGCAAGAGGATTGCTGGAGGGCAGGAGTTTGAGACCAGCCTGGGCAACACAGGGAGACCCTGTCTCTGCAAATATTTTTTTTTAATGTGATTGCACATGACTGTGGTCCCAGCTACATGGGAGCTTGAGGCAGGAGGATCACCTGAACCAGGAAGTCAAGACTGCAGTGAGTTGAGATTGTACTACTGTACTCCAGCCTGAGTAATAGAGAGAGAGAGAGACCTTGTCTCAGAACAACAACAACAACAAAAAAGAAAAAATTCTAAATGCTTCTGGGTCCCAAGCAGTTCAGTTCAGATAAGGGATACTCAACCTGTTTCAAATGCCTTTTAACTTTTAATGCACTTTTAGAAATCTGTCCCAAAAGCCAGGCACTGCAGTGTGTGCTTGTAGTCCCAGTTACTTAGGAGGCTGCTGGGCTCAAAAGTTCAAAGCAAGGCTGGGCAACGTAGTGAGACCCTATCTCTTAGAAAAAAAAAAAAAAAAAGAAAACTGTCATGAAATACACAGGATTTTATGTATAGTAATGAGCTTATTTACTAAAAGATTAAATAGTACTATGAAGAATGGAATCTACTTAATAAAGTATGGTTTCTTTAGCAAAGGGAATATTTTTCTACCATTAAAAATTATGGTTTTGGGCTAGGCACCATGGCTCATGCTTGTAATCCTAGTACTTTGGGAGGCCGAGGCAGGAGGATTGCTTGAGGCCAGGAGCTCGAGACCAGCCTGGACAACAGAGTGAGACCTCATCTCTACAAAAAATTAGCCAGAAGTGGTGGCACATGCCTGTAGTCCCAGCAATTCTAGATGCTGAGGCAGGAGGATCACTTGACTCCAGGAGTTCAAGGTGGGAGTGAGCTCTGATCATGCCACTACACTTCATCTTGGACAGTGGCATGTCCAAGCTGTCACTTGTGACAGAGTGAAACCCTATCTCTTAAAGTATGTACATATATATTTCAATAATATATTTAAAAATAATATACACAAATTTTATAACATTAATATATAATGGTTTTGAAAAATGTAAGGGCATGAAGAGATGAGAACAATAAGTTGTTTTATACAGTGAACATTTACTTTTTTTATTATTAAAAAACAGAAGATGGAAAAGTAGAGATAATGAGTGGAGACTTTAAGGAGCTTGGCCGTGAAGGAGAGAGAGAAAATGGGGATTAGAAGTAAAACAATTTCTAAGAGAAAAAATAATAGAAGAAATTTGAGGATGTTTATAGGCTAGGAGGCAGAAACCAATAGAGAAATAAAGATCATAGTTATGGTAATCGGAAGTGTTTAATTTCCTTTTAGCCATTGTAAATGTTTAAAATAGTTGGAGACCCTTGTAAGTCTCAGACCCAGGTAGTACTGCCTTGCATAAAAATACTTAGCTTGGCCAGGCATGGTGGCTCAAGCCTGTAATCCCAGCACTTTGGGAGGCTGAGGTGGGTGGATCACGAGGTCAAGAGATTGAGACCATTCTGGTCAACATGGTGAAATCCCGTCTCTACTAAAAATACAAAAAATTAGCTGGGCATGGTGGCGCGTGCCTGTAATCCCAGCTACTCAGGAGGCTGAGGCAGGAGAATTGCCTGAACCCAGGAGGCGGAAGTTGCGATGAGCCAAGATTGCGCCATTGCACTCCAGCCTGGGTAACAAGAGCGAAACTCCGTCTAAAAAAAAAAAAAAAACAACAACAAAAAAAAAAAACTTAGCTTAGGCCAGGCACAGTGGCTCCCACCTGTAATTATAGCACTTAGGGAGGTTGAGGCAGGTGGATCACCTGAGATCAGGAGTTTGAGACCAGCCTGATTAACATGGTGAAACCCCAGCTCTACTAAAAATACAAAAAGTAGCTGGGCCCAGTGGTGGGCACTTGTAATACCAGCTACTGGGGAGGCTGAGGCAGAATTACTTGAACCTGGGAAGCAGAGATTGCAGTGAGCTGAGATCATGCCATTGCACTCCAGCCTGGGTAACAGAGCAAGATTCTGTCTCAAAAAAAAAAAAAAAAAATTAGTAGCTTGACTATCTGTGACTACGGAGAGTGAGGAAGAGAGAGAGAAGAGTGAAATAGAAGGAGTGGAGGACAGGAAAGATCAAAAAAGAGCAAGAGAAAAACTGAGGCCAGGCGAGGTGGCTCACGTCTGTAATCCCAGTACTCTGGGAGGCTGAGGTGGGCAGATCATGAGGTCAAGAGATCAAGGAAAACCCCATCTCTACAAAAAAATTTTAAAAAATTAGCTGGGTGTGGTGGCATGCACCTGTAGTCCCAGCTACTTGAGAGGCTGAGGCAGGAGAATTGCTTGAACCCGGGAGGCAGAGGTTGCAGTGAGCTGAGATCGTGCCACTGCACTCCAGCCTGGGCAACAGAGGGAGACACTATCTCAAAAAAAAAAAAAAAAAAAAAGAACAAAAAAAGAAAAGAAAAGAAAAACTGTATTACATATATTAAGTACTATGGGAACGTTAACCATTGAGGTTAGCCTTTCGAAAACATTAGGGAGGAGGTTTGATTAATGGCATCTAATTATTTAAATTCCTAATATCTGTCTTTTTCCCCCCTCTCTTGCATTGGGGTTATGGCTAATACTATGTTCAACTAATACTAATTACTAGTTATTTAGTAATGATAATATATTTATATTAACAGATGACAATCACAATTTTCAAAAGTAGTATACTTACTGAATATATTTTTGTATTTAAGGGAGGAAAAGACTGAACAATTGTTGGATTGTAAACAGGAACTTGAGCAAATGGAAATAGAACTCAAAAGGCTGCAACAAGAGGTTGGTACCTAGAATATCTATTATTTAGGACCACCGAGTAATTGGAAATTGATTGATTTTCTTCCTTGTAATTTATAACCTTTACCTCAATGCTTTATATAAATAAATGAGGTTACTGAGGCTTCATGAGATTAGATCACTTTTTCAGAATTTCTTGCTTCAAAAATGCCAGAGCCAAAACTTTCTTCCATATTAGTGCTATTTAAACTCTGCTAAGATTTATAAGAGCTACTTAGGACTGGGGTAGTGCAACATTTTTCTTTTTGATGTATTTGGCTTCTGTGGTCTTGGAAGCTAGAACACCTCTACTGTAAACTGTGCTCTTTATGTGTATCTCTGTGTGTTTCTGCTCCCCATAGTGCTTTATGTTAACTTATATATAAGTAAATGCTTTTTTATTTTTTTCACTCTTTTCCTATTAAATAAGATTTAAAATTTTTACTTTTTAAGCAGTATCTTTATTTTAGAGATGCTGCTGCTTTTTTCACCTTAAACCAAGATCACTTTTACAATCACTCTAATGTTTCATTTTTATTTGGGGTTAGTGTGTGGCGCTCTTTAATCCGTAAGTGCTAAGGATTGGGATAAGGCTGGATAGTTATTTCTTCCTTTAACTTCCCCATACCTGCCATCTAATGCAGGGAATACTACAATTGCAGGATCATAAACTGAGACCTTTGTAGATAATGAGACTGGGCTTCATAGTCTATTTCTAGACATGCTATGGCTGCTTTTCTACTTGTTGACAGTAGAGTTTTTTTATGTATGTTTGTTCTCTCTAAAGCAGTAGTTTTCAGTCCACTTGGTCTCAAGCCTCCTCAGCACTCTTAAAAATTAATGAGAATTGGTTTAATGTGAATTATATCTGTTGATATTTACCATATTAGGAACGAAAACTACGAATTTTTAAAAAATTAAGTCTGGCCGGGGACAGTGGCTGACGACTGGAATCCCAGCACTTTGGGAGGCCAGGGTGGGCAGATTATGAGGTCATGAATTCGAGACCAGCCTGGAGGGTCAGCATAATGAAACCTTGTCTCTACTAAAAATACAAAAAATTAGCTGGGCATGGTAGTGGGCACTTGTAATCCCAGCTACTTGGGAGGCTAAGGCAGGAGAATTGCTGGAACCTGGGAGACAGAGGTTGCAGTGAGCCGAGATCACGCCGTTGCACTCCAGCCCAGTAGACAATGTAAGACTACATCTCAAAAAAAAATTTTTTAAATTAGGTCACTTGGGCTGGGTGCAGTGGCTCATGCCTGTAATCCCGGCACTTTGGAAGGTCAAGGCAGGCAGATCACTTGAGGCCAGGAATCCAAGACCAGCCTGGGCAACATGACGAAACCCTGCCTCTACTGAAAATAGAAAAATTAACTGGATGTGGTGACACACACCTGTAAGCCCAGCTACGTGGAAGGTTGAGGCACAGGAATCTCTTGAACCTTGGAGGCAGAGGTTGCAGTGAGCTGAGATTGTGCCACTGCACTCCAGTCTGGGTGACAAAGTGAGACTCTGTCTCCAAAAAAAAAAAAAAAAAAAATAGGGCTGGGTGCAGTGGCTCACATCTGTAATCCCAGCACTTTGGGAGGCTGAGGCAGGCAGATCACAAGGTCAGGAGTTTGAAACCAGCCAGCATGCCCAGCATAGTGAAACCCTGTCTCTACTGAAAATACGAAAATTAGCTGGGCGTGGTGGCGCATGTCTGTAATCCTTACTACTCGGGAGGCTGAGGCTTGAGAATCACTTGAACCCGGGAGTTGAAAGTTGCAGTAAGCTGAGATTACACCACTGCACTCCAGCCTGAGTGACAGAGCATGACTCTGTCTCAAAAAAATAAATAATAAAAATTAAAATAAATAGGCCGGGTGCAGTGGTTCACGCCTGTAATCCCAGCACTTTTGAGAGGCTGAGGCAGGTGGATCACCTGAGGTCAGGAGTTTGAGACCAGCCTGGCCAACATGACAAAATCCAATCTCTACTAAAAATAAAAAAATTAGCTGGCCATGATGGGAGGAGCCTGTAATCCTAGCTACTTGGAGAATCGCTTGAACCTGGGAGGCAGAGGTTGCAGTGAGATGAGGTTGCACCATTGCACTCCAGCCTGGGCAACAAGAGTAGAACTCTGTCTCAAAAAAAAAAAAAAAAAAAGTAAATGTATCAAATTGTACAACAAAGAATGACAAATTGATAACAGAAAATAGTATTTAAAATATAATTTTTAATTTTTATTTAGAACATGAATTTGCTTTCGGATGCTCGCTCTGCCAGAATGTACCGAGATGAATTAGATGCACTTCGAGAGAAAGCAATCAGAGTTGATAAGCTTGAAAGTGAAGTAAGCAGATATAAAGAGAGACTACATGATATTGAATTTTATAAGGCAAGAGTTGAGGTATGTTGCATAATTATAACCATTCATAATATTTTTTTCTTTAAAAGTATTAGAATTTTAACACATTTAAAATGCAGTTAATAAACATGAGAAACTCTTGAAATGGTGAACGAACAGTAAATACATTTGAGTATGTTTATTTTATGATAGATTGGCATATTGTGTTTAGTTAGACTTTTACAAAGGGATCTGTGGATAGTACTAATTTTATTGAACTCTTTTGGCTCTTCTTTTATTCCTTTTCTTAGCATCATAGGTAGAGCAGACCTTTTAAGTCCTTCCTTACAGTCAAAATATTTATTTCTACTAATTTCAAACTTGTTCCCAAAAGTGAAAGCAAAACATATTTCAGATTCCTTCTTAACTGAGATTACTAAATTAAGATTAATGAAGCCTATATAGAAACAGACAACTGGAAACAAAAAACAATTTTTCTAACTTGATAGTTACAGTTCAGTATTACATGAAGTTGAGTTTGATAAGAATTTGACAGGTCAGGCCAGGCATGGTAGCTCACGCCTGTAATCCTAGCATTTTGGGAGGCTGAGGTGGGCGGATCACCTGAGGTCAGGGATTCGAGGCCAGCCTAGCCAACCCTGTCTCTACTAAAAATACAAAACTTAGCCACACATGGTGGCGCATGCCTGTAATCCTAGCTACTTAGGGATTAGCTGAGGCAGGAGAACTGCTTGGACCCAGAAGGCAGAGGTTGCAGTGAGCTGAGATCACACCACTGTACTCCAGTCTGGGTGACAGAGTAAGACTCCATCTCAAACAAAACACAAAAAAGAATTTGACAGGTCTTGTGTCCTTTTTTCTTTCAAAATTTTCTCATCTGTAAACAGAAGATTTTGGTCAGTTTCAGTATCAGGATAAGAAGGAGGGAGTATACACAATCAGGAAATGAAAACATAAGAGAAAGTAATTAGAACATTTTAGGTTGAAGGTTACCAGTATGTAGACCCAATAGGACTGTAGAGGTAAAGTACATATTAATTATTTTCCAGTTATTTAAAGACATGTGTATGCATGACACTGTTAAGAGATTCTCATGAATACCACTGTCTTCATATACTTTTCTAGATTTAAGTTTAGAAACTATACGCATATAACTTAGCAAGATAGAATTGTGAACACTTATCTTCAAAACATATTCAGGGACTTTTAAGGATTTCCTCAAGGTATGTTTATGTAAAATATTTATTAATAGAGCTTTGGTTTATGATTTATTTGAGTCCTGGTGCAAGTTGTGGTATTTTACTACTAAAACCTCAAGCCCTTCACTTTCAAGTTGTAGCTCAAAGTACAGAGAAATCTTTAAATCTGTTTCAGACAATACATTAAGCCTTGATTCCATGGAGATTTGTATCTTAAATATCTGGAAGACTACTTGTACTTAGTTAATTCCTTATCCTTGTGACTAAGGAATTTAAATATACCCCGACAATTTAATGTGAAATTATGGTAGTATTATATATCTTAATATAAGTACTGAATGTTTTGTTTGCATTCTGGGGTAAAAAGGAAGCCAAGAAAACATTAATTGTATTTCTATTCCTCAGTAGGTTTACTCATGCATAGAACTGTTAATAAAGATGGCTTAATGTTTTATGGTAATCTTTATGTTGCAGAACTTTAAAAAAATTAACAAATATTAACACATTTGTGATAAATAAGGCCTATATCAAATGTTTATAGGAATTAAAAGAAGACAATCAAGTTTTATTAGAAACAAAAACCATGTTGGAAGACCAACTAGAAGGAACTCGTGCTCGTTCTGATAAATTACATGAATTGGAAAAAGAGAACTTACAACTAAAAGCTAAACTTCATGATATGGAAATGGTAAGTTTTAAGAAGTATATCAGTTACATGGCTTCTAAGGAAAACTTGTAAGATTCTGCTGATTTCCTTATATTGGCAAGGATGGCTAGTGTCCTTGAGGCTTTAACATAGAAGAGATAGCTAAATAAGTTAGAGCATCTAACTTTATATAACTATAGAAGCAGTAGAAATTTCTGCTTTTGTTACAGAAGCATGTTACTTACTAATTTTATCTTTAGCATTCAGTACCACAATAAGCTATTGTGTAAACATGTTTTTAAAAATACAGAAATAAATCTGTTTGCTAAAATTTAGCATTGGGTCATAATTCTTTTGTTATATCACTAAAACAGTATGTTGACTATAGAAGAAGAATTTTCATTGTGTCCCCAAAGACCAGCTTAAAAGTTGTCAGACACTTAATCAGTATGATGACCAGTGATAATTATAATTGCCTTCAAAATGGAGAAATTTAAGGAACTTGTAATTTATTATAACTGAGTTTCAGATAAATAAAAGTTGTGAATAATAGTGTTTGCTTGAAATTGTACTGCTTCTTGGCTTTTTTTCCTCTCCGTAATCCTTGCCAATAAAAAAGGAACGAGATATGGATAGAAAAAAAATTGAAGAATTAATGGAAGAAAATATGACTTTGGAAATGGCACAGAAACAAAGTATGGATGAATCATTACATCTTGGCTGGGAGCTGGAACAGATATCCAGAACTAGTGAACTTTCTGAAGGTATTCTGAGTTTTGTTTTATTTAAGTTCATAATTGAATCATAAAATTTGTTTATGTTTACTTGAGGTTCTTTATTTTCGCCAGTGGGGAGATACCTCAGAAGACTACCTGTCTGCATGGATATTATTTCACACAGTAATATATTGTTTGTACTTTCTTGGGTCTGGTCCCTAGCTTTGCCTGTCCCTTAAAACTGAATTTTATGAATGCAATAACAGACTTGATAGGTTGCTTAGCCACTATTTCATGTTAATATCCCAAGAGGTTGCAATACCAGTTTATTAATTTAACTTAAGAAATATAGCCATCTAGTAAATATAACAGAAAAGTCATAGTAGTGGTCAGCATGTTTTTTGACTATAGGTAAACCCAAATAGGAAGTCAAAGGGTAATGGACAAATTTGCAGGTGAAAATATAGTTAGAATGAGTTAATTTAAGGATCTTTATGGCTACTTGTAATATGTATAATCTCCATTATAAGATTATACCTGCCAACCCTCCCAGCCTGGTTATTACCATGGACCTAATGAAAGATCCCCCAGGTAAATTTTTAACTTTAGCCTCTTTTTTCCAGACTTCACATTGACTTGTCCTCTTTCTTAAAGCTGGGCATAATTATATACAGTACAATTGTTTGGATTATAGCTTTGGATATGTTAATATGGATTTCTGAAATTACAAAATAAAATTTGCCAATTAGATCACATTTATTCAAATTAGACTGGTTTTGAAACTCCTCGGTTTTGCCCAGTGTTAGATTGTTCTGCTTGCATTTCTTCAGCAAATATTTACTGAGCACCTACCATGTGTAAAATACTATACCAGACTTTGAGAATGTAATGTTGACGTAGACATAAACTCTGAGATTTTATAATCTGGTGCTTACAGAATAATTACCTCTACAGATGATTCATCATATTGATTACCAATGAGGTTCTTACTATTTTAATTTGAGAACCTAATCCAAATTCTAGGGCCCCATGTACTGACTGACTATAGAGTAAGTGATGATATTCAGTCATTGAACTCGTGTTACTTAAAATATTTGTGAAACTTTAAAAATTATATTCCTTGTGAATTTAATACAAAGAAAGCCATTCAAACTTAAATATTTTCTACTAAAGGTAGTTAGAATTACTCTGTTCTTTAAGAGTTTCCTTACTTGTTAAGTGGGGACAAAATAGTGAATATCGTCTAGAGTTGTGAGAATTAAATTGTTGATATTTGTAGGGCCCTTAAGTGTAGTGCCTGCTAAATAGTAAGCATTCAGGTATTAAATATCATTATTATGTCACAGTTGTTTTGGAATTGATCTTAGCTGGGGTTGTAGAACTGAATATTTGCTTTACTATGGTGTAGTTTTTATTTTTTTAAGTATACAAGGGACTTTCTTTCTAGAAAATATACAGAATTTGGGAAAGAAAAAGAAATAAGAGGCACTAATAATTTCTTAAGTCACTTTTCATTTCAAAAAATTTGCTTCAGCACTTTTCTACCTCATTTTCTAACCCATGTATCTTAGGAAAGTTAAAGAGAAAGCTTAGATTTTTTTTTTTTCAGCTGGAGTTTCACTCTTGTTACCCAGACTGAAGTGCAATGGTACAATCTCGGCTCACCACAACCTCCACCTCCTGGGTTCAGGCAATTCTCCTGCCTCAGCCTCCTGAGCAGCTGGGATTACAGGCACGCATCACCATGCTCAGCTAATTTTTCATATTTTTAGTAGAGACGGGGTTTCACCATATTGACTAGGATGGTCTCGATCTCTTGACCTCGTGATCCACCCGCCTTGGCCTCCCAAAGTGCTGGGATTATAGACTTGAGCCACTGTGCCCAACCCAGCTTAGATGTTTTTAAACTGCCAGCATGTTTAATAATCATCTAGTGTAAAAGTTTGCAGTACTTGTGCTTTTAAGTTTCTATGGAATGTGTGGAAATGTAAATTGGTTCAGCCATTCTGGAAAACAGTGTAGTGGGTCCTCAAAAAATTAAAAATAGAACTCTCATAGCATTCAGCAGTTTTGCTCCTGGGTATATATCTAAAGGATATGAAATCAGTATATGAAAGAAATATCTGCACTCCCATGCTCATTGCAGCATTATTCACAAATGTCAAGATATGGAATCAACCTGTGTCTGTCAATGAAATAATGGATAAAGAAAATGTGGTTTATATACATAATGGAATATTATTCAACCATAAAAAAGAATGAAATTCTGGCCGGGTGTTGTGGCTCATGCCTGTAATCCCAGGACTTTGGGAGGCCGAGGTGGGTGGCTCACGAGGTCAGGAGTTTGAGACCAGCCTGGCCAACATGGTGAAACCTCGTCTCTACTAAAAATACAAAAATTAGCTGGGTGTGGTGGTGGGTGCCTGTAATACCAGTTACTTGGGAGGCTGAGGCAGGAGAATCGCTTGAACCTGGGAGGGGGAGGTTGCGGTGAACTGACATCACCCTATTACACTCTTGCATTCCAGCCTAGGCAACAAAGTGAGACTCTGCCCCGCCCCCTAAAAAAAGTGAATGAAATTCTGTAATTTGCAACAACATGGATGAACTTAAAGGGCATTATGTTAAGAGAAATAAGCTAAGCACAGAAAAAGGGTAGTGTATGATCTCCTTTATGTGTGGTATCCAAAAAATTCAAACTGAGAGAAACAGTGTAAAAAGGTTGTTACCAGAGGCTGAGGGGTAAGGGTATTGGGAAGATGTTGGTCAAAGGACAAAAAAGTTCACTTAGATGAGAATGAGTTCAAGAGATCTATTGTATATCATGGTGACCATTTAAAAACATCTAATACAGGTTGGATTAACAATAATGCTACACTCAGGGAATGATACATATTTAAACTGTTTCTATACTGTGTTTTAATAGATTTTATAAGACAGAACCAGATTTATAAAGGGATAATGAATGGAACTGGAAAAAAGATTTTAAAATAATTTTAGCATGCTCAGAACATTTTGAACTTTTAGCCAAAATAAAACAAGTAGTATTGTATTTTCAAAATCCATTTAATCCTTCATTGGTTGCTACTTAGAATAATGTATCCTATAAATTTATAGTTAAATTTAATCTTTTCATTAAAAAAAGACTTGGGCAACTAATGGAATTTTAAAAGTCAGTAACTGTTCGGTATACCAGCCTTCAGTAAAATATTAACAACATGATTAGAAAAGCTGGAAATAAAAATTGAGGTTTTCATAACTATGGAGTTTATTTACTTATCTAATTTTGAGGAGATTTTATTCATGATGGGGGATATGTTGGATTTGCTTGTATTTCTATGGTTTTTATGAAGAAAAATTTGAAACATATACAAAAGTAGACAGACCTGGAAATTCCCTCCAATACTTTCATTCCTTTACTGTCTTGAAATCATAGGTCTCATATTTCATTTATAAATCCTAATATTTTTATATTAGCAAAATATTTAATGGGTCTACTGGAGCTCCTCTTTCTTCAATCTAAATTTTGTGCTTTTTTCTATAGAATGTTGTGGATGTATTAAAAGTTAATATTTATCTCTTGGCTGGGTGCAGAGGCTCATGCCTGTAATCCCAGAACTTTGGGAGGCCAACACAGGAGGATTGCTTGAGCTTAGGAGTTCAAGACCAGCCTGAGTAACAGAGACCCAGTCTTTACTAAAAAGTCAAAAAATTAGCTGGCTGTGGTGGTGTATACCTGTAGTCCCAGGCACTTGTGAGACTGAGGTGAGAGGATCCCTTCAGACCAGGAGTTTGAGGCTGCTAGGATGGTACCACTGCACCCCAGCCTGGGTGACAGAGAGAGACCCCCATCTCTTAAAAAAAAAAAAAAACCTCTCTTATTGTGTTTATCTTATATAACCTCGTTGAATTTTTAATAAAGTTAAGGATCAGATGATGCAATGCATATACGCTCAACTTTTTAAATAATAAAGAGTAAACATAGGTTTACCAATGGTGTATTTTTCAATATTTTAGCACCACAGAAATCCTTGGGCCATGAGGTGAATGAGTTAACCTCAAGTAGATTATTGAAGCTAGAGATGGAAAACCAAAGTTTGACAAAAACCGTAGAAGAGCTTCGGACTACTATGGATTCTGTAGAAGGCAACGCTTCCAAAATCCTAAAAATTGAAAAAGAAAATCAGAGACTCAGTAAAAAGGTAAATTACAATGTAATGTTTATTGTAATGTTAAAAAATACTTGTAAAAGTGTAAATAAATGGCACACTTATTTTCCACTTTTTAAATGCACCCTCAAAATTATTTTAACTTGTTACAGAAATTTTCAAATATACATAAACGTGGTGTGAATGAACTCTATACTCATTATTCAGCTTCAACAATTAAGAACTTACTAGCTGATCTTGGCCAGGCACAGTGGCTCACTCCTGTAATCCCAGTACTTTGGGAGGCCAAGGTGGATGGATCACCTGAGGTCAGGAGTTTGAGACCAGCCTGGACAACATGGTGAAACCCTGTCTCCACTAAAAGTACAAAAATTAGCTGGGCATAATGGTGGGTGTCTGTAATCCCAGCTGCTCGGGAGGCCGAGGCAGGAGAATTGCCCGAACCCGGGAGTTGGAGGTTGCAGTGAGCTGAGACTGCACCACTGCACTCCAGCCTGGGCCATAGAGCGAGACTTGGTGTTGAAAAAAAAAAAAGAAAGAAGTAGGGCTTGAGGAGTTATATTTACCAGTTTCCAAATAATGAATTGGTTCTCTCATATCTTCAGACAACAAATAAGTGAGTTTGTTATTTTAGTGTCATTGTGAACCCCTGAATTTAAAAATATTTGTATTGTTTCAAACCACTGTGTTTGTTTTTCCTACTGTCTCAACCCCGGCTAGTGGAAGCCTTTTTAAAAGTTGATTTGGTCCTGAATCCTTATGACATGGCCTTAGCACTCCCTTGAGAGTTTTCTTGCTTTCTGCCATGACAAAATATTCTAGGCTCAACTTGAACGTTTTCTCTCCCAGACCTAGAGACAGCCATTTCTATAAAAAGCTCTTATTCCTTTTAGTGGGAAATGATATTTAGAGACCACGATTTAGGCATTATGAAACCTAAATCTTAATTAGACTTTGGTTGAACAGAAATATTCCAGTTGTGCAATCACAAGTGTTTTATTTTTGCATATCTTTCTGTACACATAATTCTACATAAATAGAATCCCATCATAAAAGCATGCATGACTAAGAATTGTTTCTAAGAAGTTCCTAAGTGATGCTCAGCCTGCTCTCCTGGAATCATGCTTTGAGAACCACTGCCTCAGATTATTACAGGCTCCTTGGTATTCCTGCAAGATATTTTTGTTTTTAAAATAAATAAATAATCTTAATAAGTGTTTGACAATATAGTGTTAAAGTAGGATGACCATTTAGAATTTAGAACAGTTTTATTTTGTTGTCATTATAATTGGGCTTGTAGGGTACAGTTTCTTTTTGAAATTAGCTTTGACGTTTAATTTGTAAATCCTTAGTGATTCACGCATTTTTTGCACAAAATCTTGCACAAAAGACTTTTTTGTAAACTGAATGTTTCACTTTAATGTCATTGATACAAAACAACAAATGAGTTTAAATAACTGTTATTCATATATTTCCATCTATGTAATGTGAGAACCAGATTAAATATTCATAGCTGAAAGCTTCCAGAACTATAAATTAATGTTGAATTGAGTTATTGGATAAGTTTTTTGACATGATGCTTTTCATATTATTGTTATTATTTTGAGCCAGGGTCTCGCACTGACACCCAGGCTTGAGTACAGTGGCACAGTCTCAGCTCACTGCAACCTCCACTTCTCAGGTTCAAGCAATCCTCCCACCTTAGCCTCTCGAGTAGCTAGAACTACAGGCATGAGCCACCATACCTGGCTAGGTTTTTTTTTTTTTAGTTGTTGGTAGAGACAGGGTTTCCCCCTGTTGCCTAGGCTGGAAATATTATTGGAAGATTGTTTCCGTGTGTGTAGTTGTTTCCATTAATGTTACAATAGAAAAATTTAAATTGCTTTAGAGTGCTTCACTATTGACCTAAGAATTTAAGTAACATTTAACTTGTAATAGAATATTTTATAAAGTCTCCTCGATTTTTTTAATTGTCTGATTTGAATATGTTATAATGGAAAATCAATAGTCTTAGCATATTTTTAATCTAAATTTGCTATTTTGTACATATTAATTAAATATTTTTATCTCTAAAATGTGTAATTCAAAAGAAATTTGAACCTAAAATATATTTGCTAGTTTTCTTTAGTTCTTTTTTCTATAGTAGTATTCTTTTTCTCCCACTTTTTAATTTTAAACCAAGTCCCTTCTTTTTTCCTCATTAAACTTATACTGTACTATTTCTCATCTTTTCCTTCATTCTTTTTATATCTTCTCCTTCCTTCTTGCTCACTGAAATTCTCTAAGTAAAATTTTACTTTATAAATCCACTCAAGCCAAGAAGTAAAACTTGTATAGTTCTCATATAGCACATTATCATTATTCAGCTGGATTTGTCTTTATGTTTAGAAATTGAAACTTACCCCAAAGATACACAGGATAAGAAATCATGTCTGCATATTTTATACAGCTATGGAAATTAGCATGGAATGCTACTTGAATTTCTATACTAAGTTCTAAAATTTTGGCATTTATTAAAACTGTATTTCATCCTTTATTCAGTTATCTTTTGTTTTGACATGTTTTCCCCATTGTAGAATATTTAACATATTGTTTTGTGATTTAATTTTCTTTAGGTTGAAATTCTTGAAAACGAGATTATTCAAGAAAAGCAAAGTCTTCAGAATTGTCAGAATTTAAGCAAGGATCTAATGAAAGAGAAAGCTCAGCTTGAAAAAACAATTGAAACACTGAGAGAAAATTCAGAGAGACAGGTTCATACGTTTTTTACTAAGCAAACAATGTATTTTAAAATTTATTAGCAAAAGTTACTTAAAATATCTGCAAACAAAATGTTCATATAACATTAAAGGGAAATACTTTAGACTTTTTTTATTTTAAAGGAATTATAATTTTACCTCATTTTTTAACCTATGTATCTTAGAAAATTTGAAGACAAAGCTTAGGGTTTTTTAAACTGCCAATGTGTTTAATAATCATCTAGTATAAATGTTTGTAGTACTTGTGCTTTCAAGCATCTGAAGAATATTCTAGAGTCCCTAAGTAGTGTTGGCTAGGAAATGCAGCTGTCCTCTTACCTACCAAAGAGGGAGAAATGTGGTGGCAACCACACGGTCTTGGATATAATCAAACTTGTTTTCAAGTGTTCATTCTAATTTTATGTTTGAGGAAACTGAGAACTGGATTGATTGACTTTTTATTTGAAATATGTATTTATTTGAGACAGGGTCTGTCTCTGTCTCTCATGCTGGAGTATACACAATCATAGCTCACTGCAACCTCGAACACCAGGCACAAGCAATCCTCTCACCTCAGCTGGGACTATAGGCATGCACCACCATGCACAGATAATTTTTTAATTTTATTTTTTGGTAGAGACAAAGTCTCGGTATGCTCCCCAGGCTGGCTAGGTTTTTTTTTTCCTTAAATTTTTGGTAGAGACATGGTTTCCCCCTGTTGAGAGACATGGTCTCAAATCCCTGAGCTCTAGTGATGTTCCTGCCTCAGCCTTTAAGTGCCAGGATTATAGGTGTGAGCCACCATGCCTGAGCATTAATTTTTTTAGAAGTAAAATTATTTTTTTTATATCATCCAAGTATAGTTCTCAGACCAGCCATAAAAATGAAAGTTTCTTTACAGATACAGAACCAAAATTCTAGACTAAGCTTCAGTCTGCACTTTTGCAAGCTTCTTGGGATTATTTAACACACTAAATTTTGAGAATCATTGCATTAGGTCACGCTATAAATAGGATAAATTAGTTCTCAAATGTACCCAGTGATTTTTGTGATTTCGATGCTTCCTAATTAGAATTCTTTTTGGGAATGAATACACGTACATATAAGCCCATCTATACAAATATAATACAGCACATGTTTACTGAGGACCCACTATAAGCATTGGAAAAGTTACTTAGGTAAAAGTAAAACCTTATGTTCTCAAGGAGGGTATGTGTGTGTTATACCTGTATTCCTATTTAAATTTGAATCATGTAACTATAAATAATCTGAAGACCACTTTGATTAATAGAAAATACATTTCTCAGCCATTCCTTTAAACAGTGAACTTCCTACAGACATGAACTTTAATGACCTGGCAGTATATGTACACAGTGGTCTTCAGTAAATATTTGTCAGAATTAAAAGTAAGATAGACATTCTAGTACCCTTTTTTTTGTTCCCCTTTTCCTGGTAGTTTTTGGAAGGGATAAATCATAATTTGTTTTGACTCAATTACAGTTTTTAATTGTTTCCTTTTTCAAATTAGATTAAGATATTGGAACAGGAAAATGAACATCTGAATCAAACAGTGTCTTCCTTAAGGCAGCGGTCCCAGATAAGTGCAGAAGCAAGAGTGAAAGACATTGAAAAAGAAAACAAAATTCTCCATGAATCTATCAAAGAAACAAGTAGCAAGCTAAGCAAGATTGAATTTGAAAAAAGACAAATTAAAAAAGAATTGGAACTTTATAAAGAAAAAGGAGAAAGAGCAGAAGAACTTGAAAATGAATTGCATCATCTTGAAAAAGAAAATGAATTGTTACAGAAAAAAATAACTAATTTAAAAATTACTTGTGAGAAAATTGAGGCCTTAGAACAAGAAAATTCAGAGCTAGAAAGAGAAAATAGAAAATTTAAAAAAACATTGGATAGCTTTAAGAACCTGACCTTTCAGTTAGAATCCCTAGAAAAAGAGAATTCCCAACTTGATGAGGAAAACTTAGAACTGCGAAGGAATGTAGAATCTTTGAAGTGTGCAAGCATCAAAATGGCTCAGCTACAGCTAGAAAACAAAGAACTGGAAAGCGAAAAAGAGCAACTTAAGAAAGGTTTGGAGCTCCTGAAAGCATCTTTCAAGAAAACAGAACGCTTAGAAGTTAGCTACCAGGGTTTAGATATAGAAAATCAAAGACTGCAAAAAGCTTTAGAGAACAGCAATAAAAAAATCCAGCAATTAGAGAGTGAACTACAAGACTTAGAGATGGAAAATCAAACATTGCAAAAAAACCTAGAAGAACTAAAAATATCTAGCAAAAGACTTGAACAGCTGGAAAAAGAAAATAAATCATTAGAGCAAGAGACTTCTCAATTGGAAAAGGATAAGAAACAATTGGAGAAGGAAAATAAGAGACTTCGACAACAAGCAGAAATTAAAGATACCACATTAGAAGAAAATAATGTGAAGATTGGAAATTTGGAAAAAGAAAACAAAACCCTATCCAAAGAAATTGGTATATGTAAAGAATCTTGTATCCGTCTAAAAGAATTAGAAAAAGAAAATAAGGAGCTTGTGAAAAGAGCAACTATTGATATAAAAACGTTGGTTACACTACGTGAGGTAAATATATTTACCTAAATTAAAGGCAAATATTATTTATATTTTCAACTCAAGGTTTCTTTAAGTTTTATTGGATTCTATCAGTAATTTGCATCATGTATTTTTTTTTGTTAAACTAAGAAATACCTATAAATTGTATTTTTAAAATAATTTGTAGTAATAAAGTTCCCTAGTGGTATCTGACTTATTGCATTATAATTTTAAACCTTTATTTCAATATAATAATAAATGCTTATTATAAAATGAAATGTTATTTCAATATAATATTTGATCAAGATTCTTACTGAATTCTAAGTATAATAAAGCAGCATGATAGCAATTATTTATTGAGTGCTATGTGCCAAGTGTGGGCTGAAAACTTCATATAAGTTGTATATACATGTACATAATTTTTACAATGAATCCTTTATAAGTATTATATCTATTTTTTTAGACAGAAAATTGAGGTTCAGAAACATGAAATAATTTACTCAGGATCACACAACTAATAAATAGCAGAGTTGGATTATTGAATTCAAATCCAGACTTTCCAGACTCCAAAGCCCCATGAATTTTGACCTTGAAGCTAGAGAATGCAAATCAGGTTCAACTGTTCAACACTGAGCAACTAGTAGTTGCTTAAATCTATGTATCAAGAAGAATTGTGAAACCTAGAGGAGTAGATTGGCAGGATATCCTGTGAAACATTGTTGGTGCAAGTCAGAAGATCTATGTTTTTGGCTCTTTTTTGCCATCTCTAAGCATTATAGTATGTGATAATTCTTTAAGTTCAATTTCAAAGTATGTTAGCATTCTGGCAGAAGGTCACATTGGGCTGTCTGTGTTCTGCTAAAGAGGCATTGAGAGGGATCTTTTATTTTTTTTCTTCTGTGGACTTATAGACATGAACAACATGTTCCTTGTGCCTGAACTTCTACGAACATCCTCTAGTTCTTCACATCAGTATCACAGGGCCTCTTTCACTGGAAGAAGGGATCTTGTGGAAGAGAAGTGTTATAGTCAACATATATTTATAAGAAGAAATGTGCACTAGAAATCCAGGCTCATTATTAAAAAGTAAATAGATATGTTTTTCCCTCAAATTTTTAAACCTAAATGTGTATTCACAAGTAAAGAGTTAAACTCTCTTTTAAGGCTTTGTTTAAAGTATTAGCCAGAAAAAACAAAAAAAGGAAAAAGTTATTTCAACTAGGTTATAATAATGAAGGAAAGGTTTAATGACATTTCTTGGTTCAAATTATATGTATTCCTAGATGGTAATTAGAATCTTAGTTGACTTTCTTAGATGTTTATGCCCTTGACACTTACATGAGTTTTGTATTTCTTTTAAAATAAGGATTTGGTGAGTGAAAAATTGAAGACCCAACAGATGAACAATGATCTCGAAAAATTAACTCATGAGCTTGAGAAGATAGGGTTAAATAAGGAGCGACTCTTACATGATGAGCAAAGTACTGATGACAGGTGAGTACTAAATCTATTTGGCAAACAGTTGAAAAAAAATTTTTCTTGCTCATACATTAATTCTTTTCTGTACTAGCTATAGAAAACATTTATATATTTTTCTCTACTTTTGGTTTCTTTCTTCCCTGAAAGTTCTGTAAGGAAAAAAGAGGAATCATAGACAATATAATATAGATAAAAGAAAACAGAAAACTAAAATGTTACTACATAAATACAGTTACAAAATAGGAAAACAGGATCCCACCCAGGAAGCAGAAGATCAGAGGCTATAAATGCCTGTGAAAACAGATAAGATATTAACAACAAACAAACCTCTGGCTCATCAAACACAGTCAGTTAAGCAAGTTATTTTTTATTTGAATCATGCTTAAATGTCTCTTTTCTTCGTTTATTTGCCAACATGTTGGCTTAAAGATAAATGGAGAAAAAGTATGAAAGAAAGAAAAAGAAAAGCAACTGAGGTAAAAAATAATGTGGAAAACTAAAGCCTGAAAAACAGGATAAAAAATTAACTCATGCCTTTAATTTAAAAAATAATCAATATAGGTTTAAAGAAAATATGTATTCTCACATGGTAATTACAGTCTATTAAACAGAGTTAATATGATTTTCAAGTAGTCTACTATTTAACATCCAGTCAGCTCCATGGGTCCAGCTGGAATAGAAGTTGTATACTGTTAAGAATATTATTTTATGTAGACTAGAGTGTCATTCCATTTTTGTAATTATATAATTTATATTTTATCTACTTATTACTGTTCCATTATTTATAATCTATATTCAATGTATATTGGAAAAATTAATGGTGATTACATAGGATTTGTTAATGTAATTTTGAGAATGTTCAAAGTGAATAGGATAGAGTGATACTTAAAAAGTTAGTTGTGTAATAACAAAGAGAAACAATTTGAGTCATTTATTCTAGCAACCAGTTCAAGTCAAGTAGTGATTATTGAATTAATTATACAAATATTTCATGAGGAAATATTTTTATTTGAATTAATCAGATATTAAGTGCAGATTTCATTGACTTTTTTTTTTTCATTCAAACTGTTACTGAAGACTTTTTAAAATATAGATACTGAATATGCATCACCTCTTTATTCAAACAGATTTATTACCTACTATATGTAAGATACTGTACTGCACGTTCTTTGCAAAAGAAAAAGTAGAGTATACCCTACAGTGTTAATTGACTCTATTATAAATTTAGGAACCCAGCTCTGGGTGGACCCTTCATACAGTTTGATTCCTCTTCCCAAACCTTAATTTATACAGTTAGCCAATGTTAATTGAGCTTTTCTTTTCTGCTGATCACCTAGCATCAAAGTAGTGATAATGTTTCAACCAAACCTTAAAAAATGACAGAGGTTTACAAGGTGGGAACAGTGTGGAAGGGCATTCCCATTCCATGTAGACAAAAGCATTTGTATAAAAGCATAAAAATGTGCTATGCAATTTTTAGAGTAATATAAAAGATGGATTACAAAAAGAATTAATTTGGAGGCACAGAGACCAGACAGGAAGTGATTATAATGGTCTAGGCAACATGTGATGACAGTCATTATTTCCATATATTTATTTACATAATGAAAGAATTAGGCATAGGCATGAAGCTTTTTGGAAATAGAAAGTGGCTTGAACTGCTAAACCAGCTTCTTTCTCAGCCAGGAAGTTAGTCTTTATATCATTAAAAAAAAAAAAACACACAGAAGCTCACAGACATAAATTCCTTTAATGTGCCATGCCCTCCACCTTGGGATTTATGTATATCAATCTCAAATGACATCCCTAACTCCTTTATTAGTCTAACTTTCCCATCTTTCTTTTTTTTTTTTTTGAGCCAGAGTTTGGCTCTTGTCACACAGGTTGGAATGCAGTGGCACAACTGCAGCCTCCTGGGTTCAAGTGATTCTTCTGCCTCCACCTCCCAAGTAGCTGGGATTACAGGCATGTACCACCATGCATGGATAATTTTGTATTTTCACTGGCCAGGCTGGTCTCGAAATCTGGACCCCAGATCTACCTGTCTCAACCTCTCAAAGTGCTGGTATTATAGGCATGAGCCACTGCACTTGGCCTAACTTTCCCGTCTTTCTAACTCATGATATTCTCTCTGAATTTTTTTGAAGGTACAACTATTATTAAGATACTTATTCTTGCTGTCAAGGAATATATAGTCTAATTTTGGAATTGAATGTATACGTAGATAAATTTAAATGCAACAAAATAAATTTAGTAAGCCAGGCGCGGTGGCTCACACCTGTAATCCTAGCACTTTGGGAGGCTAAGCCAGGCAGATCACTTGAGGTCAGGAGTTAGAGACCAGCCTGGCCAACATGGTGAAACCTTGTCTCTACTAAAAATACAAAAAATTAGCCAGGCATGGTGGTGCATGCCAGTAATCCCAGCTACTTGGGAGGTCGAGGCACAAGAATCCCTTGAGCCTAAGAGGTAGAATCTGCAGTAAGCTCAGATCATGCCACTGCACTCCAGCTTGGGTGACAGAGCTTTGAGACTCTGTCTCAAAATAAATAAATAGATACATTAATTAATTAATTAATTTAGTAGTAGAGTTGTAAACAGAGGGTGATCACTCTTATCTTCTGTCTTCTCTTTCAATATAGTTTACAGGATTATGTTTTCAGGTCTCTATCCATTCATTCTGTATGCTAAGCATTCTCATACATCATCTCACCTGAGATCCTCTTTTTTATTTTCTTACTGTGTGTCTCTTATCAGGATAGACCAGAAGCAACTCAGTTGTCACAAATTCAACAGACCCCAATTCAGACTCAGTAAATGATTTTTAAATGTTGACTTGAGCCAATACAAAATGAGTAGATTTGTTCTCTGTATTCAATGAAGTTAAAATCTAATTGAACAGAAAAATTTACATAAAAATTAATTTTAATAAAAGAATGTGGCAGAACTCTCATATACATATTTTAGGTTTTTATTTGGTTTTATCTCAAGGGTCCTCAGGTTTAAGCAATGGATCATAAATGCTACTTTGTGATACACTCTGCATTGTGTTCATACACCATTCTTTTTGTGAAAAAAGTATTTGTTAATAATTATTCATGTATCTACCATTCAGAAAGATAATTACAATACTAACACTCACATTCATCTCCCTCTTGCCACTCTGTCACCAGTATCCTGTGCCATAAGTATGTGTCATTTTTTACCGTTAACTACTCTGTATCCTGAGATAGAGTCTTCGTTGAGTTTTAAGTCTTAAATGTTCACACATCCTTGCATAAATACTTTATTCATTAATATCATAAGCAAATGCTTGATGATATAATGAATCCATCTACTTCCTCTTTCTATAGATTGTATTCTTACAATACTAAAAGGGATATTTTGGGACTTTGATCTTCCAGATTCCTTGAACATTAATTATTGCTTTTGATAATCTAGGCCATAACCTGGAGCTCTCTGTTCACTCAGTGGTTTTGTTGCTTCATTGTCAGGATTAGTTTTAAAAGGAGAATGGGGCAGTAAGAAGAGGATAATTTCATTTGCCTCTTGAACAAAAAGGCTTTTATAAGACCCATTTATGGCATGAATATTTGTGGTCATAAATTATCTTTAAAAATAATTTTCTGACCTCCAATGATGAACTATATTACTTTGTACTCGGATAGTAGGTATAAACTTTTGGAATCAAAATTAGAATCCACTCTTAAGAAGTCTCTTGAAATAAAAGAAGAAAAAATTGCTGCTTTAGAAGCTCGATTAGAAGAGTCCACGAATTATAACCAGCAGTTGCGCCAAGAACTTAAAACAGTAAGTGATTTTCTTGGAAAAATTTTAATGATCATTTATTTTATAAAATATTTGGACAGAAAAATATAAAGTAGAAAATAAAAATATAAACATTGATATTTAGTTTATTTCTTAGTATTCATAAACAGATCTCTGTCAAATGGATATGGTATAGTTTATTCAGTACTATTTCATGTGTGTAATGTCCCGCATGCTGTTAGGGATATATCAGAAGTGTGTGGGTGGAATGAGAAAGAGGCAGGCTTATTTTATTGGGAAAAGCTCTCAGTGTGATACTGACATTCCACTCTGGCACTCTTTTCCTTTTGAGGATCCAGGGAAAATTCTGCTAGGCAAAGTATGAGGATACCAAGTTAGAGGAAAATCATATGTGTGTTATATAAGATAGCACCAGATCTCCTCATAAATTTGAGGTCTTTTCTAGATCTGTTTTCTTGTGACATTTGGAGGTATTCAGTGAAGTAAGTAAGCAAGGCAGAGGCAACTGTTTATTTTCCTTAAGAAAGTAAATCAAAATATAAGGGATTTGCCCGTTCCACAAGGCTAGTAGATAGTAGATTGATAGAGTCATGTTCTGGTTTATTCACCCTTTTATCATCTCTGCAGTGCCACGAGGAGTGGTATCAAGGTTAATTAACTGAACATTCAGACTGACAAGATTACTGTAGGCTGCATTTAGAATAATTCTACTTGGAACACTGTAGGCAATACAAATAGATAGCAGGGCAGTGTCAATCCATCCTCTTCACGTAGTTGTCTGAGAATCATCTTCCCACCAGATGGTTCAGGTATAAGAAGAGATTCACATTGGGTGTGTGCAGGAGCTTACCTGGCTTTGAATGCTCATGCTCACAGCAGTCATTACCTCTTGCAACAATTCCAAAGGCGTAGATTTAAGATCTCCACAATGCACACACCAATTATAAGAGTTGCTGCACTCAGAGAAGTTCAGAGATAGGGCTGACTATTGGTATTTAAAGTTCTCCTAAGTAGCCATTTTTTTCAATAACTGATGTTGTCTAGTAACATAGAATGTTCCATTTACATCAAGTTTCCAGAGGAACAGTTAACCAAAGTTGAATTTCTTATGTAGAAAGGGAAAGGTTTTTTTTTATCACTATTTGCCAACAAGATTATTGCTATTTGTCACAGACATTGACATGGAACATACCTTGTTACAGAATAAATTTTATTTATTTATTTTTCATCCGGACATTCTCAGAGCCAGAGAATAAATTTTAGAACTGTGTCTGGTTAACTAAAGGGATTATCCAAAAAAAAACAAGTTACAAAAACCCATACTTTAACCTGCTTTTTGTCCTGAATTTTTTTTTACCACATTAGCAGTATCATTGAGTTGCAAATAAAATCAATGTCATGAAGCTAGTCAACCAGAAAATTGGTGTGTTTGGGTATGGGTTTTGTACATGTGTTTGAAGTAGATATTTAAAATGCCATGGGTCACACCTGTAATCCCAGTACTTTGGGAGGCCAAGGCAGGCAGATTATTTTATGTCGGGAGTTCAAGACTAGCTTTTCCAACATGGTGAAACCCTGTTTCTACTAAAAATACAAAAATTAGCCAGGTGTGGTGGCGGGCACCTGTAATCCCAGCTACTTAGGAGGCAGAAGCAGAAGAATCACTGGAACCCAGGAGGCAGAGGTTGCAGTGAGCCAAGATCACTCCACTGTACTCTAGCCTGGGTGACAGAGTGAGACCCCCATCTCAAAAAAAAAAAAAAAATGTTATCATTGACTTCCACTTTCAGCTATTTGGCCATAACTGTTATGGACTAGCTCCTGCTATGTAGTCAATTGAATTGCTATTGTTAAAAACTTTTAATACTATATGTGAAGAGGCATTTACATTAAGATAGACTGTGAAAGTTAAATATGAGTAGTATAAGCGTTAAAGTAACAACTAAATTAGTATGACAAAGAGGTACAGGTAATATGACCAAAAAGGGAGATAAAATGGAATCATAAAAAATAAATCCAGGCCAGGCACAGTAGCTCATCCCTGTAATCCCAGCACTTTGGAAGTCTGTGGTGAGCAGATCACTTGAGCTAGGGGTTTGAGACTAGCCTGGGCAACATAGGGAGAGCCTGTATCTTAAAAAATCCAAAAGACAAAAAAAGAAGAAACAAGGAACAAAATACAGATTGGACAAATAGAAAACAATCAGTAAGATGGAAGTTTTAAACCGAGGCATGTGAATAATTATATTAGATATAAAAGGTCCAAACACCCCAGTTAAAAGGCAGAGATTAATAAATTAGACAAAAAGGTAAGACCCATCTATATGCTACGTATAAGAAATCTGGATGGAAAATGATATATCATTCTAGCACTAATCAAAAATTGCTTGATGGGCTGTATTAATGTTAGACAAAGTAAATTTTAGTGCAATGAATAGCACCAGAGCTAAGGTAGTTCATTGCACAATTATAAAGGGGTCATTCCAGCACGAAGATAACAAGGTTAAATGTCTGTGCACCTAATCACAGAGGTACACCTAGTAACACAGCTGCCAAATACAAGAGTCAAATATCTGTAGAACTGTATGGAGAAAGACAAATCCACAATTACAATGAGAGAGTTTAATACTCATCTCTCAATAATTGGAGAATCAGTAGAAAGAACTTCATCTACCAGATAAAGGGCTTCTATTAATAGCCTATAGATTAATCACCTTCCCCCTTTGATCAGGAAGAATACAAAGATTTTGCTCTCACTGTTTCTATTAAATGCTTAGTACACTACTGATCCTAACCAGTGTACTAAGAAGAAATGAAAGGCATACAGATTTGAAAGGAAAAAACAAAAATGTCCTTCTTTACCTGTGACATGACTGTATTTACAGAAAACCATGAGGAATTCACAGAAAAACTTTACAACTAAGGTGAACTTATCAAAGTCACAGGGTAAAAGTGAATATATAAAAATATATTTTATTTCTCTATATGAGCAATGAAAGATTGGAAAATGAAATGTAAAAGAAAAACACCATTTATAAGACTATGAAATACTTATGGATAAATTTAAGAAAGTGTGTGCAAAAACTCTGTACTAAAACCACCTAAGGAATACCTCAGTAAATGGAGATAAGAACCATGTTCATGAATTGGAAGACTCAATATTATTAAAATGGCAGATTTCCCCTGACTGATCTCTTGATTCAACATAATCCCAGTTAAAATCCCAACAGGCCAATTAATGAGCTGATTCTAAAATTTATGTGGAAATATTAAATGTTGGTTAAAATTGGGAGCAACTGGAACTGTCATACATACTGATGCAAATATAAGATGTTTTGATTAATTTAGCAAGCAGTATGGCAATATCTCAAAAAGTTCTGGCCCGTGGCCTGGCATGGTAGCTCATACTTGTAATCCCAGCACTTCAGGAGGTTGTGGCAGGCGGATCATTTGAGGTCAGGAGTTCAAGACAAGCCTGGCTAACATGGTGAACTGCTGTCTCTACTAAAAAATGCAAAAATTAGCTGGACGTGGTGGCACACACCTGTAGTAGTTCTAGCTACTCAGGAAGCTGAGCCACAAGAATCACTTAAACCCAGGAGGTGGAGGTTGCAGTGAACTGAGATTGCATCACTGCACTCCAGCCTGGGTGACTGTTTGAGACTCTATCTTTAAAAAAAAAGAAAATAAAAAGGTGAAAATGCTACTTCTCTTCTCTCAAGGAAAATGAAAGCATAGATAAATAAATTTTCGTAACGGCGTCATTCATCATCAAAAAATTGGAAATAATGACTAAAAGAAAAAAATTAGTGATGCAGTCAACACATGGATAAAGCTTAGAAATATACTCAGAAACTTACACACAAACACACACACACAAAGATTATATACATTGTGATTTTATTTGTGTGAAATTATAGTATAAGAAGAATTTTTGTGAAAGAAAAACAATAGTTGCCTGGTACAGTGATCTTGCTAGAGTGATGGAAGGGTTCTGTCATATTGATATATGGGTTATATAGGTGTGTGCTGTTCTCAAAATTACTGAATTTCACTTAAAATCTGTACATTAGCAACTTGATGAAAATTATACCTCTATTTTTAAAGATTACATTATCTTTGGGAACTGTTGAAAATTTGAATTCATAACCTAATTCACAACATTTTAAATTTTAATTAAATTTTAATGGACAGTTTTTAAATTAGCTCTAAATTACTTTGTTACAATGACTTATTTTTTATCTAGTCTCTATATTCATTTCCTCTCTGAATATTAAGATTTTGAGTAATGATACATAAAATTGAAAGAACAATGAGTTTTAAATGAGAAGCCTTTGGCTGGGCACAGTGGCTGACGCCTGTAATCCCAGCACTTTGGGAGGCCAAGGTGGATAGATCACTTGAGGTCGGGAGTTTGAGACCACATGGCCAACAGGGTGAAACCGCATCTCTACTAAAAGTACGAAAATTAGCCAGGCGTGGTGGCAGGTGCTTGTAATCCCAGCTATTCAGGAGACTGAGGCAGGAGAATGATTTGAATCTGGGTGGCAGAGGTTGCATAGTGCCAGGATTGCACCAGTGTACTCCAGCCTGGGTGACAGAGTGAGACTACATCTCAAAAAAATAAAAATAAAATGAAAGGGACTTGAGTTTTATTCTCAGCTCCCCTTCTTAATAACTGCATATTTTTATAGCCTTTCTAAACCTAGAATAAAGACCTTGTGGGAAATTAATGTAAAATAGAGAGTAGAAATGGTGTCACTCATCTATTGTTATGGTGTTAAAAGTAAAAACAAAACAAAACCCAGAAAACTAGGATCATAGGGTACCCATTAGATTGCTTGCGAAACTTGATGTCACATTCTGTCTTGGCATCTTTTTAGTCTCACTTCACTGTTTTCTAACTCAGTGGTGGCAGTATTAATTGTTGAGTCATAGGATTTCTTAAGTTGTGCATCAGATGTTGAATTATAAAACATTTCTACTCTTCCCTGAATACAAAGGTAGGGTTAATTAGAAATTTATTTTAGGGATCTCCTAGGATAAACTAGTGACTCAAAATAGTTTAATAATTCAATATAAGTACAACAGTAAATTTAAGCCGAAGAGAAAGAGTTATTAAGTTAAATCTGGCAAATGTGGTCATGGATGATGAGTAAGTTGTTAATAGCAATCCAAGGATATAGCTTATCCAGGATTTTCTAGTGTGATGGTAATCTACTTTAAGAGAGCCAACTGAGAACTAAAAAATCCCGAATAAGATATATCCATTAAATTAATAATATGTCAAATCTTTGTGCTTTACATAGACAGCTCTGTGAAATTTCTAAATTGGTTATAGATAGCTGTAAAAAGAATTGTTAGTAATTAGAAACATACCTAAATCCACTTACCTGGGGGCATTTTCACTACAAACGATAGGATTTGACATTACAGAATACATTGTAGGAGCATGCCACATAAGCAGAGTATGCTTTATATTTCTAGGAGGAAAGATTTGCATTTTAAAAAGCACAAATTATACATATTATTCATCACATTTAAAAATAAATTGCCTCTCATATTCATCAGACCAGCCCAGAGTCAAATTGTGAGAAATATAACAGTGGTGATTTTTTTTCTCCTCATCAAAATATTTTAAATAAAACTTTAGGTGAAAAAAAATTATGAAGCTCTCAAACAGAGACAGGATGAGGAAAGGATGGTACAGAGCTCTCCTCCAACATCTGGTGAAGACAACAGATGGGAACGAGAAAGTCAAGAAACGACTAGAGAACTTCTGAAAGTTAAAGACAGATTAATTGAAGTAGAAAGAAATGTAAGTATTTTTTAATTTTAGTAGGAATCTTTTTTTTTTTTTTTAGAAATAGAGGATAACTGGATATATTTGGATATATTTATCTTAGATACATTTTCTAATATTTAAACAATTCATCACACTTAATAAGAAAATTCTAGTCACATAGGCCTTTTTCTATTTATTCCTACCTCAGGGGACTTTGTTTTTGCTTCTTCTGCCTGAAACACATGACTGGCTTCCCTTAGCATTTGGGTAGCATATCATATGCCCTGCAGAAGGTCTTCCCTGACTTCTTCCCCCAGTAAAGTTGTTATCCTCAACTTAAACTGTTCACTATTGTTCCATTTCTTAGTTTTTTTTAATAGCAGTTTTCACAGTTAAATTATATTTTGTATTCATTTAAGAAAGTAGGTAATTTGTCTTTCTTTTTCACCATCTTTACTATCTAGATTAGTGCCTGGTAGGTATTAGACACTTAACAAATATTTGCTAAGTTAGTTCAATATATACTTGATAGTAAACAACAAGCAAACAAACTGAACAACAAGTATTTACCCTTCATAAGTTGAGTAAACTTAAGGAACTTACACAATAACAAGTAAAATATTTGTGGTGGTAGTTACTATTTTTTAATTTAACACAAGAATAGTACCTTTTAAAAAAAACTAAGCTAAAACCAAAAATTAATCCCCACACCCATTGATTACTACTTTCTTATTCAAAAAGAATCACTATAAACAGTTTATCTTCCTAGAAAATGTTTTTGTCATTTCTCTGTATGTAAAAGTATATTTCTTCGACAAATTTATACCTGTGGGATCATGCTATACAAAATTCCTGTTTGTATTTTCAGTTAATGTTATCTTGGAGATCTCTCTATTTTAGCAGATGTATGTATATTTCATTTTGTGTAATGACTACCTATTATTCTGTAGTATGTTACCATAATTTACTTAAATAAATCCCACATTTCTGGACATTTAGGTTATTTTGAAACTTGTTCATAGAATGCTAAATTTCTGACAGTGAAATTGCAAGGCCAAAGGATATATATACGTGTGTGTGTGTGTGTGTGTGTGTGTAATTTTAATTGATTTTTCTATTAGTATTTAAAAATCCCATCAATTTTCTTTTCTTTTTTTTTTTCCCCTTTTCTGAGACAGGGTCTCACTTGTCTCCCAGGCTGGAATGCAGTGGTGAGATCATAGCTCACAGGAGCCTCATCGTTCTAGGCTCAAGTGATCCTCTCACCTCAGCCTTCCAAGTACCTGGAAGCACAGGTGCACACCACCACACCCAGGAGACTTTTGAATGTTTTGTAGAGATGGGAGTCTCACTGTGTTGCCCAGACTGGTCTCCAACTCCTGGCCTCAAGTGATCTGCTCTCCTTAGCCTCCCAAAGTACTGGGATTACAGGTGTGAGTCACCACACCCAGCCTAAAAATCATGTCAATTTTCAGTCTCACTAATAGAGTATACCTGTCTTTCCAGATGAACACTGGATATTACCTAGTGTTTAATTTTTGTTAAAGCAATAGGAGAAAATAATTTGTACATTTAAAATTGTGTGTTAGGCATTACATATCTTTCACATATTTATTGGCCATTTATAAATGCCTATTTTTAATCAGTGGTATATATACCTATGTTGCTTGGATTCATAATTATATTTTAGAAAATTGAGCTGGCATATGAAGTTCTATAAGGTAAAGTTTTTTTTCTTATTGACTTCCTTTATAAATTTCCATTGGAAAAAAATTACTTGGTGTATTTTAGAAAACAGGGTTGTAAAGATGGTTAGCCATATAATAGGCTGGTAATTTTTGTGTGTTTGCCAGTATTATATTTGCTAACTTCTTTTTTTAATTTTTTTCTTTTTTTTTGAGATGGAGTTTCACTCTTGTTGCCCAGGCTAGAGTGCAATGGCGTGATCTTGGCTCACCGCAACCTCCGCCTCCCGGTTTCAAGCAATTCTCCTACCTCAGCCTCCTGAGTAGCTGGGATTATAGGCATATGCCACCATGACCAGCTAATTTTGTATTTTTAATAGAGACGTGGTTTCTCCATGTTGGTCAGGCTGGTCTTGAATTCCCAACCTCAGGTGATCCGCCCACCTCAGCCTCCCAAAGTGCTGGGCTTACAGGCATGAGCCACTGCACCAGGCCTATATTTGCTAACGTCTTTCTTTTCCATTGTAATTTTTTTCCTGCTGTAAGATAATTCCCTCTCAGCTATCTCTTCTATTCACTATAGACTACAGGATTTTTTCTTATTCCCAAACATACCTGGAATAATCGGTAGTGTTTGTATGATTTAGTTTCTCAAGTGCTTAACTACAGTAGTATTTCACATATATATGTGGAAAATGGTTCACTTCTTTGTACTGAGATGGTATATAAATTCATCAGTATTATCAGTATTCTGTTTTTTCTAGTACACATTTTTTCATCCATTTTATTTGAATAAATGAACAAAAGAGAAGTATAATATGATAACCCATCTTAAAGCATTTTGCTTCCTCAGGTTCAATTTTATGGTTTAATATGTGGGTCAAATCCTGACCTGCCTTTTATACAGTGACATGTAGTGTATATAAAGCCAATAAAATGAATGTTATATTTACATATACATATGATAAAAGGATCTATTGTCATTGAGTTGTTAACTTTTTATGCATACTGCAGGGTAGACCAATTACGACCTTTTGTACATTAAAGTTTTATTTCTGTTTTCTGTAGGGTTCTTTGGTTATACATTGCTGTTGCTGATTTTTTTTGTTATGAAATTTAATTTAGAAATAATCCTAAAAATATTCATGACAAGTATTTTAATATGTAATTGTTGATTTGCATAGTAATTCATGTGTTTAGCTATAAAACTGAAATATGGCCTTATGTACTGGAAAAACTGAAAATGGTGTGTTTTGTTTGGAAATGCTCCAGGAGTCTTACAGTGAAATAGAGTTTTAATGGGTATTTTAAATCATGAGAAAATTTTTAAAAAATCTGTGTTAGGTCTGTTTTGGACTAAGATTGTTTCTGTAAACCTGCTTCCCTTTGAAGTATTTGTGTTTGGAATATACTTAGTTTTGCCACTCTCTCTAGGACCACTACCCACCTATGTATATATTTGCCTTTGGGTAAATTAGAAGAGATACACCTCCTTGGCTGGAAACAGCCCCATTTATTCTGAGCATTCTGGGAATATTCAAGCAGTATTAAGACCATACAACTGACAATTCCTTTCTAGTTTGTGCGTTAATCAATATATTTAGAATGCGATATTTTTAGGATATTGTGATACAGACAAGACACAGGCACAATATTAAGGTTTTAGTATTATTGCCTTCTTTCTAATAAATTAAATGTTTACAATTTGGGATGGGGAAATGTTTTGGTTCTTTTCTCTCAAGATTGTTGGGGTTTTTATGGATTATAATGCTAATAAATAGTCATTGTATGAAATGCAGTATATTATAGAAATATGTTTTATATTGCCATTATTGTTAATATGTTTGGTTTTTGTTTTTGTTTTTTCAGAATGCTACACTGCAAGCAGAGAAACAAGCATTGAAAACTCAACTGAAGCAGCTTGAGACACAGAACAGTAATTTGCAGGCTCAGATTCTTGCACTGCAGAGGCAGACAGTGTCATTACAGGAACAGAATACTACTCTTCAAACACAGAATGCCAAGCTTCAGGTTGTAATATAATATTTTGGGAATATGCAACCAAACTCTTGAATTATGCTATTAAAATAAGGGAGGCTAAACATGGAAACATTGTTTCTTAGTGAATGAACTTATATTAATTTAAGATAAATGAAAATATTTTTATTTAGTGCCATCAATCTTTAAAATATCAGAGCCTTTAAATATTAACAAATTCAGTTAATACATCTAAATAAAGATAAATTATATTTACTTTATGGTCTTTCTACGATTTCAGTAAGTTGATTATAGTAATTTAGATGTAGAAACCCTTGCTTTAGAGTGTGGTTGCAGCATACTATTCCTTATTTCACTTTTGTAGCTTTTTTTTTTGTCATTTTAGTTAATGGAAAGCAGGAAAGCATAGGAATATTGTCTTTAGATTTGTCATAAGTTCAAAAGATCCATCTTTCACTTAACACCACCAGTGTGTTTTCAAACAGAATAATCAGGTGGGGAAAAGTTCAACTCTCTGAAACCTCTTAAAGAACAGAAACAAGTTTCCTCTCCAAAGCATTCTTCTTTCTGTAGCTCTTTTCTTTGATAGTGATTTTCATCAACATCAACACTTTGATTAAAAAATACTTAATTAATTTGGACTTTTGAAAAATTTCCAAAAGTAATTTTTTACTTCTATCAACTTCTATCACTGAATTCTAGAAATGATAAACTAGCACTTCAAATTCTGTACTTTTCTGTAAGTGGAATACAAATGGTTGCTGATCACCTTCATTTAAAATAAATTCAACCCAACATGTAAAATACATATATACATCTATGTATACACACACACATATATATGTATGTATGTATGTGTGTGCTTTAACATCTCCCCAAATCAAAATTAAATGGTAGCTTTATTCTTTGGGAAGCTAAAATCCAAATATTCCCAGTATAATGTAAATATATCTGCTGTGATTTATTTAGAGCTTTCTTTAATGTTGTAATCTTTTATTTTACAAAGGAATATGAACTATTTTTCTTATGTCTGCTAATAATATATATTCTTATAGGTTGAAAATTCCACCCTTAATTCCCAAAATACCTCACTTATGAACCAGAATGCACAACTCCTAATCCAGCAGTCTTCCTTAGAAAATGAAAATGAATCTGTAATCAAAGATCGGGAAGACCTAAAATCTCTCTATGATTCTCTGATAAAAGATCATGAAAAACTGGAACTTCTTCATGAACGTCAGGCTTCTGAGTATGAATCTCTTATCTCTAAACATGGAACTCTAAAGTCTGCCCACAAAAACCTTGAGGTGGAACACAGAGACCTTGAAGACCGGTAATTTATTATATTTTGTTGTATCGAGAATTTAAAACCAATTTTCTTCAAGTAGTGTAATAAATTTTATATATTAAACACATCTAATGTTAGTTTACATAGGAAATTTACATAAATGTACATGTATTTTAAATGATATTAATAAATTACTTATTTCCTTCATTTCTAAAATTTCTTTTTTGGAAATATTATAAACCAAATGTCTTTTTTTCCCCCCAGTTACAATCAGTTACTAAAACAGAAAGGACAATTGGAGGATTTGGAAAAGATGCTCAAAGTAGAACAAGAAAAAATGCTACTTGAAAATAAAAACCATGAAACAGTAGCTGCAGAATACAAGAAACTTTGTGGTGAAAATGATAGGTAATAAATATACATTTTCTATAATAAACATATATTTTATGTAGAAAGTATATACATATATTTGTGTGTGTATATATATATTTAATTCTGTATTATTATTTACATCCAAAATATATACTGCCCCTTTGTAGTACCAACCATAGTTTGAGTTTAGAATTTTTAAAAATAGAACAGGCTGAGTGCAGTGGCTCACACCTTTAATCCCAGCATTTTGGGAGGGTGAGGCAGGTAGATGGCTTGAGGTCAGGAGTTTGAGCCTGACCAACATGGTAAAACCCCATCTCTACTAAAAATACAAAAATTAGCTGGACGTGGTGGCGTGCACCTGTAGTCCTAGCTACTGAGGTAGCTGAGACAAGAGAAATGCTTGAACTCAGAAGGCAGAGGTTGCAGTGAGCCATGATCGTGCCACTGCACTCCTGCCTGGGTGACAGATCGAGACTCCATCTCAGAAAAAGAAAAAGACAGGATCTTGCTCTGTTGCCCAAGCTGAAGTTCAGAAGCACGATCATAGCTTACTGCAACTTCAAACTCTTATGCTCAATCAATCCTCCCACCTCAGCCTCCGAGGTAGCTGGGACTACTGGCACACACCACCATGCCTGGCTAATTTTTAATGTTTTTTAAATTTTAGCTTTTAGTTTTTGTAGAGATACGGTCTCACTATGATCTCCAAGGCTGCTCTCAAACTCCTGGCCTCAAGTGATGGTCCTGCTTCCACCTGCCAAAATGCTGGGATTACAGGCATGGACCATCACACCCAAACAATACTTTCTTATGAATGCTTGAAACTTTGAGTACCTATACTTCAACATGTTTAAAGACTAAAAAAATTTTTTCCCAATGTGCAGATAGGTGGATGAAAAAAGGAGATTAAAAATTCTTTTCAAGGGAAAGGTACTCAGAATTTTTTAAAATCTAGTTTTTACAGAATAGAAACTGATTTTTGCTAAGTTTAATAACTTACAAAACAGTCTTTTATTCTAAGTCTGCCTTAATTGTTATTTATATCATTTCATATTGTGTAAATTATACTAAAAGCTATTAAGATAATCTAATTATATTTATATGATTTCTAATTATAGGTTGAATCATACTTATAGTCAACTTTTAAAAGAGACTGAAGTTTTACAAACTGACCATAAAAATTTGAAAAGTCTTCTGAATAATTCCAAACTGGAACAAACAAGATTAGAAGCTGAATTTTCAAAGCTAAAGGAACAATACCAACAATTGGATATTACATCCACTAAGCTGAATAACCAGTGTGAGGTGAGCTTTAAGAAGCTGAATCACTGTATCTTTCCTTTAGACACCAAGACATGCCTAAAATATAAAATGACTGTATTACAATGAGAATAGCAGTGTACATTTAGTTGAGTATTTGTAAAAGATTTTGGTCAAGTATCATTGAAACTTACAAGTAATTCAGAACAACTTCCCATCTCTTTAATTATGATCTTTTAAAAATTATTAGGTTAAACTTATGTCCAGATTCTTTGAAAATTTTAAAATTTTCTATTCATTTAATGAAAAATGTTTACATCTGGCAGAAAATTATAAACCAATAGAAAAATTGGTTGGAAACAACATATGATTAATAACCTACTGAAGCTCAGAAAGTAATTCATTCTACTTATGATTTATAAAAGTCTAAATAAATGGTTATTAGGATGGCATACCTCCGGAATGTTAGAGTGAGAAATGTGGCAAATTAACTCCTTAAAAAAACAATAAAATTGGACAGAATGTCAAAAACAATAATATTAGGACTCTGGAACTCAACAAGGGCATATAACAAATGGAGAAGCATTTCTTAAAGCAAAATTATTCAACCCTGGGAAGGAACTGTCGTTGTCTGAGGCATTTTATCTTGGGTCTCCTCCTATTCCTCTTCTCCTTCCCTGGTTCCTATACCGTATAGCTCTGACAGAGAATAGGGCAAGCTGTGAAAGCCAGCAACTTTTCTTTTTTTTTTTGGAGACAGTCTTGCTCTGTCGCCAGTTGCCAGGCTGGAGTGCAGTGGTGTGATCTTGGCTCACTGCAATCTCTGCCTCCCAGGTTCAAGCAGTTCTCCTGCCTCAGCCTCCTGAGTAGCTGGGACTACAGGCATGTGTCACCATGCCCAGCTAATTTTTGTATTTTTTTAGTAGAGACGGGGTTTCACCATGTTGGCCAGGATGGTCTCGATCTCTTGACCTCATGATCTGCCCACCTTAGCCTCCCAAAGTGCTGGGATTTACAGGCGTGAGCCACTGTGCCTGGCCAACCAGCAGCTTTTCTACTGGAGGAAACTGACTTGATTTGGAACATAGCTTAGAAAAGCCCCATGCCTGGGAGAGTTGTCAAAGGTCAACTCTCAGATAACTTGAGGTTGAAATATTGGTTGGAGCAAGTAAAAGACCAGTGAACTTGTCAAAAATTAAACCAAGAGTTTCAAGTAATAAATCAGCCTCAATAGGTCTTCATAAGATCCCACATTTCACTGGTGGTCCAGAAAACTGTTTAAGAGAGACCAGAGAGGGCCCTAACTATCTTTGCATCCCTGGCTAATTCTCATAACTTGGGTCAAATGTTAATTATTGGCTGAGTCCTAAGTCATATAATGACACGATTTAGTGGAGGTAGAAAAAACTAATCTATGGTATAAGAGGTTGAGATAGTAGTTTACATTGGTGGGATGGTAGAACAAGTGTTTCTGGAATACAATTAATATTCTGTTTGTTTAACACATGTTATCTTTGTGATGATTCATATATATATATATATATATATATATATATACACACACACACACACACACACTTAAAATTTGTTCTCCGGCCAGGCTTGGTGGTTCACGCCTGTAATCCCAGCACTTCGGGAGGCCGAGGCAGGTGGATCACCTGAAGTCAGGAGTTCGAGAACAACCTGGCCAACATGGTGAAACCCCATCTCTACTAAAAATACAAAAATTAGCCAGGTGTGGTGGCGCATGTCTGTAATCCCAGCTACTTGGGAGACTGAGGCAGGAGAATTGCTTGAACTTGGGGGACAGAGGTTGCAGTGAGTCAAGATCGTGCCACTTCCCTCCAGCCTGGACGAAAGAGTGAAACTCCATCTAACCAAAAAAACAAAAATTGTTCTTTTTTCTGTATATATGTTTTATCAGTTGTCTATTGACACTAATGATGCTCTTGAACAATGGGAGAACTCTTGGTGGTAATGGACTTAACATTTCTTTTTGCCTAATGAGTCTGAGTTTGCTAATCTACTCAATGATGTATGGGCCACAAGTTGCTCCTGCATCTGTAATTAACTGGCATATATGCTGAGGGCTGGCGAGTCTATGGTGGCCTCAGCAGGGATAACCCTTTTCTATTCCATGTGGTCTCTCCATCCTCCAGCAGGGTTCTGAGAATCTGAGTGGAAGTACACAGGCAACTTGAGGGCTAGGCTTGGAACTGTTATACCATCACTTCCACCACTTTCTCTTGGCCAAAAGCATTCCAAATGCAAGAAGAAGGAAAATAGATTCCACTTATTTACGGGAAAAGTAAGAAGTCACATTGCAAGAGGGCATAGGTACAGGGAAGAAAATAAATGCATTCAGTTTTTTAAGGATTCTACCACATGCATTTCAGTTTAACAAAATACAGATAAATAAAACATAATATGATATTGACGGTTACAGATCTAAATGGTTGCTTATGATTATTTATTGCGTCATTCTCTCAGATTTTCTCTACCTTTTGAAATTTTTCATAATGTTTATTTTCTTTTTTTAGGGGGTGGGTGGTGTAGGCAGGGTGTGTATGTGTTAGTTGCTTTTGCTTTTTTGATACAGATCTCTGGGCTTTACTCCAGACCTGCTGAATTTGAATGCTACGGCCCAGATATCTACCTACAAGGGATGCCAAATTTTTTGAATCACTACTTTGGACCTTCTGAACTTCTGTTTGAACCTCTGGCCTAGCTAAAGTATATTTCCAGTTTCTGCTAACCGGGTACGAAAGGCCCAGTGCTGCTGGCAGCCCAACTACTAGTAATGCCAGATGTTAATACCAACTATTGACTAAATTACCCGATTTCCCTTGATCAAGCCACATAGACTTTTAAGGTTTCTTAAAAACAGTGGATGGAGGCCAGGCACAGTGGCTTACACCTGTAATCCCAGCACTTTGGGAGGCTAGGAAGGGCAGATCACCTGAGATCAATAGTTCAAGATCAGCCTGACCAACATGAAGAAACCCCGTCTCTACTAAAAATACAAAATTAGCCGGGCATGGTGGTGGGCGCCTGTAATCCCAACTACTTGGGAGGCTGAGGCAGGAGAATCGCTTGAACCTGAGAGGCAGAGGTCGCAGTGAGCCGAGATCACGCCATTGCACTCTAGCCTGGGCAACGAGCAAAACTTCGTCTCAAAAAAAAAAAGAAAACAGTGGATGGGGAAATTATGAGACATACTAGATACTTTACATGTATTAATCCTTGCAACAATCTTGTGGGGTGATAGAGCTCATATCTATCCATCTTCCATAGGTCTGAGAACTAACTTGTCCAACATTTCATAGGTAAATAAAATACTAGATATTTGAATCTAGCTTTTAGGCTATACTATAAGATAAACAGTTTTAAACACAGCGTTTGGGGAGTTAATTTATTATATATCAGACCCAGTGTTTGTGAGAATTAAGAAAAAAAAAAAATATATATATATATATATATCATGTAATCCAGTGCTGTAGCTGTCATTTCCACTAAAATAATAATGCTCTGATCAAAGTACAATCATCTAATTTTTCAAATAGTGGAACACTTAAGTCTTTGTGTAGTACTTCATGTTTTTCAGATGGTTTATGTTAAATGTAAATGTTGATTTTTAAAAAAATGTTTGTGTTTAAACAGTTACTAAGCCAACTTAAAGGAAATTTAGAAGAAGAAAATCGACATCTACTAGATCAAATTCAGACATTAATGCTACAGAACAGAACACTTTTGGAGCAGAATATGGAAAGCAAGGATCTTTTTCATGTTGAACAAAGACAGTACATGTAGGTACCAAATGATTTTCACTCTAAAATATGTTACTCATGATTTTATCATTGTATACCCAATGACAGAGAAAATTCATGCTAATTTTTATTGATTTTCAACATTATTTCACCAAATATTTTTGAGTGCTTATATTCTAGGCACTATCCTAATAACCAGAAATACTAACATGAAAACATGTGCATCTTGTTCTTAAGGAATTAGTAATATAAAGCAAGATATATAAATAAACATTTAAATACAGTGATTCTATATAATGGAAGTATATGTAGGAGGCCATAGAAGTATAGCATATAGGCCGGGCGCGGTGGCTCACGCCTGTAATCCCAGCACTTTGGGAGGCCGAGGTGGGTGGATCATGAGGTCAAGAGATTGAGACCATCCTGGTCAACATGGTGAAACCCTGTCTCTACTAAAAATACAAAAAATTAGCTGGGCATGGTGGCGCGTGCCTGTAATCCCAGCTTCTCAGGAGGCTGAGGCAGGAGAATTGCCTGAACCCAGGAGGCGGAGGTTGCGGTGAGCCAAGATCGCGCTATTGCACTCCAGCCTGGGTAACAGGAGCAATACTCCGTCTCAAAAAAAAAAAGAGAGAGAAAAAAGAAATATAGCATATATAGGGACAGGAGTATCTTAGTCTGGGAGAGGCGAGGTGAACTTTCCAAAGGTGAGACTTGAGCTGAGACTTACAGGTTCAATAAGAGTTTGCTTAAGGAGGCATGCCAGGCCAAGAGAGCTGCAATACAAAATCATGGAGGTGTGATGAAGGTATGTTGTGGTGCTGTATAGGACCTAAACATTAACTGTGCTTTTTGGAGCAAAATTGAAGAAAGGAGGGATGCAATAGAGAAGTGGCTAAATAGTCAGGAGCCAGTTTACAAAGGTTGTTCTATGCCATACAAAGGAGTTGAGATCAAGCTGCAAGACTTGTGAAAGAGAATTGACAGGCTTAATTATTGGTAAGTTTTATCTCCAGAGAGTTAAAGAATCTGTTAAGACTCAGATTTTGGCTTAGGCAGCCCACTGGTAGTCTTTGTATTACTACACGTTGATTCATCTTAACTCAATATATCTCTTCTCTTTTCCCCCCACAAATGAGAAGCACCATAGTATGATAGAAATAGCTCAGATGTTGAAATCAGCTTCTGATTCATGTCCCAATTCATCCACTCACTAGCTATGTGACTACAGACAAGTCACTTCATTTGTGTGATCATTAGTTTCTTCTTCTGTAAAATACAGGTAACACTTACTTTCCAGTTTATTCAAGGAGTACATGAATTAGTATTCTGTACCTTTCAGACTTGATATACAGAAATAGCCAGGGCACATATGAAACCAGGATACAGCATACATTTTTCTGAAGCACTGGTCTTAACAAAAAATTTCAGGCAGGGAACATTATTTCTATATTAATACACAGGTATATCATGGAACAAAGGCAGAATTTCTGTAAACTTTCAAAGTAAATGTAAAACCTCAAAGAAATTTCACATTTGTGGCTGGACACCTTGGGCTCCACCTTTAGTCCTTTTAGTCTTCTCTGGGGTATGTATTCCTTCCAAAAGAAGCTTTGTTTTAGGTTAAGAAGCTTTGAGTATATATAAAGCTTTTGGCATTTGAGTCTCCTGTCCCTTAAGCAGAGGCATTATCCAAAGCTTTGTTGTCTTACTGTTCTGACCCTTGGTAACTAATACATTTCCAGGGGAAGGTGCTTATGTCTAGATAGTTGACTTCCAAAGATTATTATCTATTCTGACTTACTGAATATAAATTACAAGTATCCATCTTGCACGTCAGTTATTTCTAGCTAAATGCCTCTATCACATGGTCCAAGCAAGATGGCAGTGGACAGGCAGTACTGACAATTTGAAGGTTCTTAATGATATTTCAGTAAAAGGAGAAATGAATTAGGAGCTATGCCCTTGGTTAATACAGCCACTAACTTTTCAAATGTCACCTCTTTTGCAGGCCTCAGATCTAAGCAGTTGGTTAATAATAAATGTAGGCTGTATGCTGTTTGTGCCGTGGTGTAACTGTTGGCAACATCTGTTCACAAGGCATCCCCTACAGAATCTCTCAAGTTAGTTTCTCCGAGTCTCCACCACTGTAATTCAGCCTTTCCTCTCAAATAGACTACCCCATTAGCCTCCTGAATGTTTTCTTATCTCCAATCTTTTTTTATTTTTCAATCTTGCTTTTTCAGCCAGGCTGAAGTGCAGTAGTGCGATCTCAGTTCACTGCAAACTCCACCTCTTGAGTTCAGGCAAGTCTCCTGCCTCAGCCTCCTGAGTAGCTGGGACTATAGGCAAACACTGTCACACGCTGCTAATTTTTGCATTTGTTGTAAAAACGGTTTTACCACACTGCCAGGCTGGTCTCAAATGCTTGAGCTCAAATTATCTACCCACCTCCACCTCCCAAAGTGCTGGAATTAGAGGCTGAAGCCACCGCACCCGGCCTTATCTCCAATCTTTCTGATATATCCTGTTCCATCATTAGGTTAAACTACTTTAAACAAAGATTTCTTACCACTTCGTAATGAAACTTTCAATTCTTCTGATTTCCTACTGAGCAAAATCTAAAACCAAAACTCTACCTCTCTACTTCCTCTCAGCCTACAACATTCAAGCTAAACATAATTTAGCATTTTTTTTTAACTTCCTTCACTACACCAACATAATTTAGTAATCTTATCTTTCCCTTTCAGACTATCTAATAATGGCCTTTTTCTTCATGGGGATTTATTTCGTGACCTAAGAGGGATATATTCACCTTCTATAAGTTCCTGTTGTACTTGCACAGTATTTTATTTTGGTATTGTTACTTCCTTGGATTATATAGTAATTTTATACACACACACTATATGTTATAGTAATCTATGGGTATATCTTCTCCTATATTATAAACACAGCTGTTTATCGTTTATCTTTATGTACACCTCATGCCTTCTTCATTGTAAATGATCACTAATGTTTCTTAAGTAAATAATATTCTTTGGCACTGTGGGGTTTTTTTAGAGACATTAGTTTAGTGGCCTTTGATGTTTCTCTATTTAGTAAATACTACCGAGAATATAAAAATGAGACTAGGATGTGGTGACTCATGCATTGCTAGAGTCAGGAAATAATTCTCTACAAGTAAATGAAGCCTGAGTAATTTTGTCGAAAAGAAAAAAATCTATTTGCATGAACATGTGTTTGCAAGATAATTCATTATATCTATAATTGTAAGCAAACTATCCAACGTTTTTATTTTTTGCTGCTATAAATTGTAATAGATCACCTTTCTTCCAAAAAAGGGAAAAAAATGTTGCAAATGTTTTAATCAAAAAGGGAAACATGGAAAAATCCCCATTGTTACTACCTAATATAATCTTAGTTGCCAACCCATGGTATCTATATTTTGTTATGTTTTGGGAAGAAGTTAGATTATAGTCACAAAATAATTTAATATTTATAGCTGTACCAAATATGATACCTGTCCTAAAAGGTAATTTTTATTTTTATAGTGATAAGTTAAATGAATTAAGACGTCAGAAGGAGAAATTAGAAGAGAAAATTATGGATCAGTACAAATTTTATGACCCATCTCCTCCTAGAAGGTACCATTAACCAAATTTTATTAATTCTTTTTTTGAAAAAAACTTAATATTGCGATGACTTCTAATTTTGTGAAGGATTTGTATGTTGAATTTTAAACTGATAATTTTTAAAATTCTATTAGGAGAGGCAACTGGATTACTCTAAAAATGAGAAAATTGATAAAGTCTAAGAAAGATATTAATCGGGAACGTCAGAAATCTCTAACATTAACACCTACCCGCTCAGACTCCAGTGAAGGATTTCTTCAGCTCCCCCATCAAGACAGTCAAGATAGTTCTTCAGTAGGTTCAAACTCTTTAGAAGATGGCCAGACCTTGGGAACCAAGAAAAGCAGCAGTGAGTGCTTAAACTCTTTAAACATAGGGGTTATTTAGAATCCTTTCTAACGATTTTTTAAAACTTAAGTAGTCTTTGGGGGAAATAGTCTAATGAATGGCATTTATTTTTAATTTCATATGATTATAAAATTAATTGTGTACTGCATTAGTGTATAACCACACAATTTTCTGAGATACATCATACACAGAAATACTACCATTTGGCCAGAGGGGTAAAATATTGCAGAAAGAAAGTTGAAATAAGAGCTGGAATACCTCTGCCACTTGTTATTTCTGTTAATATGGACAAGCCTTTTACCTTTGCTTCATACTTCACAGAACAGTTTTAAGGAGCAAGTGAGAAATATGAGATGTCATTTTCATAATTATGTATAACTTAATCAAAATAATAAGGCATTTTATAATGAGGTTTCTGCTCATATACTTTGACGGCATCATACTGGAACAAAGTTACATTTGGGGAAGCAAAAAAAAAATAGTTATGAATTTGAAGAGGTGTTATTCAATGATTTAGAAATTATACAACATTAAGAAAAGGATCTACTAAAATAGAGCGGTACTGGCCGGGCGCCATGGCTCACACCTTTAATCCTAGCACTTTGGGGGGCTGAGGTAGGTGGATCAATTGAGGTCAGGAGTTCAAGACCATCCTGGCCAACATGGTGAAACCTCATTTCTACTGAAAACACAGAATCAGCCCAGTGTAGTGGTGTGCACCTATAATCCCAGCTACTTGGGAGGTTGAGGCAGGAGAATCCTTGAACCTGGGAGGCAAAGGTTGCAGTGAGCTGAGATTGCACACTGCACTCCAGCCTGAGTGACAGAGCGAGACTCTGTCTCAATATAAAATAATAAAATAGAGATGTGGGGGCCAAAGTGGCTCATGCTTGTAATCCCAGAACTTTGGGAGGCCAAAGTGGAAGGATAACAAGTCCAGCCTGGACAACACAGTGAGACATTGTCTCTATTACTTAAAAAAAATTAGGTGAAGAGATAAACATTGTGTATATAAACTTGTGATGTAATTTGTATTACAAATTTAGAAGTACCACGTAATATGCCGTATACAATTATAACTTCTTAATTTCATTACTAGTATGCTTACACAGTAACAGCAAAGTAAAAGCTGTAGAAGTATATTTCAAGAAAATGAGAAAAAAATGTTAAAGATGTCTAAGAAGTTGACTACTACAAAGATCTTACAAAATATGTGAACAGGATACTTTGAATCTTCTCACACTATCACTAGTGTCACTAACACACACACACACATTTCATTCTTTTGAAATAGCAGGTAAATGCAACTGCTGCTTCTCCCAGGGGTAGACTCTCCAAATGGGCAACTCTCAAAACACTCAAAAAACTATATATAGCATTTGGCTTCAGGTGAATTCTCTCTAAAAATATAGTATTTTAGGGTATAAAATACTCTTAAGATATTAGGCATTAATTGTGGGGTATAGGCTGGGCATGGTGGCTCATGCCTGTAATCCCAGCACTTTGGGAGGCTGAGGCAGGTGGATCACTTGAGGTCAGGAGTTCAAGACCAACCTGGCCAACGTGGTGAAACCTTATCTCTGCTAAAAATACAAAATTAGCCTAGCATGGTGGAGTACCCCTGTAATTCTAGCTATTCAGGAGGCTGAGGCAGGAGAATCGCTTGAACCTGGGAGGTGAAGATTGCAGTGAGCTAAGATTGCACCACTGCACTCCATACTGGGTGACAGAGCAAGACTTCATCTAAAAAAAAAAAAAATCTGAAATATTTCAGAATGCAAATATAGCAGCCTAAAAACTAGAGTCCATAGGTAAGCAATAAAAAAAGTCATACACATTTACATATGTGTATATATATGTATGTATATATTAGTCTCAAGAAAGCAGTTTAATTCTATATCCCCACATAAAATTATTGTTACCCTGGGTCTTTTGCTGTCTGGTTTTGTTCACCAAGTAAATCTACATAAATCCTCCAAGTAGTTCTGTTGTAGAGAGATCATCAAGTTTTCTTTAAAAGGTGGCAGATAAGTTAATCTTATCTGTTACCTTTAGATATAAAATATCTGGCATCTTACTAAATAAGAAATGGGGCCAGCCAAGTATAGTGGCTCACACCTGTAATCCCAGCACCTTGGGAGGCCCAGGCAGGCAGATCATGAGGTCAAAAGGTTGAGACCATCCTGGTCGACATGGTAAAACCCCATCTCTACTAAAAATACAAAAATTAGCTGAGTATGATGGCGCGTTTCTATAGTCCCAGCTACTTGGGAGGCTGTGGCAGAAGAATCGTTTGAACCCGAGAGGCAGAGGTTGTTGTGAGCCAAGATCACACCACTGCACCCCAGCCTGGTGACAGAGTGAGATTCCATCAAGAAAGAAAGAGAGAAAGAAGGGAAGGAAGAAAAGAAAGAAAGGAAGGAAGGAAAGAGAAAGAGAGAGAAAGAGAGAAATGGTTGGCCAGGCATGGTGGTTGATGCCTGTAATCCTAGCACTTGGGAGGCTGAGGCAGGTGGATCACCTGAGGTCAGTAGTTGGAGACCAGCCTAGACAACGTGGTGAAACCCTGTCTCTCCTAAAAATACAAAAATTAGCCAGGCATGGTGGTGCACGCCTATAATCCCAGCTACTCTGGAAGCTGAGGAAGGAGAATCGCTTGAACCCGGGAGGGTCAAGATTGTGCCACTGCACCCCAGCCTGCGTGACAGGAGCAAGGCGAGACTCCATCTCCAAAAAAAAAAAGGTAACAGGCTTACTTTTTTTTTTTTTGAACAGAGTTTCATTCTTTGCCCAGCTACAGTGCAATGGCATGATCTCAGCTCACTGCAATCTCCACCTCCCAGGTTCAAGCAATTCTCCTGCCTCAGCGTCCCAATTAGCTGGGATTATAGGCATGTGCCACCACGCCCAGCTAATTTTGTATTTTTAGTAGAGACAGGGTTTCTCCATATTGTTCAGGCTGGTCTTGAACTCCCAATCTTAGGTGATCCACTTGCCTTGGCCTCCCAAAGTGCTGGGATTGCAGGCATGAGCCATCTCACCCAGCCTACTTAATTTTGTTTTTAAAGAAGATTTCTTTCTTCCTTCCTTTCCCTTTCCTTTCCTTTCTTTCCTTTCTTTCCTTTCTTTCTTTTCTTTTTCTTTCTTTTGTTTTTCTTTCTCTTTCTTTTGTTTTTCTTTCTCTTCTCTTCTCTTCTCCTCCCCTCCCCTCCCCGCCCCCCCTCCTCTCCTCTTTTCTTTCTTTCTTGTCTTACTCTGTTGCCCAAGCTGGAGTGCAGTGGTGTGATTACAGCTCACTGCAGTCTTGAACTTCTGGACTCAAGAGATCCTCCTTCTTCAGCATCATCCTCCCAGATAGCTGGGACTAGAGGAGAACAGCACTGCAGTGGCAATTATTGTTTTATTTAATTGTTTTTTACAGATAGGATCTCACTTTTTTTGCCCAGACTGGTCTCAAACTCCTGGGCTCCAGCAATCCTCTTGCCTTGGTCTCCCAAAGTACTGGGACCTGAACCACTGTGCCTGGCTTTAAAGGAAAATATGTTAATTCAGATGTAAGAGCATACACAAGAAGGGCACAAAAGACTTTTTTTTTTTTTTGAGTTCATCTTACCTGTTTTAGGTATAAATCTGTCATCCTTTCATATTCTCTGCTGAAACATCCAGAATAAGAATCAGAAGGAAGTATTATTCTCCATTCCTACGATTGTTCAGTTTTAGAATTTTTAAAATAAACCACAAACCCAACAATACTAATGTTCCCTTAATTTCAATATGCTTTGGAAAAAGAACATTGTATGTCCACAAACTCATTGCTGTAAGAAGAATCATTCCTTCCTGACAAATTTAAAACTCCTTTTATCATGTCCATTTTGGAAGAGTATCTGTAAAGCAGTCCTTGGAAAAAAAATTAAAAACAGAAAAAGAAATAAAAGTAAACAAGACAACATGTGCATGCTGCAACCACTCAGTTTTGTTTTATCTAAGTGTCCATTTTTATATTGCTTTCAGTTCATTTCTTTTTAATCATTGAAAACAGCTGTGTTTACTAAGCTTGAAAAGAAATAGGTCAAACTAAAAGCTTAATGAATCATGACTGCTTCTAATAGCAGTCAAACAAGTTAAAGAGCTATATCCATTGCACTCTGTTTTTTTGTTTGTTGTTTTTGTTTGTTTGTTTGACAGAGATGGACTCTAGCTCTGTCACCAGGCTGGAGTGCTATGGCATCATCTCGGCCCACTGCAACCTCCACCTCCCGGGTTCAAGTGATTCTCCTGCCTCAGCCTCCCAAGTAGCTGGGATTGCAAGTGTCTGCCACTATGCTCAGCTAATGTTTGTATTTTTAGTAGAAACGAGGTTTCACCGTGTTGGCCAGGCTGGTCTTGAACTCCTGACCTCATGATCTGCCTCCCAAAGCACTGGGAATACAGGCATGAGCCACCGTACCCAGCCCATTGAATGATACTTGTCAGTTTGTCAAAAGAGCTTTGATTATTTACATGATGACAGCAAACAGAAAGAATGTAGTTATTAAATAGACAGTGTATAAAATGTTTTTAGGTCTTTATGGAAATTGTTTTTCCTAATTCCTAAATTACATTTCCAAAAAGATATAATACTTTTTATAGTTAAATCTTACTAAAATGTAGCTTAAGAATGGTTAGTGACTCAAGTGAATGTTTTTATTTTAGTTCTAATGACTCCTATAGTTTAGTGATAATCCTAACTTTTATGCACAAAATCAAATTCCCTCAAAAATATCTAAAAATGTTATACATACTTTTCTCTCATTTTCATTTGCTTTGGGGTACCGCCTTATTTTTTAGGTTTATCAGAGCTTATTGCTAATGCTTATTACTACTATCAAAATATTCCTTTTTTCCCTCTTAGCCCCAGCCAATCTTTTGTAAAAATGAACTTAATGTAATTGCTTATTTCATCTGACTAATACTTTGGTCAAAAGAATGTTTATTTCAGTGGTGCTGCTAAATAATGCACAGAATCCAGTTTAAACCAAGAAGTAATTTATTTTCTTTATTAAAGGGTAGTAAACTAATGAAAGGTTTTTTTTGAGGTTTTGTTTTGTTTTTGAGAGAGGGTCTCCCTCTGTTACCCAGGCTGGAGTGCAGTGGTGTGATCATAGCTCATTACAATCTTGAACTCCTGGGCTCAAATGATCTTGCTGCCTCACCCTCCAGAAGAGCTAGGACTACAGGTGCTTACCACCACATGGCTAATTTTTTGTAGAGATGGGGTCTCGCTTTGTTGTCCAGGCTTGTCTTAAACCCCTAGGCTCAAGCGATCTTCCTGCCTTGGCTTCTCAAAATGCTGGGATTATAGGCATAAGCCATCATGCTTGGACTTTTTAGTTTTTTAAGATTGTTTTAAACATCCCCTGGGTACCCTAATTTTTGTTACTGTATATTAATAAAATACTGTGGTAGAATGTGCATTTTCCTCAATTATTTTTGTTTTCCAAAATAAAAATTATGTTTAAAAAGTTAAAATAGAGACTTCAAAAGCCTTGGACATTTTCATCATGTAGACTCTGTGAACCACCAATAGCCTTCATTTTAAAGGTTTACCTTTACAATTTAACTAGGAACATTGATCCCTGCATAAGTAATTCTAATCAGTTCCTGTTTTTATAGGACTATAATAATCCAAGCTTTAAAAGTATATGTTCCTCATCATTGTCTTCAGTGCTTTTCCCAGTATTTTAAAGTATCAAAGTACATACTTCATATTTCATTATCACTCAGCAGCATGACAATAATAGTCTTAATATAGCACACATAGCTAAAACTCAAACATTCATTTCTGTCCTTAATTTCAACATTTAACTCCCATCTGTTCTTCTCCCTTTTTTCTTTCATTTCCCTGTTTCTGTTTTTCCTCATGCTCTGACATTAAAGTGGTTGCACTGAAAAGACTGCCCTTTTTGAGGAACAGACCGAAGGATAAAGACAAAATGAAGGCCTGCTACCGTCGTTCCATGTGTAAGACTTTATGACAGTTCAGCTTCTTTCAAATGACTACACTGGCTTTCATTACTAATTTTTCACTAACCTTTCTCTGGACTGCGCCAATTTCCTTATTTTGCAGAGGTCAGTCTTCCTCTAATATAAGGAGCTGGAAGAATTTTTTTTTAAGTGGCACTGAATTTGCATTATGTGTTGCATATATCTAGTCATACATGTAATGTACTCGTAAATTTCCAGTGCTTTCTAAAAATTGGCAGGAAAAAGCCCTTTATTTTATATGCCATAGAGTTTTTTTTTCCCAAAAAAGTTTACTTAAGGAGCATATAACAAAATGTTTAGCATTAGAAATTAATTTCCTTTAATGAACCAGATTAAATTAATAAAATGGCCAATAACCCTTGAAAATACTTGTCATTCTTTAAATAATAATATTCTGGATTTTCTTTTTTTATGTGACATGGGTAGTTACATAATCACATTAAATGTCTGTCACTTTGGATATCATCTCTTTCAGGTTTTTATTGAATGGTATACTTATTGAGTCATTAAAATGAGTAATTTCTTCAGTAACCTGCTCTGACCAAGGACTTTCATTTTTAATAATTATGCTACATAAGAATTGCTCTCCATCTTACCTTTATTCATTCCATTTTTGTCACCACAAAACCACATTATAAAGGCTTCCAATTGAAGTGCACATTACCTGCACAAAAGCATGGCAGTCGTATAGTAAAATTCCTTTCTCTGTCTTTTAAAGGGGGTGGAGGTGGGACAAAAGTATTTATTGAAATTTATCAGCCTTTGGCCTACTCATTTCATTTAGCTAAATGCATGTCATAATTTCAATGACCATGTGGTTGTAGTTTTTGGTATTTATTTGCATTAATTCATAGACAAAAACCAGTGTATTTATACTACAAAATAGAAATACGAACAAATACATTAACCATGCTGATTCATTTGCTTCCATTTGCATCCCAGCCATGAATGACCTGGTGCAGTCCATGGTCCTAGCAGGACAGTGGACAGGTAGTACTGAGAATTTGGAAGTTCCTGATGATATTTCAACGGGTAAAAGGAGAAAAGAATTGGGAGCTATGGCCTTCTCTACTACAGCCATCAACTTTTCAACTGTCAACTCTTCTGCAGGCTTCAGATCCAAGCAGTTGGTTAATAATAAAGGTATAGGCCGTCTGCTATTTGCACTGTGGTGTAACTGTTAGCAACAAGAATTTTGATTTGATTTTTCCCTGTGTACTTTTTAAAAAGCAACAACCTGAAATAATTATCAAAACATGATCTGTATTTGATTTGGAGGAACTTTCAAATAATTTCAAAAATCTAAAACATTATACAAATAACTAAAATCTTTTCCAGGCCTCCTTTCATAATAAACAGCTAATGAATTAACAAGAAAAAGAGAAGTAAACCAGGTAAAGAGTGATAAAAGAAGGCAATGTTAGTTTTCTAAAAATTAAAAGCACTACAACTTCCAACAGAACTACCTAGAACAACCCAGGCTCTTGCTTTGGTTGCAGGGTCAGAGGGGAGATTGTTTCATCGCTTCTGGTGTTTTCCCTAAGCAAGTCAACTCATTAGAGTTGCCATTTTTCTTATTCCTGATTCCAGTTTTTGGTTGAGTCTATGAAATATGTTAAGTCCAGCTGTGTTATACATGACTGAAAAACAATTTCCATATTCTGTATAAATAAAATTTTATAATTTTTTATTACAAAAATATCTTTATATCCATTTTGCTATTTTATGTAGATACTACATCCTTTGAAGACATAAGTCCACAAGGTGTTAGTGATGATTCTAGCACGGGATCAAGAGTTCATGGTAAGATAATGAACTTTATTTAAAGAGTACACATTAAATACAGAATGGGGATGCTAGTACTCTTGCATATAATAGGTGAATATGGCATTGCCAGCAAGCATGTTTTCTCTGTCCTGCATCTCATAGTTACCTCAACTGTTTCTTCAAAACTGATACTCCTTTCTGCCTCTTTTAAGATAATTGCTTCATCTAAATGTTCTCTATTTTAGCCAAGGTCATTTATAAAGTATGCCTACACAGTCCTCCAAGGTAATTTTGTTGCCATTTTTGTATAAGGTTAAAGTTATAAGAGTTGCATTTTACCATTGTTTTAAAATGCCAATTAAAAATACATATTAGTTTAAAATATTAAAAATATCTGTTTTAAAGGATGAACTTTTAAGAAACCAATTTTTGGGCCAGGTGCGGTGGCTCACGCCTGTAATCCCAGCACTTTGGGAAGCTGAGATGGGCAGATCACCTGAGGTTAGGAGTTCAAGGCTAGCCTGGCCAACAAGGAGAAACCCATCTCTACTAAAAATACAAAAATTAGATGGGCATGGTGGCAGATGTCTGTAATCCCAGCTACTTGGGAGGCTGAGGCAGGAGAATCACTTGAACCCAGGAAGCAGAGGTTGCAGTGAGCCAAGATCATGCCAGTGTGTTCCAGTCTGGGCAACAGAGCAAGACTCTGCCTCAAAAAGAAGCCAATTTTGGGGCAGTATTGAGTATTTCAGATCTTTCAGTTTCTGTCTGGAAAATCATATCTCACCAAACTATTAGCAATAAGTGGATAACATGTTAAAGGAATTTTAAATGTAAGCAAGGTTTTAAGAGTTACCATAGGGCAGTGTTAACTACAGTTGTTTCCCTTGTTATGGATAAGAATACAGGACATTAACTATATAAATGCTTATATTCCTCCTCTTAGTGGCATCTTTGCAATGTACAGAGTTCCTTGTCTGATCTGTTGTAAATGAGCCAATCAGTAGCATTTTGGGGGATCTGAGGAGATATATCATTCTATTCAACTAAAACACTCCTGGCATATCCATCTAGAACTCATTTTCAAATCTAAATATGCACTTTCTCTCTCTGAATCTGAACTATTGTTTGAAGTGCCCTGCTCTAAAGTGTCTCAATGAATTATCTGGAAATTTGCTTTCTAATCTGTGGGCATGCTCAGCCTGTGAAAGTATGCATGATTGCTTCCTCAAAGCATTCTGTAGTCAGAATGTAAAAGCTCATCAGCATCATCCACTAGAAGTTTTATCACACTGTCTCCTGATTTTTTCATTTAGCTTCAAGACCAGCCAGCCTTGATAGTGGCAGAACATCCACTAGCAATAGCAATAATAATGCTTCCCTACATGAAGTCAAAGGTATGCTGTAGGTAAATTTATTAATGCACTCCATCCATTTCCAGTATTTTAAGGTGGGAGATGGGATGAAGTATGAAATCCAAATCATCTATGTTTGGAACATAGTTGTTTGGAATATTTTATACTTTTCACATTGTAATACAAATGTATTTCAATGTATACAAATGTAAAAACGGGAGCAGTTATTTGGTTTCAGTTTTCAATCTTCACAGATAAAAGTATTATGGAAATATTTATACTTCAAAATTATCTATACATCCTTATTTTACTGACATTTTGTCTTTGACGTGAAAATGGTTGTCCTTCATTTTCTCATAATGCATGGACATTGAACTCACATTACTCATATTTTAGAAATATGTTTGGCTTCATTTATCCACAAAATACGGGTAAGGATTTTGCGTTTAATTTGAGAAGCAACTATTTGTGTGTGTGTATATATATACAGAACAAGAACTATATAAATGCATTTGGCTCATAAAAAGAATTATTTCATGAATATTTTCTTAATTTTTAAATATGCATTCCAAGGTGGGGTATTTAAGTAAATGTCTGGAAACCTTGACTGATACCTTTTTCTCAAAGATATACTGCCTACTCAGATTCTGGAAGTGGTTGGTTTGTTTATTTTGAGATGGAGTCTTGCTCTGTTGCCCAGGCTGGAGTGCAGTGGTGTGATCTCCGCTCACTGCAACCTCCACCTCCAAGGTTCAAGCCATTCTCCTCCCTCAGCCTCCTGAGTAGCTGGCACTGCAGGCGCCAAGCACCACTACCCCCAGCTAATTATTTTGTATTTTTAGTGTACACGGGGTTTCACCATGTTGGCCAGGCTGGTCTTGAATTCCTGACCTCAGGTGATCCACCTGCCTCAACCTCCCAAAGTGCTGGGATTACAGGTGAGAGCCACCACGCCTGGCCTGGAAGGTTGTTTTTTGAGACAGGTTCTTGCTGTGTTACTTAGGCTGGAGTTCAGTGGTGCTATCTCAACTCATTGCAACTTCTGCCTCCCTTCTGCCTCAAGCGATCCTACCACCTCAGCCTCCCAAGTAACTGGGACTACAGAGGCCCACGCCACCATGCCTGGTTGGTTTTTTGTATTTTTAATAGAGACAAGGCCTCTAACCTGTTGCCCAGGCTGGTCTCGAACTCCTGAGCTCAAGTGAGCCACCTTATCCAGCCTCTGAATTATTTAACCAATATACCATCGTTATTCTCTATACTCCAGAATTGTCAGGTTACAAGGTGTCTCAGCTGTAATTTTATTTAATTAATGCTATGACATTGTTACAGTGATCTGAAATACCTAATTTTGAGGTGGGAATTTCTTTTTTAGTTTTTATCATCATGTTTTTCAGATGTCTTTGTTCCTTCTCCAATCCCACTACTTCACTTGACTAGCCTTAAAAGAAATAAATTAATTAATTTAAAATGCTTTTATATCCAGGAGAAAAAAATGTAGTCTGAAAAGATGATTTTTTTTCTGATTTGAAAATTTAAGAAACTCTTAATTTGTAAAAATGTTAGGTAACTTGAGTCAAATACTTTCATGGCCCACTTTACTCTGTGACTGAGAAACCATGGAAAGTTGCATTTTCTGCTTTGATATACTAATGCAGTTTGTTAGTGATCAAAACAAATCAGTACTCTTAAGGAACACCATAGATTTGAGGGAGTTTAATTCTAGTACTAGCTGATTTGAATTTTATGTAGTTGCTTAATGTCAACTGAGTCTTTTAAGGTTATATAGGCACCATATCAACAGTGGACAGCAGCAGAAGCAATAAGATGATCAAGACATTTAAAAAAGAATAAAGCACTACATATTTGATTTTATACTTTTACTGAAATGTTGTAAGTAATTGCTTCATGTCTTTATTTGACTTTACTTATATGTATGATGTTTAAATTCTTTAAATGTTTAAAGTTATTCATGTAGGATGAACAGAGATGCCTTCAAGTAGTAATGAGGACTTCTTGGAGAAGCAAAGAATTAAAATGGAATTTTCTGCACTTAGAAGTTTTTGGTCTTAACATACTGAAATAATATAAAATTCACCTAATGAACCAGGCATTGTGGCTCACGCCTATAATCCCAGCACTTTGGGAGGCTGAGGCGGGCAGATCACTTGAGGTCAGGAGTTCAAGACCAGCCTGGCCAACATGGAGAAACTGTTTCTACTAAAAGTACAAAAATTAGCTGGGCATGGTGGCACATGCCTGTAATCCCAGCTACTCAGGAGGCAGAAACAAGAGAATTGCTTGAACCCAGGAGGCGGAGGTTGCAGTGAGCAGAAATTGTGCCACTGCATTCTGGCCTGGGCGACTCTGTCTCAAAAAAATAAAAATCATCTAATCATGTTCTTGTCCTAAATTGTGAGGCATTTTATTTTATTTTATTTTATTTTATTTTACTTTTGGAGATGTAGTCTTGCTCTGTTGTCCAGGCCAGAGTACAGTGGCGTGATCTTGGCTTACTGCAACCTCCGCCTCCTGGGTTCAAGCGATTCTCCTGCCTCAGCCTCCTGAGTAACTGGGACTACAGGCATGCACCACCACACCAGGCAAATTTTTTGCATTTTTAGAAGAGACAGAGTTTCACCATATTGCCCAGGCTGGTCTCAAACTCCTGTCCTCAGGTGATCCGCCTGCCTTGGCCTTCCAAAGTGCTGGAGTACAAGTGTGAGCCACCGTACCCAGCCTGTGTAGCATTTTGTAACTGTTTGAACCTGAATTTTAAGAAATATATTATTCACCCATTTATTTATCAATTCATTTACTCATCAAAAGTAGTGAATGCTTTGTATGAAGCTCTGTTTAGGCTCTGAGTGTGGTGGTAAAAGCAAGTCTTTGCCCTTGTGGAGCTTACAAGAGTTGTCAGTTTGACAAGGAAGCAGGCTATGGCAGACGATTGTTAGAGTGATAAAAGATTGACATGGTTTACTACACATTTCTAAATAAAGCTTGAAAGTAAGTTTGGCTGTTCCTATAATTAGGACACAGTTAACAAATGTTATTACTCATAAAGTATTAATCTCATTTCTATTATTAAAATCTCAACACCCCATTTACTCCAAAAGCAGGTGCAGTTAACCAAAGCAGGCCACAAAGCCACAGCAGTGGAGAATTTAGCCTGCTTCATGATCATGAGGCTTGGTCCAGCAGTGGTAGCAGTCCAATCCAGTACTTGAAAAGACAGACCAGATCAAGTCCAGTGCTCCAGCACAAAATACCTGAAACACTAGAGAGTCGACATCGCAAGATCAAAACTGGTTCCCCAGGGAGTGAGGTTGTTACTCTACAACAGTTTTTGGAAGAAAGCAATAAGCTTACCTCAATACAGGTTAGTTTTATCTATGATAACCTTAATTTAGATGAACACCTCAAGTTTCTATAATTGAACTTCAGAACTTCTTTTTTAAGTTAAGGAGTGTCAAAAGATACCCACAATTTTATATTGCACAGGCTGCTAAATCAGAAAAGTAAAAACATGGCACTGTGTTCACTAATCTGCTTTGAATTTTTTCTTTGAACAGATCAAGTCCTCAAGTCAAGAGAATCTTTTAGATGAAGTAATGAAAAGTTTGTCTGTCTCTTCTGACTTTTTGGGAAAAGACAAACCAGTTAGCTGTGGTCTGGCCAGGTCAGTAAGCGGAAAAACCCCAGGGGACTTCTATGATAGACGGACAATTAAGCCTGAGTTTTTGAGACCCGGTCCTCGAAAAACTGAAGATACCTACTTCATTAGTTCTGCAGGAAAACCTACACCAGGCACTCAAGGAAAGATAAAATTAGTAAAAGAATCTTCTCTGTCACGACAATCAAAAGATAGTAACCCTTATGCCACTTTACCTCGTGCAAGCAGCGTGATATCTACTGCTGAAGGAACTACACGAAGGACAAGCATCCATGATTTTTTGACCAAGGACAGTAGACTGCCTGTATCAGTTGATTCACCACCAGCTGCTGCTGACAGCAACACCACTGCAGCATCTAGTGAGTACCATTTACACCAGTGGTCCTGTCATATACTTGACAGCCCAACACATACTATAGGTTCTTATTCCCAAAATGATTTAGCTAAAGACATGCCTGAATCTCTATATGCCCAGGCTAGAAACTCAAGAATGAAAAGATCACATTTTCTAAACCAAACTTTTGCCACTATTAATATGCCAAGTGATGCATTCGGAATATTGGCAAAAGATAGCATAGGGTCATTTACTGTGGCTTACTCATCTCAGCCATTTTTATCCCTGAATACAGAATTAGTTAGTAACATAAGTGGGTTACCTCCTAGGCCAGTCACCAGAATAACTGACCAGGCTTCTGCCTCTTTGGATAAACCTGCACAGAGAGATAATAAACAGTTTTCTGATCATCAGAACCCTAGTAACAGTAACTTACAGTTTTCTATAAATAGCAATAATCTTATCACTCCTGCATGCCTCTATCCTGATGACACAGAAGCCGAATTGTTGGTTTCTGAGGATAATCAAACTGTTTGGTATGAATATGGTTGTATATGATCAAAACTGCACAATATAATATGTTGATGTTATTTGATATATACTGCTCTAATATGATTTGAAAACTTGCTGTTAACAAAATAGCATTTGGTTAGGTATATCCTTTTTATTTAAAATTGTTGCATAGTGTTCAGCTATACATTATGGCATGTACATTAATGTGAATGTGTAACCACACCAAAGTCTGCATGAAATATTGTTTTGTCAATTTTCTGCATGCCTTTAAAAACCTTAACCATACATGCTCCTCCTTCACATTTTTTGTTGCCTGATAAGATTGTTACTTTGATATACAGAAGCATGTTAAAACAGTTGCATGCTTTCTTACCAAGAAGACATTTCTAGTCATGTTTGCTTTGTTGCTTCTGGAAAAAAATGCTCATTTCCTCCCTCCCTTCCTCCTCTTCACACCCTTCACTTGCTCTTCCTCTCACTCCTTTCTTTTTTTCTTCCAGAATGTATACTTTATATTGCACATGTACATTATCAGTAGGAAAAATGTAAAATTATGTCATTTTCTTTTGCCATTTACTTAGGCCATCTGTCCTGTTTTATTTTTAAAGAAATAGTTAATAATTCAATACTTTATATAGTAAATATTAATACCCATATTTATAAAACATTTTTCAGATTTAAAAGATTGTTAATACTCATAAACTTAGTGTTATTCATAGAAAACTCCATCAAATTTAAATGTGATTTACACAGTGACTAGGAACATTTGTATTTATTGTTTCTTTTCTGCACTTTTAATCATCTGATAAATATAAGAGCTCAAGTAACTGTCTTTTCTTCAAGATGACTTCTATACTTGAAATCAGTTAATACAATAGTTTTTCCAGTTCTTCTTTTTTATAGAGTCAAAGAGAAATAAACCAAATTATATTCATTGTGTTGGAAATTTGTATTTTTACTTCTAATCAAAAAGGGTAGCAAGTTTACAAAGTGGTAAAAAATTGTTACTTCTATAAATAATCCATTATTAAATTATACATGTATGTCCTTAAAACAGAATTTTTAATAATGAATAATTGTACTAAAATGAAAAATTAGAATTTGTAACCATTTAAACAAGTGTCTTTCTAGTAGAACAAAGTTTAGAACTAAGAATAAATACAAACTCTTTAGCTAAAAAAAAAAAAATTGTTAACTTTGACTCTAGTGCAAAAAACTTTTATTTTTGTGTTCACAGTACTTTTAAAGCTGATTAGCTAAATTTGAATCTCTGAACTCCCAGAATGCTTAAAAAAAAAACAAACCCATAACCCTGATCCGTTTACTTTGAGAGGAATACATCTTAGTGCTCTCTCTGGAACATTTTTGCCATTTTGATTTAGTCTAAATATTACTGATAATGACGCAGCCTGGCACCTGGAAGGAATGCCTTGAAATGTGACCATGTGGGATGAAATTATGTTATACTTGTTGTTACTGTATTAAGTTGTTATTAACTGGGCCAAAGAAAAAAATCTATAGAGAATATTTGCCTAGTGAAATTTGTCTCCTTTATAATCATATTTTTTTTCTTATAGCTATTTCAAAAAAAAAAATGGTTCTGGTGCAGGTAATCAAATGAACACAATCAGAAGATTTTCATATTTTAGTACTAACTAATGTATTTTTTGCATCCTCTGTTTTATTGTTAATTACTGCGCAGTCAGTCCTAACATTTCAAACATATTTTGTGCTAATATTTTCCCTTTTGTTTTTTCATAAGCCAGTAATAAAACTTAATGGTAAATATAGTTGAGATTAAATGAGTAATATAGTTGAGATTTACCATTAAATGGTAAATATAGTTGAGATTAATATATGATGCAAATGTTATAATCAGTGTTATTTCTTTTCCATATTGAGTCAAAGATTATTTCACAGCTATTTCAACTATTTAGATATCATAAATCTGACCATAACACTTTAAAATATTATTCATTCAAAATTCATTGAGAAGTCACATGCTATTATATTAAAAACCATGTGATTATTTTACAAAATTAGACTTATAGGAAAGAACTAGTTCCTACCCCAATGGCTATACATATATAGGCAGCATTTTTTTTTTTAAATACACTGTGCCTGTAAGACAAATATATATCATGCCCATGTGTCCTGAGGACTATTGGAAAATAGTCTAGACTTTAGAAATCATCACCTGCTGTGGAGACATAAAATTCCCCCATAACACTTTCTGTAAGTGAAATCTTACATAGATGCCCCAAATTTAAAAAAAACTAATTTCATTTGAAGTAAAAGTAAAACAACTCTGACTCAATTGAGTAGTTGCACTTATTTCCTCTAAGACCCCTCTATAAATAGTCTACAGTTTCCCAAAGGATTCTTTGTAAAACTATTCAAATATTCAGTACCCTAATTTTATAAATGATGGAGCTGGAGCTTTCAGTATTCCTGGTTTAGGTTACTGGAAATTATACCCATTGATTTGTGTGACATAAACATATTCTTACACACTGCATCCCCTTTGACCAAAGCAATTTTAGCTATAACCAATGTAAGGAGGAACATTATTGCCTATAAAATATGTATCAAACCCTGGTTTTCTTAGTAAATAATACAAATATTTCATTCCAGATGGTTTTGCTACTGCATGCAAGATTATGTTTACTTTAAAACTGTACAGTGACAATTTAGTAAATAAACATAGTAAGTAATGCTATCTGGCACTAATGGGGGAAAATGTAATTGTTACAGTTTTTTTAAAAAAAAATTGTAGCTTTCCTAGGAATATTACTTACAGCTTTAAAATATAAAAATCAATCTTTAAGTATTGAGATGCCTGTGAGATTAATATTTTTCCCAGACAGTTACAGATTCCTTCTCTTGCCCTACTCAGTAAGAGTGCATTTCTTGTCTTCTGAATTGTATTTTGTTCAATCTTTGTCTAAATAACATGAAATGCTTTTCTCCTGCAGATGTGGACAAAGTACAAGAAAGCAGAAATTCAAAAATCAGGTCTAGGGAGCAACAAAGCTCCTAATTCTGTTACCCACTACATGACATGTGGGCCAAGTGGTGAGTTTCCTGCTTAAAATGTAAATGAGATTAGTCTCATTTATACAAACTAACCAAATTAAGTATGAAACAAGTGCATATTGCATTAACAGATGTAAATATTGCTTGCTTAATTCATTGACCTTCTGTCCTACTTCCTAGTGAAGCAATATTAGTTGGCTGCCATAGGTTTTTACTTAGCGCAGGAAACAAGTTTTTGTTTTTGTTTTTGTTTTTTCTCACTTTACATATAATTTTACTAGTGAATTATGTTCTCGGAATTACTTTTTTAGTTTGAATTATTTTGTGATAGGAATACAGCTTCCCCACAGTTTTCTTGAAAATTGATGAGAATAAACTAAATACCTTTTCTATGATAAACCCCACTCAAAAATTATCTCTGATTTTCTGTCATTCTCATTCTTACAGAAATATCTGGTGCATGCTGTTCTTATATGGCTGCTCTGTATTTTGTATCTCTTATCTTCAAGCTTTTCTTATATTTTCTTTCTTCTTTCTACCTTCCAACTAAATACAGAGAGAAAAGTGTCCTTCAGTTTCTCAGTATGAAGCCTTTATTTCTGAAGTAACAAGACACCTAGCAACTATAGGAATCATTTTTAAAAATCTTTAAGGAGACTTTTAACAGTCCTTCGTGAATAGAGCAGGCAAGAAATACAAACCTTCATTCCTTGAATCAAGGAGCACTACTGGATTCAACTGCCAAAATTTTTAAAAGGTTTTAGGACTTACTGTACGTTGTACTGTTAAGATCTACTGAATAAAGGATGATCTCTCGCTAAGGACCAAGTGTTTTAAAGTTAAGTGTTTAAAGAAGTACTCCAAGAACAATCTGCTCTTTTCATCATTTGTTTTATGAATTTATCCATGTTTGCTTAATGCTTCTGCTAAGTATTAGCCAAAATCTAGCCATTTATATTTAGTTGTGTAAATCTAAATTAAATGCTGTAGTATTTTGTGGAATGTACTATATAGCAAGATACAGAGAGAATTGTTTTGGCATGTCAGAGCCTTATTTCGTTAGCAGACTGCATGTGTCGGTACTTTTTTTTCCCTTAAAGCCAATTATTTTGATGCAAAACAAATTCAGTTTATAAGAATAAATCTGAAAAATCCATAATGAAATAGGAGTTATAAAAAATTTATAGGGATATTAACCTTTCTACATTCCCCATTAAGCAACACTAAGCATGCATACATTAATCCAAGGTAAAGAGTGTTTTTCTGAAACTTTTTTAGTAAGATGGTTTTCCAGCAAATGGCATTCCTAGGATAAAGCTATTGTGCTTTAACTCATTTCTTTTCTTTGGTATTGGGTTATGTATGTGTGTGTATTTTTTTAACCTGAGAGCTGACTATTGCTTAAGAAGTTTTCTTATGGCAAAAATAATGTAAATAACTTACTATGAGCTGCATTTTGCCAGAAACTCATTTATAATTAAGGCTATCATTTATTAATGACTTTTTGTTTTTCTCCTTTGTAATATTACATTAAAGTTGATACTTATTATTGGTACTTTTGAAATTTTTGTATGCATTTGTTACCTTTAAACATTTGGAAGAAGCACAAAAAAACAGATTTAGTTAACCCAGGGAAACATCAATTTTTTTAGTAGTTCCAATTTTATATCACAGTTTTATTTTCTTATGAAATCAAAAAATACATTGATACTCATTAATGCAAATTCATTATTTAACATCAATATCAGTAATCTTCAAGGTCTGAAATGAGAAAGATACTGACTTTTTAAAATTTTAACAGTGTACTTCTTAGGCTTTCATTACCAGCTCTAAAGAACTTTTTGGAATAATTCCATATTCCATAGTGTGTGGTTTATGAGTTGTGGGTTTCATCACTAACCCAGTAACCATGAGAAAAGTCTCTGTCCCTCCCTCTCTCTTTCTCTCTCTCTCCCTCCCTCTCCTCCTCCTCCTCCTCCTCTCTGTCTCTCTCTCGTAGGCCAGTAGCAATGTTGTGTTCATAGTCTATTTTCCAAAAGACTATCAATAAAAAAGAGAGTATGTTTAAACTGAAATGGAATTTCAAGAACTTGAACTTACTTAGGTACTTCAATGCCACCTGTAACTTAGGTTTTACCACCAAATGCTATTAATATTAAATCATTTTGAAACTCTTGGATGAAAGGTGCTATACAAATGTAAATACAAAGAATTCTTACTAACATACAAATAATGTACAACAGAAATATTTAAAACCTATTCTGTAGACTCTGAAACATCTCTCTCTGTTGTAACTCCCTGGATTCATTGGTAATAGGTGTCAGAGCAGTCTAGAGACACTTGCATGTCAAAAATGTACATCCATTTTTAGGTAGATAAAAGTAAACATAGAAATTATGTTATGGCTAAATACAGTAAGTGGGTAACTTAAATTTATATTGGCTAGCATCTAATTTGCACAACTAGAATACATCCCAGAACAATTACTGAAAAGCTGAAATTTAATGAGTGGTGAGGTAGTCCAATGAGGGTGAATGATATCACAGCTTGACCTCTCCAGAACACTAATATCCCAAAACAGAGAACATGCTGGGTTAAGCACATTAGTGCTTCAAGCAGAAAAGGCTCGAGAACAGCCTGTAAAGTAGGCTGACCCTGAGAAGGGACAATTAAAGAGACAACCAAGGGAATAAATTAAGACTAGAAAAATATGAATAATCTCAGTTATATTCTTCACAATTTTCATACCATTTCAAGAAAGGATTAGATAGGAGTAACCACATGAATATTTTACTTTCTCCAATATACCCTGAGAAACAAATTTTGTAGGAAGCCACTCTTTTTCCTTAAACTTTTCTGCCAAACAATAATGAAGCCAACTGGAAACTAATCGGAGCCATTTTCATTTTCTTAATGGGCCTGACATGCTTTAAATTATCTGGCTCTATTCTAAATCAACACCTAAACCCCTAAGGAAACTGAAGAATCAATATACAGGGTAATACCTTTGGCGCAGAGCTCCAATAATGTGATTCAGATCTGGCCATGTGGAAATGCTTTCGTCCAAATTTTTGAATTGGTGGTTACCAAAGAGTTCACAAAACAGGTCTGTATGTAGCACCTTTCATGCAAGGCATGTTAAAAGCCTCTTTTAAAATCACTGTGCATATTATAGAATTGTAGCCAACTCACAATGAAGTACTACAGCCTGTGCTGTCTTAATGGTTTATGTCAGGAAATGAAAAAGATACTGTACCAAATCTGGAATTACAATGAGGAGTAATAATGTATGCTAAATGACTTTTGTATCTTACTTTTGGGGAGAAAAGTGAATTTTTGTGTTTTTCTTTTCAGCTACACTTAGTCCTGAGATGTATTTTTTTTCTTTAATTCTTGAATTAATACAAAAGGAACCCATTTTATATATAAACCTTGATGTACATGTTGAGATATTTGGACAATGAACATGCCTTAAAAGGAATGCATATGGATAAAGTTGCACTTATAACACCCTTCAACAAAATCTGATTTTAAGTTGTCTTTTTCTTTTCTATTAAGGGTTTTCTTTTTCAGTGTCTACCATTGTACTTATAACTGTTATTAAATACCAAATCAAATAATATAAAAGCTGTAACATTTCCTTTAAAACTAATGCTAGTAAGGGATTTAGAGTTGAATGGCAAAATGTTTATTACTTAGCAATACCTGATGTCAGTCACGGGCATCCAACTCATGACAAGAGACGTCACTGTTTAATTGTTTTTTAAAAAACATTTTTCATTTTGTTTCGCCTTCACAAATTAAGTTGGATTAACATTCACATATCAAACTAATATAAAAAAATAAAAACAAGAGGTGATTTTTGTACCAAGTGGTTAGTAATCATTTTAAAATGATACCATTTTAGCCAAGTGTTATATCATTCCTTTCCCTTTTTGCTAGAGAATTATTGTCAGATGTAACCCATGACCTTGTTTAGTTGATTCTGTTGTAATCCTTTTGGGATAAGTATTAGAGGTTTGGAGAGAGTCTGTCAATTTTATCAATCCCAAAATAGATTTAAATATAATCTAATAGACTGCACAAATTAATCTCTCATTCTCACTTATAGACTTTGGGAGACAAAAAAAGCAACTGGCCTTGACCTTGGGCAAGTCAGTTTTTCCTGGCCTGTTTTCGCCATAAGGTGGGGAGGGCAAGGTGGGCATGGTGGCGGGAGCCTGTAATCCCAGCTACTCGGGAGGCTAAGACAGGAGAATTGCTTGAACCCAGCAGGTGGAGGTTGTAGTGAGCAAAGATAGAGCCCCTGGACTCCAGCCTGAGTGACAGAGCAAGACTCTCAAGGGAAAAAAAAGGTGGGAAGGGTAATTAGACCAATTAGCACCTTGGTGCTTAATTTCTGTGTATTCATTAGTACCTTCATTTCATATGCAAAGCAACCTAAAATGTCTACTTTGTGTTAGAAATAGAATACAGAGTATGTAAAAACTAATAAGAACCTTAGAATAAAGTTATCAATACTTTTATTTTGCCTTTTAGTAATACAACTTGGTACAAATTAAGTATAATATTTCTACCAGATGGAAACTATTTTTTGAATGATCAAACTTAGGAAAATGTGGTTCTTTAAAGAATATCCCATTTCAGAAAAAACAAAAACAGAATCAAAAGACAATCTCATTTGATTGTACCAGAAGGAAATACTAGAATTTTCATGACCACAAGAAGAGGAATAGCCTACACCAGATCCTCACTCCACTAATGAAGGATTTTGTTTAAGTGAGGTTTAAAAAATGTCAACTGGGCCAGGTGTGGCGGATCACCTGAAGTCAAAAGTTTGAGACCAACCTTGCCAACATGTTGAAACCCCATCTCTACTAAAAACACAAAAACTAGCCACGTGTGGTGGCAGGCGCCTGTAATCCCAGCTACTCAGGAGGCTGAGCAAGAGAATCGCTTGAACCCAGGAAGCAGAGGTTACAGTGAGCAGAGATAGTACCACTGCACTCTAGCCTATGTGACAGAGCAAGACTCTGTCTCAAAAAAAAAAAAATCAACTTTTTTTGTTTTTGAACTAGCTTTTATATAACAGATGACTCTAGATTTTCCTGCAAATTTATACTCTCAGATGACATACTGAAAGGGGATGAGTAAAACTTCATTGTAGCCTTGATGACAGAAGAAACTTGGACAAGTATGTTCACATTTTTTCTTTTCTTTCTTTTTTTTTTTTTTTTTCTTTGAGATGGATTCTCGCTCTGTCACCCAGGCTGGAGTGCAGTGGGCACGATCTTGACTCACCATAACCTCCAACTCCTGGGTTCAAGCGATCATCCTGTTTCAGCCTCCAGAGTAGCTGGGATTACAGGGATGTGTCACCATGCCTGCCTAATTGCATGTTCACATTTATAACCTCTGAACAAAGACTAAATAAATCCTTTTGGGTGGGGGGGGGTAGGGAGATAGGGTTTCACCCTGTCACCCTGGCTGGAGTGTAGTGCCAGGATCATTGCTCACTGCAGCCTGAACTTCCTGGGCTCAGGTAATCCTCCCACTTCAGCCTCCCAAGTAGCTGGGACTACAGGTGCATACCATTGTGCACAGCTATTTTTATGTGTTTTTTAGCAACAGGGTTTCAGCATGTTGCCCAAGCCAGTCTTGAAGTCCTGGGCTCAAGCAATCTTCCCCCACCCTTGGCTTCCCAAAGTGCAAGGATTACAGGCATAAACCACCACACCTGGCCTCAAATTCTTAATAGCGTAATATATATTCCACTACTACATTTTTGAATGTAATATTTTGTTAAGACTAGTTAAGTATAGTAGTAGAAAGGGAGGAAAGAGTAGAACAAGGAATTTGACCACTCCAGCCTATAAATGTAACTTTTCTTTTTTCTTTTTCGAGACAGGGTCTTACTCTGTCACTCAAGCTGGAGTGCAGTGGCACAGTCTCAGCTCACTGCAACCTCTGCCTCCTGAGTTCAAGCCATTTTCCTGCCTCAGCCTCCTGAATAGCTGGGACTACAGGCACACATCACCATGCCTGGCTAATTTTTGTATTTTAAGTAGAGACTGGGTTTCGCCATGTTGGCCTCGACTGATCTCGGGTGATACACCCACCTCAGCCCCCCAAAGTCCTAGGATTACAGGCATGAGCCACCACACCTGGCCTGTAACTTTAATAGTACAATGATTATAATATAACATATTCCACCCCAGTTGTTTTTCTGAATTAAAATTTAGTAAACATATATTTTCATAGAAAGTTGATTATTTTTCACTGAAAAAAATCACTAGTTTATAAACAAACTCCAATAATGGAAAATGTTTACTTTTGCCCCCATGTTTAATTATCTTGCTAAGGAGTTATTCTTTAATCCCCATTTCCCAAAAATAACCACTATCAAGACTTTGTCTTTTAAGAGACAAAGTCTCACAGTCACCCAGGCTGCAGTGCAGTGCTGTGATCTTAGCTCACTGTAACCTTGAATTCCTGGGCTTAAGTGATCCAGCTTCCCAATATGCTAAGATGACACGAGTAAACCAACACACTTGGCTCATTTTTCAATTTTTTGTAGAGATGGGGGTCTCTCACTTTGTTGCCCAAGCTGGTCTGGAACTCCTGGCCTCAACTGATCCTCCTGCCTCAGCCTCCCAAAGCAGAGATTACAGGTGGGAGCCCCTGTACCTGGCCTCAACAATATATTCCTATATTCCTTTTGATTTTTTCCCTGTATTATGTACACTTATAATTTTATACATACTGTTTTACAACTTGCTTTTTTCAAGTAAAACAACACCCTAAAGATGTAAGCTAGTGGCTGGGCATGGTGGCTCAAGCCTGTAATCCCAGCACTTTGGGAGGCCAAGATGGGTAGATCACGAGGTCAAGAGATTGAGACAATCCTGGCCAACATGGTGAAACCCATTCTGTACTAAAAATACAAAAATTAGCCCAGCATGGTAGCAGGTGCCTATAATCCCAACTACTAAAGAGGCTGAGATGGGAGAATCGCTTGATTGCAAGGAGCCAAGATTGCACCACTGCACTCCAGCCTGGACAAGAGTGAAACTCCAGTCTCAAAAGGAGCTCTTTTAAGATGAAATACTGTATTCCTCCTAAAGTGGTTTAGTCACCAAACTAAGGATACCAAATATTCTTACACTTAGAATGCTTTTTATATATTACAAATAAGAAAAACAGCTTTCAGAAAGAAATTTATTCTAAACATTGGTCCAACTAGTTGTTTTTATCAAAATTTAGTATTATGGGATCATGTCCTGTCTTCTTCACAAATGTGAGAAAGTCTTCAGGGCTCAAACCCATGGTTGCAGCATTGGTCATTGGATGAAAGTACACCTTTTCATGTCCACCTTCCAGAAAAGCAGAATCCAGAACAAACTTCACATCTCCAGCATCACAGAAAAGTGCCAAGGGTGTGGCACAGCCTTGACCAACTTTGAGTTTTTCTAGCATGGCTGTTTCATCAGCAAACCGCAGATTTCCACTCCCAACACCTAACTGCTTGGCAAGCTCATTTAAATTAATTTGTCTGTCATGAAGAACTGTCACCAGCCAATAACTCTTTTTCTTTTTGTCTTTAAGAAATAAGTTCTTACTATGTGCTCCTTTCAGATGCTGGATATGAGGCATCATTTCTTCAACTGTAAACACCTATAAAATATCACATAAGTTTAAAAATAAGTAATATGCATGTAAACTTATACACACATTTATACATATTTTGTTTGCTGGGTGAAAACAGCAAGGTTAGGGAGTGCACATTGCCCTGAATTTCACTGGTAGAGATCCATCTCCAGCCCATTACCAAATAATTATAAGCCCATACCATCTCATTTCCTCATCTCAGGACCTCAGGCAGTTTCTTCGGCTAGTTTTCTATTCACATGTACTGGCCAAGTCCTCATATTCCTCAGCAGCTTTTTGTTATTTTTGAATTTAAGCATTTGGTTCTCAAAGTTTACAGCAGTTCTAGACTCCTATTCCTTAGCATTCCATTACATCCAGACCATGTGATGACCTCCATTTGACAGATAACCACAAAGAAGGTGACTGGGCAGGCAGTAAGAACCCAGACTAACAGAACATCAGAAAACCTGGCATATGCACACATAAAGAAGTGGGACAATATATGACTATATGGGAGGGAGGAAGGTCAGAGAAAATGATTACAGTTTTGATGTTATGTTTGCCAAGGTGAGGAATACTAATATATTTCTCTACTCTTTGTAGATCACCTATTTAGCCATTATCAACTGTTAACTCAAGCCTTGGGTAAACTTCATGTCCTTGTACCACTCAAGTTACACATTGGTTCTGTGAAATATTTGGAATTGGCCCAGGGAGGTGGCTCACTGGGAGGCTAAGGTGGGAGAATCACCTGAGGTCAGGAATTCGAAACCAGCCATGCCAACATGGCGAAGCCCTGTCTCTACCAAAAATACAAAAATTAGCCAAGCGTAGTGGCACGTGCCTGTAGTCCCAGCTACTTGGGAGGCGGAGGCAGGAGAATTGCTTGAACCCTGGAGGCAGAAGTTGCAGTGTGCGGAGATCGTGTTCCTGCACTCCAGCCTGGGACACAGCGAGACTCTTTAATATTTCTAAGTAAGATTTCCCGTCAATACACAACAAACGTTACCATTTATGAAAACACAGGCATGTTTATTTTGGTAAGCACTTTTTGGGGTAGTGATGGTTTCTGCCATGCTGCATGCTGTGATCAACCTTACCACGGCAGAAAAAAATATCACTGAACCTCAGTGTCCTGCTGTATGTATGGTACCTGATACGTTGTACCTACAGAAAACACACTATTAACCACTTGCTTGTTTTATCTACACAAAAAGTGGACAAACTGACCTGACCAACACCCCAGACCGATTTAAGATGCACAGTCCTCCGTATGTTGTGCTAGTTCTCAACACGAAATGTAAGCAAATCACTCCCGAGAGGAAAGGTTTACTTGCAGTGACTTCATGGTCCCAAGACGGAAGGTCTCTGCTGTCCCTGCAGGGTCCCTTTCGTATTTTGAGACCGGGGAAGTATTCCAGGAGCGATATTCTCACGGTACATTAATCCTGGGACACCTGATCTTAGTGGCCTCGCCCGACGTACGTGCAGCACAACCCACCCCGCTCCGGCCGGGCCTGTCACGGCGGTCACCCCTAGAGACCTCACCTCAGGGTGCTCCACGACCTCGGTGTGGATGGCCAGAGCACCGAGCCGCTGTTCGAGCGCTGCCCTCAGCTCTGCGCCTGCCATGCCGCCTCTGTCGTGGCAATGGGCGGAAAAACTGGGCGCGGCTTTCCGCGGCTGCGCAGAACGCAGCCTGAGACAACTGCTCGGAGGTTCTGCTGAAGCCCAGTTATGCTGCCTGCTGGAGGCGGGGCCGCCCTGTCCCAGCTCTTCGCCCTTTGGTCCTGAACGTCGTCGGCTGAGGGCTCAGGCTTATGAAGGCCCGCGGGAACTCTCATCTGGGGCCTAGCTGTGGGGCGGCGCCTGCGATTTCACAGTCCTCATTGATCCCACTTCAGGTTTCCTAGATAAGTGTATCTTCTGTTGGGGTTTTGGGGGCAGAAGGAGGTCAGGTGAGCAAGACTTGCCCTGAGCTGTTATTTAAATCAGTCTTAATTTTTCAGGTCTACCTACACCACTAAATTAATGAATAGAGTCATATGTTCGGTTGGGTGTTTTGTTTGTTTTGAGACAGTCTCATTCTTGTTACCCAGGCTGGAGTGCAGTGGCGCAATCTCGTGCGACCTCCACCTCTCTGGTTCAAGCGATTCTCCCGCCTCAGCCTCCCAGGTAGCTGGGATTACAGATGCCCGCCACCTCTCCCAGCTGATATTTGTACTTTTGGTAGACATGGGGTTTCACCATGTTGGCCAGGCTGGTTTTGAACTCCTGACGTCAGGTGATCCACTCGGCCTCCCAAAGTGCTGGGATTACAAGCGTGAGCCACCGCACCTGGCCATATATTCAGTATTATAACATGGTCTGCAGGTGGTTCTCACAGCAACCTAAGGAAACTGACTTCCATACAAAAGTACTGTAACAGAGATTTTTTTCCTACTTTGCACGTATGGACTAGGGACATTGTAAATTGTGCATTTCAGAATTATTGGTTTGACTGGACTAGGTTTATAGGAACTACTTTGAAATTTCTGTCCTAATCTTGGTGGCCAAGAGAAATTTCCTGTGATTTTAATGCCTTAATTAACTTGCAAGTGAAATATATTTGCCATAAATTTTAATAAAAATATTAAGTTGAGATCAAAAATCACATATTATTCCTCTGTCCTTGCTGGCTGGATTTATGATGGTAAATGCTGATTTGAGTAAATTTCAATAAACATATTTTGGAATGTGTTGGCTATAAGAACAAAAAGGGTCAGTTCAATTAAAAACAAACATTCAGTATTTTTCCCAAACAAAAAGTGTCTTTTTTTTTTAAACAAATTGCATGCATTATTTCTTTAAATAAATGTTATAATATTGCACTTTAAAAGTAAAGACGACATATATATTGTTAAAAATTAGATATATACGAAGACATAAAAATTTAAATCACAGGTATATACAAATATTCTCATTTCACACATAATGTATATACTCTAATGCTGTTTATTTCTAAAAGATTGTTTTGTTTTGTTTGTTTTGAGACAAGGTCTTGCTCGGTGTTGCCCAGGCTGGAGTACAATGTTGTGATCACAGCTTACTGCTGCTTTGATCTCCTGGGCTCAAGCAATTCTCCCACCTCAGCCTCCCAAGTATACTACAGGCATATACCACTGCACTCAGCTAATTTTGTGTATTTTTAGTTTTTGTAGAGATCAGAGGGGATCTCCCTATGTTGTTCAGGCTGGTAATGCTATTGATTTCTAATTTTTCTGGTCAAGACAGAATTATATAATACGATATTTTATGATCTGCTTTTCTTTTTTCATCTAATAGTCTATGTCAATAGAGCTACCTTATTACTTATAATGGCTGTATAGTATTTCATTTATGTACCCAACTCCAAATTTGGAAATAGCCAATGTCCAATGACCTAAATGTTAGTCATTTCCAAATTTTCCATATAATTACAAATAAGGCTATGATAATATGTGTATTTCTCTCTCGATACATATATATGCATAATTGTTTCATGTTTTCCTTAGAATAAATATCAATAATATAAAAAGTTACACAGTTTACACTTTTTTTTTTGGTTTTTGTTTTGTTTTGTTTTGTGAGACAGGGTCTGGCTCTGTCACCCAGGCTGTATTGCAGTGGCACAATCTCAGCTCACTGCAACCTCAGCCTCCTAGGCAATCCTCTCACCTCAGCCTCCCAAGTAGGTGGGACTACAGGTACATGCCACCACACCCAGCTAATTTTTGTATTTTTAGTAGAGATGGGGTTTTGCCATTTTGGCCAGGCTAGCCTTGAACTTCTGGCCTCAAGTGATCCTTCAGCCTTGGCCTCCCAAAGTGCTGGGATTACAGGCATAAGCCACTGCACCTGGTCAATTTCCATTATATACTGTTGAAAAGGCAAAAGGCAGCATTTATTGTATGAATCCTATTTATATAAAATTGTATCCATACGTATATTTATTATCATTATTATTAAGACAGAGTCTTGCCATGTTGCCCAGGCTGGAGGGCAGTGGCACAATCTCAGCTCACTGCAACCTCTGCCTCCTGGGTTCAAGTGATTCTCCTGCCTTGACCTCCAGAGTAGCTGGGATTATAAGCACTTGTCACCATGCCTAACTAATTTTTGTATGTTTAGTAGAAAGGGAGTTTCACCATGTTGGCCAAGCTGGTTTTGAACTCCTGATCTCAGGTGATCCACCTGCCTCCGCCTTCCAAAGTGCTGGGATTACAGCCACCAGTATACATTGTATGTGTATGTGTATTTATGCATGTTTTAGTATTTCCTCCCTTCCTCCCTCCCTTCCTTCCTTCCTTTTAGAGACAGGGTCTCACTCTGTCACTCAGGCTGGAGTGCAGTGGCATGATCAGAGCTCACTGTAAGGTCGAATTCCTGGGTTCAAGTGCTTCTCCCACCTTGGCCTCCAGAGTAGCATAGAACTACAGCTGCGCACCACCACACCCAGGTAGTTTCTTACTTTTTGTAGAGAAGGGTCTTGCCATGCTACCTAGGTCTCAAACTCCTGGCCTGAAGCAATCCTTTGACCTCAGCCTCCCAAAGTGCTGGTATTACAGGTATGAGCCACTATGCCTGCACCTTTCTTTTTTAAATCAACCTTGTAATTTTGGAATCATTTTAGATTACAGAAAAGTTGCTAAGATAGTGGAGAGTTCCCAAATGCCCTTTACCCAATTTTGTTAACATCTTACATTAACCATGATACACTTGTGAAAATAAAGAAATTAACATTGGGGTATTACTATTAACTAAGCTACAGACATTATTCAAATTTCACCAGTTTTCCCACTGATGTGCGTTACAGGATTCTATCCAGGATACCATATTGCATTGAGTTTTCACGTCTCCTTAGTCTCTTCTGATCTGTAACAGTTTCTGAGTCCTTTCTTTGTTTTCCTAACCTTGACAGTTTTGAAGAATACTAGTCAGGTATTTTGCAGAAGGCTCTTTAATTTGGGTTCATCTGATGTTTTCCCCATGATTAGAGTAGGGTTCTGGGTTTCTGGGTCCTCATCACATCATTTCAGGAGGGTCCATGATATTAACACGACATGCGGGTGATGTTCACCTTGATCACTTGGTTAATGCGTTGTCTGCCAGGTTTCTCCACTGTAGTTACTTTTTCCCCCTTTATATACCGTATTCTTTTTTTTTTTTTTTTTTTTTTTTGAGACAGTCTTGCTCTGTCTGCCAGGCTGGAGTGCAATGGCGTTATCTTGGCTTACTGCAACCTCCCAGGCTCAAGTGATTCTCCTGCCTCATCCTCCTGAGTAGCTGGGATTATACGCAGTGCCACCACACCTGGCTAATATTTGTATGTTTAGTAAAGATGGGGTTTCACCATGTTGGTCAGGCTGGTCTCGAACTCCTGACCTAGTGATCCGCCTGCCTCAGCCTCCCAAAGTTCTGGGATTACAGGTGTGAGCCACCACGCCCAGCCTCCATACTGTATTCTCTAGAAGTAAGTTAGTAAGTCCAGGCCACACTAAGGTGGAGAGGAATTAATCTTCACTTCTTAGTGAAGGTTTCATATATACATATAAAGGTAATAACCGGTTAACTGGTTACACTGAATATAATATCCTTCAAATAAAACCATAAAATGGGTGAACACATTGCTTGCTTGCCTGGGAAAACACTGGTTTCATGCAATATGGACAAAACCCACATAGTAGACAACAACCAGGGTAAGCAGAGAAAGAGCATGTTTTTGAATATATATGTAATTTTGAATTCTTCTGTAAGGAAGATTTCTTCCTTCTCTATTTATTTATTCGATTATTATTTATATCAGTATGAACACATGTAAACTTAGTTGATATTCTGGGGTATAAGCCAGTACTGTCTTACTTTACTGCTCAAACATTTCCAGCTTTGGCCACTGGGAGCTCTTTCCGGTTGGCTTCTCTGTTCCTTTAACTGTTTTCATTCCCTCTTTCTCTCTCTCTATTTTTGTCACTTTCTTTTTGTATTTTGGTATATTGCTTGAATTCTCTTTTCTTTTTTTTAGACAGAGTTTTGCTCTTGTTGCCCAGACTGGAGTGCAAAGGCATGAACTCGGCTTGCTGCAACCTCCGCCTCCGAGGTTCAAGCAATTCTGCCTCAGCCTCCTGAGTAGCTGGGATTACAGGTGCCCTGGCACCACGCCTGGCTAATTTTTTGTATTTTTAGTAGAGACCAGGTTTCACTATGTTGGGCAGGCTGGTCTCAAACTCCTGACCTCAGGTGATGTGCCCACCTTGGCCTCCCAAAGTGCTGGGATTACAGGTATAAACTACTGCGCCCGGCCTATTGCTTGAATTTTCTACATTAGCATGATTAGAAAATCTTTTATGATTAGAAAATTAGAGGAACATAAATGCATATATGATTATTTTCACTTTAATATTGTGGAAAAAAGATCTGGCAACAATTCTGATGGTCTACCAACCAATTTCTGCTTGTTTCTCAACTGCCTTGCAAGGCAAGTGAGAGAGCAAAGAACTACTTCTCGCAGAAATTAAACTTCAGTAGCTATCTGTGAATAGCAGGTACAATGACAGTAATTGGAATAAATTTCAATAGTTTTCAAGTGTTGTACATGTTACATTCAGTTAAAAAAATTTCCAGGCCGGGCACGGTGGTTCATGCCTGGAATCCTAGCACTTTGGGAGGCAGAGGCAGGAGAATCACTTGAGGTCAGGAGTTCAAAACCAGCCAGGCCAACATGGTGAAAACCCGTCTCTACTGAAAATACAAAAAAGAAAATTAGCTGGGCATGGTGGTGGATGCCTGAAATCCCAGCTACTCGGGAGGCTGATGCAGGAGAATTGCTTGAACCTGGGAGGCGGAGAATGCAGTAAGCTGAGATGGTGCCATTGCACTCCAGCCTGGGCAACAGTTCGAGATTCCATCTCAAAAAAAAAAAAAATTTTTTTTCCTGGAGTGGGGTTTGTATTCAGTCATTCAGTAACACTGACTGCATACCTTTGTAGTAGGTACTGGGAAGTTGGGAACAAAAAAGAGGGTTGTGGGCTGGGGTGGGGGCATGAGTTAGGAGGTCAGTTGATGGCAAGTATGCTTTTGAGGCAAGTATTCCTTTGAGTAATGAATTTCTATACCATACCATTCACCTAGGGCAGTGGTAGATCTTAAAGACAAAGATTGATTGATTTTGTTTTCCTTTCAAATTCCTTTTACCAAGAGACAGAGATAATAAAACACTACTTATATTTGAGAGGTGGTGATGGTTGTGGTCAAGAGGACCAGCTAAAAAACATAATGTCCAAGCAAGGTAAGGAAAAGCTCTGGGGCAGACTATAACCATAACAGCAAACACTATGAACCAGACACTTTATCAACAGTTTATCAACCCGTAAAAGCTTATTACAGCTACGGAGTGGCTCATGCCTATAATCCCATCACTTTGGGAAGCTGAGGTGGGTGGATCACCTGAGGTCAGGGAGTTCGAGACCAGCCTGGCCAACATGGTGAAACCTGTCTCTACTAAAAATACAAAATCAGCTGGGCGTGGGGGCGTGAGCTTACAATCTCAGCTACACGGAAGACTGAGGCAGGAGAATCTCTTGAACCCAGGAGGCGGAAGTTGGTTGCAGTGAGCCGAGACCGCGCTATTGTGCCAGCTTGGGCAATGGAGTGAGACTCTGTCTCAAAAAAAATTATTACAATCCTATGAACTAGCTACTGTCATTACTATAATGTAGATGAAGAAAATGGAACACGGAGAGTTGACAAAACATCCCCAACCACACACTGGGAATGAGTTGGTATAGAAATCCAAACACTCTGGCTCTATTACTCTAAATGCCACACACAGGAGCTGACTTCAGAAAAAAGAGAAAGTACTGGTCGCACAATACTAACTGGTTCTACGGCCACTGTTCCCTTGCATTTTCTTTTCCTTCTTGTTAGGAACACTTATATTTGAAGGAGGTATCATTTCTCCCACAATTCACTTAACGTTTCCTCGAGTGTAAGCACCACTGAGGCCGCTCACAGCCCCAGAATAGAAGTAATCTGCCTCCGAGAAATCTTCACTGTACCCAGATTCCCTCCCAGAGGAGCCATCACGTCTCACGGGTGGTACTCTCTTCTCCGGCTGATTACACTTTTTATCTGTACCAGTTAATTTTTCCAGCTTCTAATTGAATAAAAGCAGTTTTCTTTAAAAAAGAAAGAAAAAAGAGAAAGAAGAGAAAAGAAAGAAAGAAAGAAAGAAAGAAAGAAAGAAAGAAAGAAAGAAAGAAAGAAAGAAAGAAAGGAGAGAGAGAGAGAAAGAAAGAAGACCGAGAAGGAAAGAGAGAGAAAGGAAGGAAAGGAAAATAAGAAATAGAAGGGACCTGCAGAAACGATTTACCACGCGCAGCTGACCCTGGGAGGAGCCACAGGATGAACCAGCGCCTCCCAGGCTGGACGCCCGCTCGGGACACCGCAGACAGTCCCACCCTCAAGGGCGACACCAACTCTTCTGAATTTCGGAAAGAACCTTTTCTAGAGGGACCGGAAACCCGGTGGGGACCGCGGCGGGAACGGACTGCCCTACCAACTGTTCTTCCGGGTCCGGAAGGTGATCTCCGCCCATGCTCAGAATCCAGGGGCCCGGGGCCGTAGGTAGGAGTAAAATGGGTGGGGTCCCTTAACTAAGGTCGTCCAGTCCAGGTGGCGTGTGTTTGGCCTAACGTGTCAGTGGCACAAATCACGCGAATTCATAAACATTGCCCGTTCGGAAGCCTTTCTAAGATGCATTTAATCCCTGCATGAGCCCACGTTAGGCATTCACGAACGCATGTGCGCTGTTTTCTCGGAAGCCGCCGGCTGGCTATCCCTCCTGGCGCGCCGCTGCGGGTGCCATTCCTCACGTCCCAGTCTACCCTGAAGCCAAGGGCTTCTGGGCTCCAATTTGAGGCGAAGCCACCCCAGAGCCGTAATTTTTCTGCAGTGATTTATTTTTACCTTTCAGGTAAGTTCCAAAGCTCCCAACTCACATTCGGACGTTTCCAGTAACGCAACTACGTATTTGCAACATACTTTTTTTTTCAGATTCCTTGCCAAGAATATCCTAGCGGCGAAACAGCACCTTACGGGGGTCAGAACGTCTGGGTTCTAGTCTTGACTACCATTAACTCGCGGTATGATATTGGAGAAGTCTTTTTGACCCCTTCGGATTTCCGTTTCCTTTTCTGTAGAATGAGGAGCTTGGAATAAGTGATAACTAAGTTTCCTTCTAGTTTTGACATTCAGGTTATTGCCTCCAATGTGTCTTGCCAGTTCCTGCCTCAGTTACATATCTGTGCTTTGGTTAATATCCTGTAGGGTCCTTCCTGCCATTCCATTAATCTGTGCTCTTCTCAAATCTGGTTTCATACTCATTTAAAAATTATTTCCACAAGTTATCCTGTGTTTCCCGAGCACTCTACTTCTTGGTCCAAGGGCACAAACCTAAATAAGATTTTTTCCATGTGCCATTCTTCAAAGTATTTAATGTGTGTAAATGGTAACTATTAAATGAATTTTCAAATTTTTTTTTTTTTTTTAGACAGAGTCTCACTCTTTTGCCCAGGCTGGAGTGCGGTGGCTTATCTCGGCTCACTGTGGTCTCTGCCTCCTGGGTTCAAGCAGTTCTCCTGCCTCAGCCTCCTGAGTAGCTGGGATTACAGGCATGTGCCACCTTGCCTGGCTAATGTTTATATTTTTAGTAGAGACAGGGTTACATCATGTTGCCAGGCTGGTCTGGAACTCCTGACCTCAGGTGATCCACCCACCTCAGCCTCCCAAAGTGCTAGGATTATAATCATGAGCCACCATGCCCGGCCTGAATTTCTAAATCTTTTTTTTTTAAGTGTTAATGATATATGTATTTTATTTTATTTATTTTTTTGGTTTTATTTATTTATTTATTGCATTTTAGGTTTTGGGGTAATGAATTTCTAAATCTTAATGTGTTTATTTCACTGGCATTAAGTCAGATTTTTTGTTGACCTTTACTTGAATAAACTTTTAAGGTAAAATGCTTGCTCGATTACACACACGTACACAACCTCATAATTGTCCGAAGGCAAACAAGTCAATGACTTGTGAATATGTTTAACTTATAAGCAATGAGTCCTTAAAGCATATAAGCCAGTACTATAACATGTAATATGGTTTTAAAATAGCTGATGATAAAGTATATATATCATCCAATTTTCTCCTCATAGTCTTGTAATAGGAAGGACAGATGTTCAAAGACTTATTTATTTTTTAACAGAGATCGGGAAAATGAGGCCCACGGGAAACAAGTGACTTGCCCAGTCCAGATAACACTTACTATCAGAGTGAGTGTCCATCTAAGTTTCTTTTGTTGCTTAGTAAGATTTCTTCACTGTACTGTACCTGTTTCAGTTACCATTTCTTTCTTTTTAAAAATATTCAGTATAGGCTGGGTGCGGTGCCTCATGCCTGTAATCCCAGCACTTTGGGAGGCCAAGGCGGGTGGATCACCTGAGGCTGGAGTTCAAGACCAGCCTGGCCAACATGGTGAAACCCCATCTCTACTAAAAATACAAAAAGTAGCTGGGCATGGTGGCAGTCACCTGTAATTCCAGCTATTTGGGAGGCTGGAGATTGCAGTGAGCTGAGATTACGCCACTGCACTTCAGCCTGGGTGACAAGAGCAAAACTCCATCTCAACAACAACAAAAAACCTGGGAGGCGAGGTTGCAGTGAGCTGATATGCACTACTGCACTCTAACCTGGGCGACAGCGAGACTCCATCTCAAAAAAAGGCCAGGCATCGTGGCTCACACCTATAATCTCAGCACTTGCGGAGGCCAAGACGGGCAGATCACAAGGTCAAGAGATAGAGACCATCCTGGCCAACATGGTGAAACTGCCGTCTCTACTAAAATTACGAAAATTAGTTGGGCATGGTGGCGCTAATCCCAGTGCCACCTGGAGGCAGAGGTTAGAGTGAGCCAAGATAGTGCCACTGCACTCCAGCCTGGCAACAGAGCAAGACTCTGTCTCAAAAAACAAAAAAAGAAATGTAACATTTGATGTCTAGTTAGCTAGCAAAGATCACCTATCCAGAGCCTCAGTTTCTTTGGTCACATCAAATATTATCATTTGTGAACTATTTTAAAGAATAGTCGAAAATATAAATATATTTGTATAATGTATGCTAGATATATAAATATAAAACATAAGCATATTGTAGAAATACCATATGATGGGAGAAATCATTTACAATTTTTTTTTTGAGCTGGAGTCTTGCTCTATCTCCCAGGCTGGAGTGCAGTGGCACAATCTTGGCTCACTGCAACCTCTGTCTCCCAGATTCAAGCAATTCTGCCTCAGCCTCCTGAATAGCTGGGACTATAGGCGTGTGCAACCATGCCCATCTAATTTTTTTTGTATTTTTAGTAGAAACAGGGTTTCACTATGTTGGTCAGGCTGGTCTCAAACTCTTTATCTCAAATGATCCACCTGCCTCGGCCTCCCAAAGTGCTGGGATTTCAGATGTGAGCTACCGTGCCCAACCAAAAATGTTAAGACTTTGTAAAAGTTTAGACTTTTGTTCAAGATAGCTTTATATGGTTAAGGTAAACACATTGAAATAGTTCATAATTTTGATTCTTTTTTTTTTTGTAATGCTGAAGAATATGTGTGTCCCTCAGTATCTATGGGTCATTGGTTTCAGGACCTGCGCCCCCATATACTAAAATCTACAGATGTTCAAGTCCCTTGTATAAAATGGTGTATTTGCATATAACCTAAGCACGTCCTCTTGTATACTTTATATCATCTCTAGATTACTTATACTACCTAATACAAAGTAAATGCTATAGAAACAGTATACTGTATTGTTTAGGATATAATGACGAGGAAAAAGTCTACATATTCAATATAGACAGAACCATCCTTTTAAAAAATTAAAAAATTTTTGATCCACAGTTGTTTGGATCCACAAGTGTAGAATGCATGGATACAGAGGGCTGATTGTAGTGTTTAATGATATAACTAGTATTCACAATATGTTCTTTAGTGTAAATAGTTGTAAAACAAAATTAATATTTATTTTTGTAAGTAAAATAGATACAAAAAGAAATAAAAGAGTTGAAAAGATATAAAAATGTTAACTAAAGTTATTTCTGAGTAATGAGTAAAAGAAAATCTGAAGTCTAAAAGGCTGTGCCCACTACTTGAAAATGCATTCTCCATTGAAAAATAAACAAAAAAGCCTTAAAACGACTTTACAGTTTATAGAAATAATTTTGCATATTATTGCAATGAAAACGCGACCCTAGGTTATAATCAGTCACTGTAACTAGCATCTAGTGTGCCTGAGATTCATTGTATTGGCAAGCTTGCTTTAACGACAATGAACTGTTTGTGCAGTGGACCCTGGCTTATTAAACTTTGAATCAACAATATCAAGCACAAAGTCTGGCATATGGTACTTAGGAAATGTTTCCTAAGAAGAAAACATATTCTCCTCTTTTTTTTTTCCCCCTTGAGACAGAGTTTTGCTCTTGTCACCCAGGCTGGAGTGCAAAGGCATGATCTTGGCTCACTGCAACCTCCGCCTCCCAGGTTCAGGCTATTCTCCTGCCTCAGCCTTCTGAGTAGCTGGGATTACAGGCACCCACCACCAAACCCAGCTAATTTTTGTATTTTTAGTAGATACGGGATTTCACCATGTTGGCCAGGCTAGTCTCAAACTCCTGACCTCAGGTGATTCGTCTACCTCAGCCTCCCAAAGTGCTGGGATTACAGGCATGAGCCGCCACACCTGGCTGGAAACCATGTTCTTAACATTGTTTTTATTGTTCCTGCCCTTAAAAACTGAAAAGCAAAGGCGTAGAAATGCAGTCTTGAGAGCAGAGGCAATAGAGGCCACTGGGAGGAAAAGAACTATATTACTAATGAGGTCTGTTATAGTTTTCTCTCAGAAAACTCTTCTTTCCTTCCAAGAATAATATTCAAAAGGCATTATCCAATAAATATTGGGTGTCTTCTTCGTACTATAAAGCATCTTTTTGGGGGGGTAAAATGGGAAATGGAAAAGTATTAAGAGTTGAAAGACAATTACAACTAGAGGAAGTGTGTGCAAAAGTTGAGAGATGTGATGACAAACCATCAGAGATTACAGATGGATTGCAATAACCAAAGCTTGCGAGGTAGGAGTGCAGAGACTCTAAGAGTGTTAGAAATAAAGTGAGGCTGGGCATGGTGGCTCTTGCCTATAATCTCAGCACTTTGGGAGGCCAAGGTGAATCACTGGATCCCAGGAGTTTGAGACCAGCCTAGGCAACATGATGAAACACCGTCTCTACCAAAAAAGCAAACAAAAAATTATCTGGGCATGGTGATGCACACCTCTAGTCCCAGCTATTTGGGAGGCTGAGGCGAGAGGATCACCTTAGCCTGAGAGGTCGAGGCACAATGAGCTGTGACTGCACCACTGCACTCTAGCCTCCAGCCTGGACAATAGAGTGAGACCCTGTTTCAGAAAAGAAGTTGCAGGGTGTTTAACAGAGAGGTGATCAGTTCGAATTTGCACTTTAGGAAAATTACTCTAGTTGCTGGGCGCAGTGGCTCATGCCTGTAATCCTAGTGCTTTCAGAGGCCAAGGCGGGCGGCTCACCTGAGGTCAGGAGTTCAAGACCAGCCTGACCAACGTGTAGAAACCCTGTCTCCACTAAAAAATACAAAATTAGTCGGACATGGTGGCGCATGTCTGTAATCCCAGCTACTCCGGGGGGCTGAGGCAGAAGAATCACTTGAACCCGGGAGTCAGAGGTTGCAGTGAGCCAAGATCGTGCCATTGCACTCTAGCCTGGGCAACAAGAGTGAAACTCTGTCTCCGAAAAAGAAAAAGAAAAATTACTATAGTTGTGATTTGGTTTGTTGATATTTCAGGAGTGAAAAAAGAGCCTTTTATAGGTTGTTACTGTATTTCAATTCTGTCATAGTGGTAACATTAACAGTAATGATAATAGTATCTAGAGAGTACTTGGTATGGAATCCCATCTTTTGATGAGACTGAGTTTTTTCAGGGCAGAAACCCAGTTTTACTCATTGTTGTAAGTCTAGTGAACTAGGTGTAGCCCAGTGCTGTGCATGTAGTAAATATCCAATTACTATTTGCTAACTTGATGTGAATATTATTTTAAAACCTTTTTTTTCTAGGAGAAACATGAACCAGAAGCTACTGAAGTTGGAGAACTTGCTACGATTTCACACTATTTATAGGCAACTGCACAGTCTGTCTCAAAGAAGAGCATTAAGACAGTGGAGGCATGGGTTTTCATCTCTGTACCCTGTGTGGACAGCTCAGCTGTATCCCTGGCCCTGGCCAACAGATGTGCTCACTGGGGCTGCTTTATCTCAGCATAGGCTTCTAGTAACAAAAAAGGTAGTTACAAATTTCTGTAAGTTATTTTATTATTTGGTCTGAGTTGAAAGTGCCTAGAACATTGAGTAAAAATCCATTTTGAGTATTTTATCATTTACAGAATATTTATTACTTAATGCTATACTCCAAGCAATAGAGCTTTGTGAGAAAGGGAAGTTCTGGTTAATTGTGTGGTGCTGATGAATTTGGTTCCTTGGAAATTCAGTGTATAACAGTGAATTAAGGATGCAGGATTTTAATTTCAGTCTAAGGTTTAACTTAGGGGAGTGTTTGTTGGTAGAAATAGTAGCTATGGCCAGGTGCAGTGGCTTATGCCTATTATCCCAGCACTTTGGGAGGCCAAGGCGGGTGGATCACTGGAGCTGGAGACCTGGCCAATATGGTGAAACACTGTCTCTACTAAAAATACAAAAATTAGCTGGGTTTGGTGGTACGTGCTTGTAATCCCAGATACTGGGGAGGCTGAGGCAAGAGAACAGCTTGAACCCAGGAGGTGGAGGTTGCAGTGAGCTGAGATTGTGCCACTGCGCTCCAAGCTGGGTGACAGAGTAAAACTCTGTTTAAAAAAAAGAAAGAAAAAAAGAAATAGTGGCTATGATTGGGGTAACGTTCCAGAATAAATCTAAGTTGTCACTTAAGTTTTTTCTTCCTTTTTGATTATATGTTCTGATTTTTTTTTTTTAATAGGAAGAAAGACCACGGAAATCTCAGTTGTCTTCAACAAAGTCTAAAAAGGAGGTAGAAGTATGGCTTGGAATGACTGTTGAGGAACTGGGCAGGGCAATGGGAAAAAACACAGGTTAGTCAGATATTTTTACAGGACAAAATATGGGAATGTTAGAAGACTAGGCATTTTAATCTTTCAATGAAAAGATTTTAAAAACTACACTGATACTTTAAAAATATATTAAGTCATCCAAGTATTCTTCACTTTAGGTCATAATCCCTAGTTAGTTTCTTGACTGCCAAGTGTAATTCTCTAAGATTTTGCTTTTAATGAAGGTGGAAAAGATTTTCTTATATGAATGAAGATTTCTTTCTCAGAAATTTTGTGGGCTATTAGAATAAATCCAATGAATGTTTTTGAACTGAGGAGCTATACTTATATACTTTCTCTTTGTTTTCCTATCATTTTCTTTATTCTTTTTCTTTTTTTAATTTTTTTGAGACAGGGTCTTGCTTTATCCAAGACCCTGCCAAGTGGCAGAATCATGGCTCACTGCAGCCTTGGCCTCCTGGACTCAAGTGATCCTTCAGCCTCAGCCTCCTGAGTAGCTGGGACTACAGGCGTGTGCCACCATGCCTGGCTAATTTTTTATTTTTTATAGAGATGGAGTCTTACTATGTTGTTGAGGCTGGTCTTGCCTGTGTGCAAAGCAATCCTTCTGCCTCAGCCTCCCAAAGTGCTGGGATTATAGGTATGAGCCACCATGCCTGGCCCTATAATTTTCTGATTTCCTTTTTTTCACTCTTTCTATCATTATTTATTTATTTATTGTTTTGAGATGGAGTTTCGCTCTTGTTACCCAGGCTGGAGTGCAATGGCGCAATCTTGGCTCACCACAACCTCCGCCTCCTGGGATCAGGCAATTCTCCTGCCTCAGCCTCCTGAGTAGCTGGGATTATAGGCATGTGCTACCATGCCCAGGTAATTTTTTGTATTTTTAGTAGAAACGGGGTTTCACCATGTTGACCAGGATGGTCTCGATCTCTTGACATCGTGATCCACTTGCCTCGGCCTCCCAAAGTGCTGGGATTACAGGCGTGAGCCACCACGCCCAGCCCTCTTTCTATTATTATTATTATTTGAGATGGAGTTTCGCTCTTTTAGCCCAGGCTGGAGCACAATGGCACGATCTTGGCTTGCTGCAACCTCCACCTCTCAGGTTCAAGCATTTCTCCTGCCTCAGCCTCCCAGGTAGCTGGGATTACAGGTGTGCACCACACCTGGCTAATTTTTGTATTTTTAGTAGAGACAGGGTTACATCATGTTACCAGGCTGGTCTTGAACTCCTGACCTCAGGTGATCCACCCGCCTCAGCCTCACAAACTGCTGGGATTATAGGTGTGAGCCAGCATTCCTGGCCTACTCAGTAATTTTTGTTTTGAAATAGTTTTCTAGTCCTCTGAGAGCATATTCACATAGTAAATTTGAGTTGTATCATTCTTAAAATGTGTTTCCTTCGGAAAGCATGTGGTGGGGAGATAAATAGGAAATGGTTTCTTGACGTTATTATGGACTAAGATCAGTGGCAAGCTGTGAGCTTATTGCTAAATTATAAGGAATTATGTGAGCTGGCTGTTAAACACAACCATTTAGTCATAAGGGTAGTAAAAACTCTTCACTGACTGGGTGCAGTGGCTCATGCCTATAATCCCAGCACTTTTGGAGACTGGGGCAAACATAACTCCTGCGTCCAGGAGTTTGAGATCAGCCTTGGCCACATGGTGAAACCCTGTCTTTGTATAAAAATACAAAAATTAACTGGGTGTGGTGATGTGAGCCTCTAGTTCCTCCTTCTTAGGAGGCTGAGATAGGAGGATTGCCTGTGAGGCGGAGGTTGCAGAGAGCCAAGATCATGCTGGTACACTCCACCCAGGGTGACAAAGTGAGACCCTGCCTCAAAAAACCACAAACAAACAAAACCAACTCTTCACTTCCCAATTACTATATTGCATTTTACAATTACCTATGTTCTCAAGGTTATTTATGCCTATCATATCTGTATGGTAGAAAGACTATGTAATAGTGTACTACTGTGCATCTCTCTGAACTCTGCATTCAGTAACTTTATGTTGGTAACTTGCAATCAACCGTGGTGGGCGTATTTGCACCATGGAAATTGGAGAATGCTGTAAATCAGTGATTTATTTTTGCGAGCCTAGTTATTAAACATTTGCCAGCACACCAGTGAATAGGATGTTCTTTTAGTGTAATGTTCTGCTTACCCGAGGATGCCTTTCTTCCTTTTTTTTTTTTTTTTTGAGTTGGAGTCTCACTCTTGCCTAGGCTGGAGTACAGTGGCACGATCTCAGCTCACTGCAACCTCCATCTCCTGGGTTCAAGAGATTCTCCTGCCTTAACCTCTGGAGCAGCTGGGATTACAGGCGTACGCCACCATGTTCAGCTAAGTTTTTGTATTTTTAATGGAGATTGGGTTTCACCATGTTGGCTAGGCTGGTCTTGAACTCCTGATCTCAGGTGATCCACCCACCTTGGCCTCACACAGTGCTGGGATTACAGGCATGAGCCACCATACCTGGCTACCTTTCTTTCATATCTATTCTTTAAATGTATTTTTATAGGGTAACTGCAAGTCTGGAACATAAAGCTACTTATTTCATTATCATCACAGATACCTTTATTTATCATCCACAGTGAAACATGACTGAGATTAAAATAAAGCACATTAAATAAAATGAAAAAGAGAATAAGTAAATATTTTTCCTATATTTCAAGAGTTTTTGGGTTAAGTGCAGTAGCTTATACCTATAATTCCAGAACTTTGGGAAGCCAAGGTGGGAGGATTGCTTGAGCCAGAAGTTCAAAACTAACCTGGGCAACATGGCAAGCCACCTTCTCTACAAAAAATTAATAGTGTGTGGTGGTGGCACCTGTGGTCCCAGCTATAATGGAGGCCAAGGTAGGAGGATCGCTTGAGCCTGGGAATTTGGGGCTGCTGCAGTGAGTTAGGATTATGCCACTGCACTCTAGCCTCGGCAACAGTGCAAGACCCTGTCTCAAAAAAAATTTTTTTTGATTAAAAAATAAAGACTTTTTGGACACCCTGAATAGATACGTAAACAAGTAAATGAATTATGGACACAAGTATTCAGAGATACATATTGTGGGTGTGTTGGTGTGTGTGTGTTTGTACATACTGTCAGTTCTCATTATGCATGAATTATTTATTTATTTTTTGTGTGGATTCTGTATTTGAAAATTCACTTGCTCAACAAAATGTATTTGGAGCTCAAAAATCAGTACTTGCTGGGTGTGGTGGCGCATGCCCATAATTCCAGCACTTTGGGAGGCCAAGGCAGGCAGATTACCTGAGGTCAAGAGTTTGAGACCAGCCTGGCCAATATTGTGAAACCACATCTCTAATAAAAATCCAGAAATTAGCCAGGGATGGTGGTGTGCACTTGTAGTCCCAGCCACTCTGGGGGCTGAGGCTGGAGAATTGCTTGAACCTGGGAGGCAGAGGTTGCAGTAAGCTGAGATTGAGCTACTGCACTCCAGCCTGGGTGACAAGAGCAAAACTCTGTCCCCCACCCACCCAAAAAAAATATTAGTACTCAAGGTTCCCTTGCAGTTATTACTGGCCATGAGCAGAACAGTGAAAATTTTGAGTTGTCTGTTGTGCATTTTCTGAAGCTGAGGTTGAACGACATGACACTCTTCTTCAGCTCTCGCATTGCAAACAAGTGTCCTTTTTGTGTTCTATTTAGTGCCACACTTTTTCACATTTTTATGCTTTTTTTTTTTTTGAGATGGAGTTTCGCTCGTTACCCAGGCTGGAGTGCAATGGCATGATCTCGGCTCACTGCAACCTCTGCCTCCTGCGTTCAGGCAATTCTCCTGCCTCAGCCTCCTGAATAGCTGGGATTACAGGCACACGCCACCATGCCCAGCTAATTTTTTGTATTTTTAGTAGAGACGGGGTTTCACCATGTTGACCAGGATGGTCTTGATCTCTTGACCTCGTGATCCACCCGCCTCAGCCTCCCAAAGTGCTGGGATTATAGGCGTGAGCCACTGCGCCCGGCATTTTTATGCTTTTTGTTGGTAATTTTGCTGTTCAAGATGGCTTCTAAATGTGGTACTGAAGTCCTATCTAGTGTTCCTAAGCTCAAGAAGGCTATGATAAGCCTTACAGAGAAAATATGTATCTCAGATAAGTTTGTTCAGGCATGAGTTATAGTATGATTGGCCATGAGTTCAATCTTAATAAGTCAACTATATATGTATATATATTAAAAGAGTCTTTAAACAGAAATGCATTAAACAAAATTATGTATTGATCAGTTGATGAAATGTGTCTAAAGGCTTGCAGGAACCCAACTCTATGTTTCCCCTCAGAGCAGTGGTTTAATATTTGCTGATTCAGGTGTTTTGGTGACTTTATAGAACATAATTATTGCAAATAATGGGAATTGATTGTATATACACATACACATTTGTATATACATGACATTTGTGACCTTAATTTTTTAAATAGACTACAATCAATTATTATAAATACTAAATTTATACAACATGCAGCTTAATGTTTTGTTGATGATTCAGATGGCTTAGAAATATATAAATATTCAAATATTTATGAATATGTAGAAGTCAGTTAATAGAAATGTATATTTTTAAAAATCTAAAAACATTTTTTAGCTTCTTTGTGATTTTTTTAATATTAGAGAAACAGTTTGCATAGTTATTTCTCTCCTTGAGTGTGCTGTTTATAGCATTAATAGAGATTACTTTCTTGAGCATTTAATTCGTGATCCTAATAAGTTTTATTTAATTCCAACCAGATTTTGTATATGAAGCTTTGTTGAACACTGCTGCTGACATAGATTCACTGGAAGCAGACTCACCTTTAGATGAAGTCTGGATCAAAGAAGTGATAAAGAAAGCAGGGCTGAAGTTAAAGTGGAGTAAATTAAAACAGGACAAAGTCAGAAAAAATAAAGATGCTGTAAGAAGGTAAAGCTTCACTGTATATACTGGCAGGGGTTGGAGGAGACTACATAGTTATATTTACACTTTTTAATGGAATGATTTGCTTTAAAATTTCTTTTGTAATAAAGGTATGTGTATAAACTTTTCTTCAAAGAACTTACAGCACTAGAAAGTATACATTCAAGTTATAAAACTTAGAGGATTTTTTTTAGATTTGCTGAATTATTTTGTGGTTTGAATTCAGACCAAATTCATTGGTCTGAATTTTCAAATTTGATACAGTTCTACTCATTTTTATGAAAATGCAAACCACAGGTAGGTAGGCAGTTATTAAATAGTCTATTATAAGTCATTGTATGTATAGGCGGGGGAAATAGTTCTAATCAAGGCCGAATGTTGGATTTTATGGTTAATGGTAGCTCACAGAGATAACTGTGATCCAATTCACAGGCTATAAAGTATTTCTGATATTTAAGAAATGAAACTCCTTTGCTGTTAATTGTAGGCCCCAGGCAGATCCAGCTTTATTAACCCCAAGGTTCCCAGTTGTTACTATAATGGGACATGTTGATCATGGGAAAACGACGTTACTTGACAAACTTCGAAAAACTCAAGTGGCAGCAATGGAAGCTGGAGGCATCACTCAGCACATTGGTGCCTTTCTTGGTATGAACACAAATTACCCTACAATGTGCTTGGGAACCCCACTTATTATTTTCTTAAACCAAATGTCATAGTATAAAATACACAAATTTGAAGTAAAAGAGAAGGCTAAAGCTTACAACCATTGGTTTGATGAAATGTAGAACAAATGGTTAGTAAAGGTGTTTTTTGTACTATTTATAAGAAGAAAATTATGTTAACTCTTTTTTTTTTTTTTTTTTGAGGTGGAGTCTTGCCCTGTTGCCCAGGCTGGAGTGCAGTGGCGCGATCTCAGCTCACTGCAACCTCCACCTCCTGGGTTCAAGCAATTCTCCTGCTTCAGTCTCCCGAATAGCTGGGACTACAGGCATGAACCACCTTGCCTGGTTAGTTTTTATATTTTTAGTTGAGACAGGGTTTCGCCATATTGGCCAGGCTGGTCTCAAACTTCTGACCTTGTGATCCACCCGCCTTAGCCCCTCAAAATTGCTGGGATTACAGATGTGAGCCACCACACCTGCCCTAATTTTTGTATTTTTAGTAGAGATGGGGTTTTCCCATGTTGGCCTGGCTGGTGTTGAACCCCCGACCTCAAGTGATCCACCCACCTCGGCCTCCTGAAGTGCTAGGATTATAGGTGTGAGCCACTGTGCCCGGCTGAAAATTGTGTTAACTTCTAATTGTAGCTCATTCTTAGTTTGATTTAATAAGCCTGAAATTTTTTATTAATTAATTACATTTATATACCCTCCTGTGCTAGGTTGAGATAATGTCGCTGATAATAATTAAAAAATACTTCCATTTTCGAGCACCTAGCATGTGTCCAGTACTATGCTAATCACCTTATAAGTTTTGTCTTTTTTATCTTGACAATAACATCATAAGGTAGGTATTAATAGTTACATTTGCAAATAAGGAAGGTGATACTTCTTCGAGTTAAGTAAGTTGCCCACAGTATGTAGCCAGTAAGTAGCATAGCCAGGATTTAAACCCAAGGTAATTGGTCTCAAATCCTGAGCTATTGCCTACTGAATTGCCTTTTTGTGGCTCAGAGAGTTATGCAGCTCTGATTTGCTAATGTAAGGGTGGCTGTCTGTATAACAATTGGTCTGTTTTCTCTGCAGAATAGATATATCAGTTGGTACATTTATGAAAGTAGTCATGTTCTAGAAATATGAGACTTTAGTTTGAAATTATTACATGGAAAAAAAACCATAAAAGTCTTACTGGTATTTTATCACTTTTCATTGTGAAATGATGATCTATGTTGTTCAGATTAAGATTAATGGAAGGAATAAAATTATTTTAAAGAATTGATGGTTTTTTATAATGTCACATATATTCCTTGGTATCAGGAAATATATGTTTGAGTCCTTGATGTTCTTGAATTTCTCTTTCCACAGTGTCTCTGCCTTCTGGGGAAAAGATAACTTTTCTTGATACTCCAGGACATGCTGCTTTCTCAGCGATGAGGGCCAGAGGGGCTCAGGTCACTGACATTGTCATATTAGTTGTAGCTGCAGATGACGGGGTGATGAAACAAACTGTAGAATCTATTCAGCATGCCAAAGATGCTCAAGGTACTGTGTGGCTGACTTAATGGATCAGGAAGGAAGTTGCTTTTTTTTTTAAAGGATCTACTATATAAAGTCAAAGTTCTGGGGCCATTTACATACAGCTTATTTAGTCTTCACTGCAGTCCCAGAGTTATTATACCTGTATTACAGATAAGCCTCAAAGATAAATTGCTTTCCCATAGACTTATAACTTGTAGGAAGGGTATAGCAGGATTCAGCTTGGGACTTGTGACCATAGTACAGACCACAAGTACAATCTTTTCTCTACTATGCCTTTTTTTTAACTGTTTATCATGGAAATTTTAAACAGATACAAAAGTAAGAAGAGAATAATGAAATTCTATGTACCAATCACCTAAATTCAGTAGGAGTTGTGTAGTGGTTATGTTGTTATTTCCTCTTCGTTTATTATCTGGAGTTCTTCTCTAAAGAGAAACTTTCTCTTTTTCTGCTTTAAATAAGTTCTTACCTGATCAAAGTTATAAAATTGAAACTTTTGGAAAATCACTTAACCATCTTCTCCCATATTTTTCTTTTAAAAGTTGTAATAATAAATACCCACACATATAATTACACTTTCTGTATATTCATTCTTATTCTGAAATGACCATACACCTACCCTTGCTGAGAAAATGTACCCAATGAAGTGTGTCATATTCCCCCCAGATTTACTGGCAAGATTTTAAAAAGGTTGAGAATTACTGAATTAGTCTACTTCTTTCATTTTACAGCGTGAAAGCTAAGACTCAGACAGCAGCCAGAACTCTCCCTAATTATATACAATTACACAGCTAATTTTCAGTATGTCTGCATTTGGAATTTAGATCTGCTAGCTTCCAGTGTTAGTCTCTTTCCTTTTTAATTCCTCAAAACTGCCTTTGTGTGATGTACTATGTACTTAATGGTTCTAGGGAATACATGGCAAGAAGACAGGATAAATTTATCAGGGATCCCATTACAAAGCAATTGGTTGACATAGGATAAATTCATTATACAGGCTTTGTACACCTCTTCTCTTGGTACCTGTTATGTTCCAGCTCATCAGCAAGGAATGTACTTTTTTTTTTCTTTTTTTTTGAAACGGAGTTTTTCTCTTGTCGCCCAGGCTGGAGTGCCGTGGCATGATCTCAGCTCATTGCAGTCTCTGCCTCCTGGGTTCAAGCAATTCTCCTGCCCAACCTCCTGAGTAGCTGGGATTACAGGCATGTGATATCACACCTGGCTAATTGTATATTTTTAGGAAAGATGGGGTTTCTCCATATTGGTCAGGCTGGTCTCGAACTCCTGACCTCAGGTGATCCATCCGCCTCAGCCTCCCAAAGTGGTGAGATTACAGGTGTGAGCCACTGCGCCTAGCTAGAATGTACTTTTTCATAATAGTAGGTCGTGGATTGCAAAACTTGTTTGTATCCTTTCAAATTTCTGTTCCTTTGATACCTCAGAAAATTGCAGAGATGATGAAATGCAGCCACAGAATTATCTCGTAGAATTCTATGTGATTTCTCTAAAGAGAGGATATGTCTAGTGATAACAAGTAGATTAAAAGATTATTTGGTTCATTCATTAAGTAAACATTTATTGAGAACCTACTATGTGTTGGTCACTGAGCTAGGTGTATCAATAAATAATACAAATCCTAAAGGAAAATGTGTGATAATGGTATTTAGTTTCAACCTAGGATGAGATGTTGGGTTTTAACAATGAGTTAATAAACCCTGGAAAGAAGAGGCAAATGATCTAGCAGTATTGAAATAGAATCTTGTTATAATTTTTTTTTCTGGAGATTATCTCCAGTGTACTTACTGATCTTGTTTTTAGATTTAAAGATAGACCTTTTTCTACCCAAAATACAGTTGACCCTTGGACATGACGGGTTTGAATTGTGTGGGTCCACTTAACACACACATTTTTCAATCAAGCATAGATAAAAAATACAGTATTCACAGAATTTGAAACTTTCTTACATGACTTTTTGTACACATGGTTCTGCAGGGCTGGCTGCAAGACTTGAGTATGCTGAGATTTTGGTATAGGCAGTGGTGGGGGTCCTGGAACCAATCTACTAGTACACCTAGGGATGACAGTATGTTTTTTTGTTTTTTTTTTTTTTTGAGATCTGGCTCTGTCACCCAGGCTGGAGTGCAGTGGTGCGATTTCGGCTCACTGCAACCTCTGCCTTCCCAGTTCAAACGATTCTCCTGCCTTAGCATCACAAGTAGCTGGGATGACAGGCACCACCACGCCTGGCTAATTTTTGTATTTTTAGTAGAGATGGGGTTTCTCCATGTTGGCCAGGCTGGTCTCAAACTCCTAATTTCAGGTGATCCACCTGCCTCAGCTTCCCAAAGTAGTAGGATTACAGGCATGAGCTACCACACCTAGCCCAGCTGTATTTTTTTTTTAAATAATCTCAGGTGTCTGTTATTCATTCAGAATCTCCTTATAATTATACTTTTAATATCTTGCATCTGGATTTCTCTATGTGTAGAGAGCAGAGTAGGGTGGTGTGACTCTGAAATGGGTCCTTTTGGCCTTTTGTTAGATAAAAACATCTGCTGAGTAAAGAGAAAGCCAGAAGAGAAAGTTGGTGTCTCTTTTACTGTGAATACTTGGAATTGAAGCTGTCATCATTTTCACTCTTTTTAACTCTGTTTCTTTCAGTTCCTATTGTCCTTGCCATAAATAAATGTGACAAAGCTGAGGCTAATCCTGAGAAAGTGAAAAAAGAACTGCTGGCTTATGATGTGGTGTGTGAAGATTATGGAGGTGATATTCAGGCAGTGCCTGTCTCTGCACTTACGGTAAATATGGGCACCTCATATGAATATACCTGGATGGAAATGCTGTACATAATGCACACAGTACATTACATCTAAAGAACATTTTGATGTACATATTTGTGTTGTTTTCAACAAGCTTTCTGGGTACCAGGCAAAGATGGTATTATCTTGGTTTGGCATATTAGGAGTTAGGCTTGGAGAGGTCAGTCACCAGCTGATCAGTGTGGAGTCAACTCTTAATGGAATACATTTTTTATTATGAGATACTTAGGAAGAGAATAAGTGGTGAATGATGTAGGGATAGGGAAACAGTAGGATAAAGATAGGCGATCACAGCTCAATGCAGCCTTGACCTCCAAAGCTCAAGTTGTCCTCCCACCTCAGCATTTTGAGTAGCTGGAGCTACAGGCAGGTACACCCCATGCCTAGCTAATTAAAATTTTTTTTTTATAGATAGGGTCTCACTGTGTTGCTTTGGCTGGTCTTGAACACCTGGTCTCAAGCCATCATCCCACCTCAGCCTCCCAAAGCACTGGGATTATAAGTGTGAGCCACCATGCCTCACCAAAGACTTTTAAGCAGAAATTAAATCCGGTTGTTAACAAAAAAGTGCTTGTATTTTATGCCTCTTACAAGTGGAAAATGGGCCTTATAGCATTTAAGGGATTTAAACAAAAGTTTTATGAATACCAAGATTAAATGTTTAGGTTGATTTTGTTATTGATTGACTATATGTTTCTGTGGATTAAATTGCTATTTTTTTTTTTTTTTTGAGGTAGAGTTTTGCTCGTTACCCAGGCTGGAGTGCAATGGCGCGATCTCCACTCACCGCAACCTCCGCCTCCTGGGTTCAGGCAATTCTCCTGCCTCAGCCTCCTGAGTAGCTGAGATTACAGGCACGTATCACTGTGCCCAGCTAATTTTTGTATTTTTAGTAGAGACGGGGTTTCACCATGTTGACCAGGATGGTCTCGATCTCTTGACCTCATGATCCACCCGCCTCGGCCTCCCAAAGTGCTGGGATTACAGGCGTGAGCCACCGCGCCCGGCCTCTATATGTTTTAAAATGTTATTTATAAATGAATTTCATTTTCTTTCAAATTACCAATTATTCTTGCTTGAATATAAACACCAGCGAAGCTCATTACTTGCCTCATGTCACCGTTTTCCAGTTCTCTTATCCTATAGAGGTTGCTGCTAAGTAACTATTTCCTTTTTGTCCACCCATATTACAAAGTTTATTTATAAACAGCCTTTCTTCTTTCTCCTGATTATTCACTGAAGAAGGGATGTTGTGTTACGCTACCACCTTCCTCTAATTAAATCTCATTTTATCTTTACTTTTCCTAAATGTGTTACCTCCAGGATACCTAGCAATTATGTCTCCAAATAGTAAAATTGTACATCTTTTTCTCTGAAATTTATAAAACGCTACCTTACTTTGTTATCTTCTGCACTATACCTCAATTGTTACTGCACTCTGAATGCCAAATGTTAAGTTTACTGCAATAAGATTAAAATATTTGGCCAGGTGCTGTGGCTCACACTTATAATATTAGCGCTTTAGGAGGCTGAGGTGAATTGGCTCCCTTGAGCCCAGGAGTTCAAGACCAGCTTGAGCAACATGGTGAGACCTCATCTCTACAAAAACAGGAAAATTAGCCTGGCTTGGTGGCATGTGCCTGTAGTCCTAGCTTTTGGGGAGGCTGAGGTTGGTGGACCACTTGAACCAGGGAGGTGGAGGTTACAGTGAGCTGAGATGATGCCACTGCACAGAGCGAGACCCTGTCTTAAATAAATAAAGTATTTGAAGAGTTGTCCACCTTTTCTGGCTAGATAACATCAGATGAGCAGGTAAAGCTGCTTAGGCAGATTTGGAGGCATGTCAGCGAGAATTCCAAGGGAATGGAGGAGATTGGAAGAGAGAAGCAGGGAGGTAAGATGAGGTCTTCTTTTCCAGGATATATAAAGGATTACTTTATGCAAGGAAACAACTCCAGTTCTACTTTTTGGAACAGCATTTTGTAAACTGGAATAAATACTAGGAATAAGTGGGTGGGTAAGCAAAGTATTTAGTCAATTCTTTTTCTTTTTTCAAGTTTATTGTTTTATGTTTTGAAACAAAGTCTTGCTCTGTGTCCTGGCCTGGAGTGCAGTGGTGTAATCTTGGCTCACTGCAACCTCCACCTCCGGGTTCAAATGATTTTCCTGCCTCAGCCTCCCAAATAGCTGGGATTACAGGCATGTGCCACCACCACACCCAGCTAATTTTTTGTATTTTCAGTAGAGACAGGCTTTCACCATGTTGGCCAGGCTGTCTTGAACTCCTAACCTCAAGTGATCTGCCTATGTCAGCCTTCCAAAGTGCTGGGATTACAGGTTGGCCCTTGTTTGTTAAGCAATCTCTTAGTTGATACAAGGAGTGGAAAAATTCCTTGCCTATCAGTTCCAGTTCCATCACCAGTTAATGAGCTGTGTGATCTTGGAGCCCTAGAGAACATAGTAAACACAGACCATGAAAGATAAAAGAATCACCTACTTCAGCTTCTTCATTTTACAGTTGAGATAAGGAGATCCAGGGAAATGAGGTGATTTTTTTTTTAAGGCTGCACAGCTGGGTGGTTACAAAGTACAGCTTAGAGCCTGAATCTCTAGTTAGTACTTTTTCTCCTCATTTATTTAATAAGGGTAAGTAATGCTTGATTTACTTTATAGGATTCTTGAATGGAGCAAATGAAATAATAGATGAGAAATCTTATTCAGTTGGATAGAACTTAAACAAAAAAAGAAAGCAAGAGGAAGCAAACACAATTGTAGAGACAGATGGAGGAGAAAGAAAATGAATGAAGCATGTGTTTATGAAAGGGTTAGTAACAAGCACCACCAGTGGCCATCCTTTAAAAGAAGTAGCCACTTGTTCCATACAAGATCTGTCTGTGGCTCAGGTTTTCTTGTTGATCCCTCCCTCCCTTCCATTCTTCCCATTCTCTTTTTTATTTTGTTTTCCCCTCCCTCTCTACCTTTTTTTGTTAAATTGGATAATCATGCTTTTAATGCTTAAAGGGAAAAGTATAATATAACTTGCATGGATTATGTGACTTCCTGTCCTTGGTATTTCATTTACAGATAGTATTTATTAATGTGTATTAACAACATTTATTATTGTTAAAGGGTGATAATCTGATGGCTTTGGCAGAAGCAACAATTGCTCTTGCAGAAATGTTAGAACTGAAAGCAGATCCCACTGGTCCAGTGGAAGGAACAGTAATAGAGTCTTTCACAGACAAAGGAAGAGGGTAGGACTCTTAAAATGCTTGCCTTTTTAATTTGTTTCGTGGTTTTTGCGACTTGATTATACAATATATTATTTTTGTTGCATGTTATTATTAATTCATGAACAATATTTTCAAAACATTTGTTTTAAAAAGTATGTTTGTACTAACACAAGAACACAAAAATGTAGTTATTATCAGTAGACCATAGCAGCTATCTGTATACATCTAGTAGTCATATTTAGATGACGTAAGTAGTTAAATTTGCTTGATTTTTTCCCCCCCACTGACTCGACTGAATTGGTAAAGTCTTATAGATAACATAAATTAAAATGAAATACCAATAGTTGAGTTTTAGGGTTTGTAAATTCTTTATGACCTTGCCCATTAATATAATATGCAGAAAGGTCTTTGAAGTGGTGTTCTTGAATTTTCCTATGTAGCTCCAAGAGAGGTTTTCTCATTGCTTTGTACTCTAACAACTGTGAGTAATTCCTAAGTGGATGGTCACTGGCATAGAAAGTGGGTTAAGATTCTGTCAGAATACTTTGCTCCTTGCTTCTTCTCTTAGTATAACCTTATAAGAAATGGTTTTTTAAAAATTGTGGTAAGAAACACTTAACATTAAATTTGTTATGTTAACCATATTTAAATATACAGTTCAGTATTAAGTTTATTCACATTGTTGTGCAAAAGATCTGTTGAACTATTTTATCTTGTAAAACAGAAACTCTATACCTGTTAAACACTAATATCTCCTTGTCCTTGTCCCAAGCCCTTGGCAACTGCCTTCCTGTTTTCTGTTATTGTTATTGTTGTTTTTGAGACGGAGTTTCACTTTTTTGCCCAGGCTGGGGAGTGAAGTGGCCTCCATCTTGGCTCACTGCAGCCTCCATCCCCCTGGGTTCAAGTGATTCTCTTGTCTCAGCCTCACAAGTAGCTGGGATTACATGCGCCTGCCACCATGCCTGGCTAATTTTTGTATTTTTAGTGGAGATGGGGTTTTGCCATGTTGGTCAGGCCAGTATCAGACTCCTGACCTCTGTGATCCACCCACCTTGGCCTCCCAAAAGCTAGGATTACAGGTATGAGCCACCATGCCTGGCCCTGTTTTCTCTTTTTTAATTTGTGAATACTTTACATGCTTCATATGAGTGAAATCATTCAGTGTGTATCCTTTGATAACTGGCTTGTTTCATTTTGCATAATATTCTAGAGTTACAGTCATGCTGTAGCCTGTGACAGGATTTCTTTTTTAAAAAATTTTTTTAAATTTATTTTATTTTTTCTGAGATGGAGGCTCCCTCTGTCACCCAGGCTGGAGAGCAGTGGTGCAATCTTGGCTCAGTGCAACCTCTGCCTCCCGAGTTCAAGCAATTCTCCTGCCTCAGCCTCCTGAGTAGCTGGGACTATAGGCACATGCCACCACACCTGGCTGCTTTTTGTATTTCTAGCCGAGATGGGGTTTTGCCATGTTGGCCAGGCTGGTCTCGAACTCCTGACCTCAGGTAATCCACCTGCCTTGGCTTCCCAAAGTGCTGGGATTACAGGCATGAGCCACCACACCTGCCAATTTCCTTCTTTTTAAAGACTCTATAGTATTCCTTTGTATGTAAAATCCACATTTTCTTTGGAAGAAATGTCCATTTGTCTTGATGGACATTTGGGTTGCTTCTACTTCTTGGTATTGCAAATAAAAATTTTTTAAAAAGGTCTTGATAGGCTGACTTTGAATTCATGGGCTCAAGTGATTCTCTTGCCTTAGCCTGCTGAATAGCTGGGATTGCGGGTGTGCCACTGCACCCAGCTTTGAAATGTTTTTATAGTATGAAAAACTGCTTAAGAAGTTGAGAAGTGGTGGAATTAACCTTGTGTACACATGTTTATATAATTTAAACTTCATAAAGATATCTTTGCTCTACTTAAAGTGCAATTACATACTGATTATGACATTAAAAATATACTTTTATTTTGATTTAGTCCTGTTACTACAGCTATAATTCAAAGAGGAACTTTAAGAAAAGGCTCTGTTCTGGTTGCTGGAAAAAGTTGGGCAAAAGTTCGCTTAATGTTTGATGAAAATGGAAAAACAATGGATGAGGCCTATCCCAGCATGCCAGTGGGAATTATAGGCTGGAGAAACCTTCCTTCTGCAGGAGAAGAAATTCTTGAAGTTGAATCTGAGGTATATCAAGCTTAATTCCTATGTGTTAGATATAATATAATGATTTTAAATGTCAATTTACAGTGTTATACCAAATATGTGTATTAATGTTAACAAATAATTTAGATTATAAGGGGTCGTGAGGGGGCAAGTTGTGCTGTTAGCCTTAGACTATAGAATTTTGCTGGGGATAAGATTTTTAAATCATTTCAAAGCTCTCAAAATTTTACATGTTTCTTAAAACTTATAAAAGTCGTTTCTTACATGAGTTAAGCTAATTTCCTAATGGGGGAAATCATAAAGGCTTTAATCTAGCGGTTACTGGTATCTATTTCATTAAATAATGCGTTTTTCCCCTATAAAGCAAAGGGCACGTGAAGTGGTTGACTGGAGGAAGTATGAACAAGAACAGGAGAAATGTCAAGAGGATATGAAAATAATAGAAGAAAAGCGAAAGGAACACCAAGAAGCACATTGGAAAGCCCGTGAGAAGTATGGCAACATGCAGTGGAAGGAGAGAGCATATCTAAAGTATTTAGAAAGAAAAGGACAAACATTCTTAAGGCCAAAAGAGAAAACAGAAAGAGATTCAAATGTACTTCCTGTGATTATTAAAGGTATCTTTTTAAAGATTTTCCTTTACAGTTCATTCTTTGAATATGTGTTTAATTCTCATGATTAGTTTGGACCTTTACATTTACATGAAAATTATTTCAATATTTTAGAAGAGATTTTCTTAGTCAACATATTTCTTGCTGATTTTGTTGTAAATGTGTATTTGGCTGATTATATGCTATTAAGTCAAGTAAGTGTTGGTAATGCTAAGCCTAAATAAAAGTAGATTTAGTGGTAAATGACATACCTATCATGGCTTTAAATAGATTATTGTCATTTTTATGTCCGCTGATGTCTAATTCTTAAGATTCAACAATTGTAAACTTTTTCTGTATTTAGGTGATGTTGATGGTTCTGTTGAGGCCATTTTGAACATTATAGATACCTATGATGCTTCACATGAATGTGAACTAGAATTAATACATTTTGGAGTAGGTGATATAAGTGCAAATGATGTTAACCTTGCTGAAACATTTTATGGTAAGGATTCCATTTCTTCTTGTTAATCTCTGTTCTCCAAATAACACTGAACTCTGTGTTGTTGCTTGGCTTGTCACACCTGACATTTACTCCCATCAGCATCACCCTTCCTGCTATAGTCCAGTCCCAGCTAGCAGTTGAAACGAATAGGATGTGCAGTATTGTGGCCATAGCTTCATTTGTTGTGGTTGTATTGCAATTTTGGGGAACTACTTCAAGACCTGGTCATGTTTCTCTTTTCTTTGTTTGTTTCTCTATCTTGTTTTTTTAAAGTACCATTACTGCCCCCTCTCCCTACTCCTCCTAGTTCTTTACCATCCAAGGTTGATTCTCCTATCTTTCATTAGACTTCTGAATGTTTCTAACACTGTAATCAGCCTATTTGGTTCTTTCCTTCATCTTTTACTTTTGGCTACCTATCTTTAGTAATTGATAACTTCAAACGTCATATCTTTTTAGAGCAAAAGGTCCTTTTAGCTTTATAGGCCTAGAAGGCAAGGAACTGTCTTTATTAGTTGAACTTATGATACAGGAAAAGGGGGACTCATGACTGTTAAAACAACAACATTGTTTAGTGATTATGATTCATTTAGGAAATATATTCTTTGAAACCTGACTTGATTAGTTACATGTCACCTCTAGTACTGAAAAGGATAGAGGTGACATCTAACTAATTAAAAGTATTTGGTAGGCACTGACTGGCTTAGCACTATGCTGTAATGTAGATAGTGTATTGAATGACTTTTTTTTTTTTTTGAGACAGAGTCTCTGTTGCCCAGGCTGGAGTGCAGTGGCATGATCTCAGCTCATTGCAACCTCTGCCTCCCAGGTTCAAGGGATTCTCCTGCCTCAGTCTCCACCAAGTAGCTGGGATTACAGGCGTGCACCACCATGCCTGGCTAATTTTTTATTGGTAGAGACAGGGTTTCATTATGTTGGCCAGGCTGGTCTTGCACTCCTGACCTAGGTGGTCCATCTGCCTTAGCCTCCCAAAGTACTTAAAGAGTATAGGCATGGGCCATTGTATCCGGCCAATTGAATGACTTTTTTTTTTTCTTGAGATGGAATTTTTCTTTTGTTACCCAGGCTGGAGTGCAATGGTGTGATTTTGGCTCACTGCCACCTATGCTTCCTAGGTTCAAGCAATTCTCCTGCCCCAGCCTCCCCAGTAGCTAGGATTACAGGCATCTGCCACCACATCTGGCTAACTTTTGTATTTTTAGTAGAGACGGGGTTTCATCATGTTAACCAGGCTGGTCTCAAACTCCTGACCTCACTCAGGTGATCCGCCCACCTACCTCAGCCTTCCAAAGTGCTGGAATTATAGGTGTGAGCCACTATGCCTGGCCTACCATTAAGAATGACTTCTTAATAATAGGACTTTCAAGGTGATTGTATTTTTCTCTTGATTGAACCATTTGGGTTTTTTTTTCATTCATTTTGTTTAAGGCAAGAGTGTTTTGCTTTTTTTTCTCCCAGAGTATTTACAGTTAAATACATTACTTGTATTTTTGGTAAAATGGCCAGCTGCATGAAACTTGCTTCTTAAAAATAACTCTTGAACTTTACCAATTAAGTCACTATCTTTCCCTCCACCCCTGTAAGTGACAATTTTGAGCATCTTTTGGCCGTCTGAATACCTGAGTACAAATCACAATAATGGTAGACAATAAGATTATAATTTAATAATGTAATTGTTATTAGAATGAAGTATATTTCAGCCCTGGTCATTTTTCGTGTTCTTATTTCTCTGGTATAAAAATCAAATTTTTTTAGCATACTCTCTTACATGTTATAAGCACTTACTGTTCCTTAAATGGATTTAAAATTACAAAGAAATTTTTTTTGTTAAACAAGCCACAATACAATTTATAAAATTTATCAATTGGAAGATTAACTAGTTTGGGTGAGAAAAATATCATAGACCTTATCTCCTCTAATTGCTTTTTTTTTTTATGGAGTTTTGCTCTTACGGAGTCCAGGCTGGAGTGCAATGGCGCCATCTTGGCTCACTGGAACCTCAGCCTCCCATGTTCAAGTGATTCTCCTGCCTCAGCCTCCCAAGTAGCTAGAATTACAGGCACCCACCACCACGCCTGGCTAATTTTGTATTGTTAGTAGAGACGGGTTTCACCACATTGGCCAGGCTGGTCTCGAACTCCTGAACTCACGTGATCCACCTGCCTCGGCCTCCCAAAGTGCTGGGGTTACAGGCATGAGCCACTGTGCCTGGCCTCTAATTGCTATTTTAGTTTAATTTAGAAAATAAAACAATTTAGATTCAAGTTTCTGCTTGAAAGACAAATAAATGATTATAATATAATCTTTATGCTACTTCATTGATCATATTTCTCTTTGCTAGGTGTTATATATGGCTTTAATGTGAATGCGGGCAATGTTATCCAACAGTCAGCTGCAAAAAAAGGAGTAAAAATTAAACTTCACAAAATAATTTACCATCTTGTTGAAGATTTGCAAGATGAACTGAGCAGCAGATTACCTTGTGCTGTGGAAGAGCACCCAGTAGGTGAGTGATCACTGAATGTTACTTTTAAAAATTAGTATCTTAGGTGCTATAAATAGCACTTGAAAGCAAAGTTTAGAGTAAATGTTTTCAATGTTAAAAGATATATCCTGTGTTCTAGAAAAAAATGACTACCATGAGAATTCACTGTAACTTCTTATGTAAACACCTGCCCTGTGTAACACATTGTGCCTATGCTTTGAGGATACAAAGGCAAATAAGGAATTAAGAACTTGCCCTCAAGTTTAGATATGAACAAATAATTATAATACAGATTACGTTACGATTGAAGGCATAAAGATTATGAACAATGTCATGGAAAGAGCTGTTGACTTTGTCGTGAAGCTGGCAGAGAAGTCTACCATAAGACGAAAATTTACATTTAAATATTAAATATTAAATATGGCTGGGTGTGGTGGCTCATGCTTGTAATCCCAGCACTTTGGGAGGCCGAGGCAGATGGATCACCAGGTCAGGAGTTTGAGACCAGCCTTACCAACATGGTGAAACTCCATCTCTACTAAAAATACAAAAATTAGCCAGGCGTGGTGGCACGCACCTGTAATCCCAGCTGCTCAGGAGGCTGAGGCAGGAAAATTGCTAGAAGCTGGGAGGTGAAGGTCATGCCACTGCACTCCAGCCTAGGTGACAGAGTGAGACTCCATCTCAAAAAAAAAGAAAAATACATATATAATATTTAAAAATACTGTTTTCAGCATATCGTGGCCAGAGTAAAGACTGAGTTTATTTAAAATTGGTTAAGTCACCTTATCTGTTTCTTTTTCCTCCCTATGAAGATATTTTTGTTGTTAACTTAATTTTAATGATAGTTTTTTTTTTTTTTTTCTTTTAAGACGCAGTTTTGCTCTTGTTGCCCAGGCTGGACAGCAATGGCACAATCTGAACTCACTGCAGCCTCCACCTCCTGGGTTCAAGCGTTTCTCCTGCCTCCACCTCCCAAAATAGCTGGGATTACAGGCGCCAACCACCACTCCTGGCTAGTTTTTGTATTTTTAGTAGAAATAATGTTTCACCATGTTGGCCAGGCTGGTCTTGAACCCCTGACCTTGGATGATCTGCCCGCCTCAGCCTCCCGAAGTGCTGGGATTACAGGTGTGAGCCACTGCACCTGGCCCTATAACAGTTTTAAGTTTCCAGAAAAAACTACAAGAGAAATACAAGGATCTCCTGTGTGTGTATCTTTTATTTAATTCACCAGTTGTTTACATTTTGTCCTATTTGCCTCATTTTTGTCCTGCTCCATATACACATGATTTTTTTCCCCTGGACCATTTGAGAATGTTTGAGATATTGTGCCCATTTTCCTCTAAATATTTACATCTGCTTAGCACAAGGATACTATCTTATAAAACCATAGAACTGATCAAACTCAGGAAATTTAACATTTATTTATACAATGCCATTATCTAATATACAGTCCCTATTCACATTTTGTCCACTGTCCCAACAATATGCTTTTTTCCCCTAGTCTAGGATCATGGATTATAATATATCCATGTTGTCATCTCTCTCTAGTTCCATTTAATCTGGAACAGTTCTTCAGTTTTTGTCTTTGAGATAGTCTTACTCTGCCACCAAGCTGGAGTGCAGTGGTGCAATCTCGGCTCACTGCAACCTCTGCCTCCTGGGTTCAAGCCATTCTCCTGCCTTAGCTTCCCAATTAGCTGGGATTACAGACATGTGCCACCATGCCCAGCTATTTTTTTTGTTTGCATTTTTAGTAGACACAGGATTTCACCATGTTGGCCAGGATGGTCTCAGACTCCTGACCTCATGATCTGCCCTCTGTGGCCCCTCAAAGTGCTGGGATTACAGGTGTGAACTACCATACCTGGCCAATTTTTTTCTGTTTTTGACCTGGACATTTTGAAGCATATTGGCCAGCTATTTTATAGAATGTACCTTAATTTGGATTTGTCCAGTGTTTCCAATGAGATTTGATTTTGCATTTTTGGTCTATGTGACAGATTATTTTAGGTTTTTCTGACCTGCTCAACATGATTGTACAGACATTTTTATGATCTTGTGCTAAGAGCAATTTGGAAAACTGAGTCATATGTGGGCTTCTAGGATTAAGCAAACACACCAGTCAGGTAACACTAACAAATAGCACCCTAGAAATTTGGTTCATTGTAGTGTGTGTTACTTCATTATTGGAATTTGTTTTAATTTTTAGTCAGTGAAAAAAAACAGACTCAGCCAGGCACAGTGGCTCACACCTGTAATCTCAGCACTTTGGGAGGCCAAGGTGGGCGGATCACCTGAGGTTGGGAGTTTGAGACCAGCCTGTCCAACATGGAGAAACCTTGTATCCACTAAAAATACAAAATTAGCCAGGCATGGTGGTGCATGCCTGTAATCCCAGCTACTCAGGAGGCTGAGGCAGGAGAATCGCTTGAACCCAGGAGACGAGGTTGCAGTGAGCTGAGATGGCGCCATTGCACTCCAGCCTGGGAAACAAGAAGGAAACTCCATCTGAGGGGGGCGAGCGGGCAGAAAACCAGACTCAAAATTAGTACTCCTAAGTAGATATAAATTACTCATGGCAAGATGAAAAACGAGGCCAGGCACAGTGGCTCACGTGTGTCATCCCAGCACTTCTGGAGGGTGAGGTAGGAGCACTGCTTGAGGCCAAGAATTCAAGACCAGCCTCCAAAACAAAAAAGCTAAAAAAAATTATTTGGGCATGGTGGCATACACCTGTAGTCTTAGCTATCCAAGAGGATTGCTTGAGCCCAGGAGCTTGAGGGTACGTTGAGCTATGATTGTGCCACTGTACTCCAGCCTGGGTGATCCATCTGTAAAAAAATTTTTTTAAAAGATAATTAAAAAGAGGCCGGGCGCGGTGGCTCAAGCCTGTAATCCCAGCACTTTAAGAGGCCGAGGCGGGTGGATCACGAGGTCGAGAGATTGAGACCATCCTGGTCAACATGGTGAAACCCCGTCTCTACTAAAAATACAAAAAATTAGCTGGGCATGGTGGCGCATGCCTGTAATCCCTGCTACTCGGGAGGCTGAGGCAGGAGAATTGCCTGAACCCAGGAGGCAGAGGTTGCGGTGAGCCGAGATCGCGCCATTGCACTCCAGCCTGGGTAAGAAGAGCGAAACTCCATCTCAAAAAAAAAAAACAAAAAAGATAATTAAAAAGAAATCAAGTAATGATAATCTACTCTAGAAAATATATTGAAGCAAAGCTTAAAACAAGGTTTTCATGGAATAGACAAGATATAGGCAAAGTTGGCTGGATACAGTGGCTCATACCTGTAATCCCAGCACTTTGAGAGGCTGAGGTGGTAGATCACTTGAGGTCAGGAGTTTGAGAACAGCCTAGCCAACCTGGTGAAACTTGTCTCTACTAAAAATACAAAAATTAGCTGGATGTGGTTGTGGGTGCCTATAATCCCACTACTCGGGAGGCTGAGGCTTGAGAATTGCTTGAACCCCGGAGGTGGAGGTTGTAGTGAGCCGAGATAATGCCACTGCACTCCAGCCTGGATGACAGAGTGAGACTCCATCTCAGAAAAAAAAAAAAAAGTATAGCTGAAGAGTTTCATGCCTTTGTATTCTTAATATTGGTGAGGAAAATAAAGTTGGAGTTAAAGAAACCCAGACTTTTTTCTATGCATGAATTTGGATTTTGGTCGTACCTTGAATCCTTACACTACAGAATGTCAGAAATTGCACATTTCTCAGACTCTTTAGTTTTCTGTACATTAATGTTTTCTTATTCCTAAAGGTGAGGCGTCCGTACTAGCTATTTTCTCTGTAACAGAAGGGAAGAAAAAAGTTCCTGTGGCTGGCTGCAGAGTCCAAAAAGGACAGTTAGAAAAACAAAAAAATTTTAAATTAACCCGTAATGGACATGTAATTTGGAAGGGTAAGCAACATCAAAATCTCCTTCTATAATAGTATATCCAGTCATCAAAACCTGCTGACCATATAACTGTCTGAAATCTGTTCATCTTTCATGCCCATCTCAGCTCAGACCATTTATTGCTATAACTCCTAACATGTCTACAGTTGATGGGCTCCCTTTGCCTGAGATGTTTATGTTGGTTTTACCCATTCAAGTCCTGAGTACCATCCTGTCCTCAGAAAAAAGTTGGCATCTACCTTTGAAATAGATTTAGGATATTTGAGGGGGTTCCCCTGGTATTTAGTCCCATCATTTAACATGAGGGGACCATAAAATTACGAATTTCAGAGTAATTTTCTGGTAACACCATACAACGTAATGTTTAGTAGGTACTTGTCATTTATTGAATATACTAACTAACCTTAAATTATTTTTTTAAGGCTCATTAACCTCACTGAAACACCATAAAGATGACATATCAATTGTCAAAACTGGAATGGATTGTGGTCTCAGTTTAGATGAAGAAAATATAGAATTTAAAGTAGGAGATATAATTGTTTGTTATGAAGAAAAGCACATTCAAGCCAAGACTTCTTGGGATCCAGGATTTTAAAGTTACATTAAAAATGTAAATAACTCAATGTGTTGCTTTATTGAAGGTAGAAATGTACTACTACTGGCCAAAAAGTATCTAAGTTGTTCTACATGTATTTATACATTGGAACAAATTGTCAAAAGTGCTAGAGAAATAGGAACTCTTACTTAAGGACTTCTCCCACTGGAAATCCTTGAATGGAAAGACTGGCAATATAGTAAAAGGGAATTGTCAATTACTTACTTACACATCACTGATTCTTTAAAGTGTATGCCTTAGTAAGAGTGTTATCAAGTGAACCACCTCTCCCTGAATTGAGCTCCAAAGATATGCTACCCAAATCCTGCTTGAAACCAAACTGTCTTAGTGTTAATAGTGTAAAAAAGTTATCATTCAATTATAGGCATCCATCCTGAATAAACAAACATTAAATTCCTGAGTTGTACAACAGACAGCAAACCTTCCACTGAAACCACCCAGACACTCAGGATGCATTTTTTTTTTTTTAAACTGGGTCTTGCTGTTGTCCAGGCTGAAGTGCAGTACATTATAACTCCTGGGCTCAAAGGGATCCTTTTACCTCAGCCTCCCCAGTTGGTGGGACCACACCTTTTTTTTTTTTTTTTTTTTTGCAGAAGATGGTCTTGCTATGGTGCCCATAGTGGTCTTGAACTCCTGGACCTGGATGCAAGTGATCCTCCCAAAGCTTTGGGATTACAGGCATGAGCTACCACTCCCAGCCAGTATGCATTTTTGAGTTGGCAACTTTAGCCTTTAACAGAACACTTACCATACAAACCATGATTCTCAAAGGAAAACAGGAGATAGGCACTACTGGCCATTGAATGGGTGCAGGAAAGGGACAAAACTCATCACATGACAGACCCCAAAACAAAGAATTACCTAGCCCCCTTCTATATTGTGCTGAGGTCAAGAAATGGACAGAAATACAAACTGGGTTCTATTTACACAACTTACATTAAATAAGCTTCTGGCAAAGTAATAGGTAGCCTAAGAAGTTATTATGAATTGAAAATATCCAGACCTGTGCAAGCAGTTGGCACCTGGCAGGTATCAGAACCACTGGGTCACACAATCCCCAGAAGCAACACTCACACAGTGTGACAGCAGAACTACTAAAGGAAATGGTGTGACCATCAATTTGGTGCTTTAAAATCATTCTTTAAAGCACTGCAATAAAAGCCAACAATAAATGTTAGTTCATGTCTTTTATTAACTCGGTTATTTGTCTTCTGGTTTGTTAAAGCAGTAAGTCAGACAACATTTGCCACAATAATGTCTGTCAAAGTGGCTTGCCATAAACACTCCAGCACCACATTCATCAGAAGGGCATTCTCGACGAAGGCGACTAATTTTGCCATTCTCATCCACCTGAAAAGTACAAACTTGCTTTAAGATAATTTTACAACACATTCTGAAGTCTAATTTAACTGACTCAAAACAAGTTTTTAGCTATATAATACTGGTAGTTTTAGTGTTTATAAACCAAAGCACCCTAAATTCTCACCAGTTATTACTACAATGAAAACATTCAGAGATCTTGGGACTTTTGAACATTCAAGTCCAGCTTTCCAAGTGGTAAATGAAGGTAAGACCTGAACCCAGATCTGACTTTAAACTCAGAGCCCTATTACATAAGCGATTTCAAATATCAAACAAAAACCCCAGAAAGTCTGAATTTCCCATTTCCAGAATACTTCATTTAAACAAAAGTGGGATAATGTTGGATGCTTAAGTCCAAGAAAATATTGACAAGTTACTATAAAAATTAAGTTTTCCAAATAAACCAAGACTTTGCTGACATTCTGCCCATCACTTTAACTGGCTCACCTTGTAATATTTCAGGACAGCCAGCTTAACCTTCTTTCTCTTGTGCTTATTCTTCTTGGGAGTGGTGTAAGACTTCTTCTTCCTTTTCTTAGCACCACCACGAAGTCTCAACACAAGATGAAGAGTAGACTCCTGTTAATGGGAGAGAGAATGAAGTAAGTTTTCATGATTGCACTAAAAATGGGCACACTAACTTCATGCATCGAATCTTGCCACCTTTATCCCAATAAAGTATCTGATTCTTAAACAGTTTATAGGGAGATTAGAGAATGCACTGAATTACACAGTGGGATGCAACCTGCAAAATACATGTGAGAAACTATAGCAGTGCTTCAAGTATCAGTATAGGAGTCACCAAAACTATATTGCTAATCTAATTCCATTCTCCCCACTTGTGTCAAAATGTCCAGAAAACAATGCAGGCAGTGGTTCACGTCTGTAATCCCAGCACTGGGAGGCCACGGTGCGAAGATCACTTTAGCCCAGGAGTCTGAGACCAGCCTAGGCATGCATGGAGGCATGTGCCTATTAGCCCCAATTATAGGAGGCTGAGGTGGGAGGATCACTTGAGCCTGAAAGGTGAAGGTTGCAGTGACTGCACCACTCACTCCAACCTGGATGACAGAGCCAGAGCCAGTCTCAAAAAAAGTAGAATGAAAAATTTCCAAATTAAGATTTTTAAGAGGCTGCCCCTTCCCCCAGACAGACCTTCTGAATGTTGTAGTCAGACAAAGTACGTCCATCTTCCAGTTGCTTGCCAGCAAAGATCAGTCTTTGCTGATCAGGAGGAATTCCTAATGAGAAAAAAACAAAAATTAAGTCACAGCACACCAAGCCTGATGTGCTCCAGATTTATAAGGTAACATCCCTTAATCAAATACATGATAATAACGGCTGATAATAAGCCTTTACCACAGGACATAGTTCTCAGTCTTTACACATTACATTTTACTGCATTTAATCTTAATGCCAATACTTGGCTGGGCACCACGCCTCACGCCTGTAATCCCAGCACTTTGGGAGGCAGAGGTGAGCAGATCACTTGAGGTCCGGAGTTGGAGAACAGCCTGGTCAACATGGTGAAACCCAGTCTCTACTAAAAATACAAAAAATTAGCCGGGCGTGGTGGTGCACACCTATAAACCCCGCTACTCGGGAGCCTGAAGTTGCAGGGAGCTAAGACGCACCAGTACACTCCCGCCTGGACGACAAAGTAGACTCCCTCTCACACCCAAAATAAGTGTCCGAATTCACGCAAGTGAAATACACCTCAAGGATTCCAATCTAGGTACTGTGCTCCCGGATCATGAACATTCGTTTGTTGTGTTATTCCACAAGTATTACGCTTTGTCAATCTGACCCCTTCCCCCATCACCAAGAGCAGACATGCCTAGCGCCTTCAGGTAGGTTAACGGCTCCACAAGTTAATTTTTCTTTACTACAAAATATTACTTACCTTCCTTATCCTGGATCTTGGCCTTTACATTTTCTATCGTATCAGAGGGTTCAACCTGTAAGTGTTAAAATGAAAGTAGGCTGGTTACACATTAAGGAACTACAGCAGAACTCGTTTAATTCAAGTTGGTAATTACCACTGAACCGAACCGGCGGCAGGGCTGAAAGCAACTCAAGGGAGCTGATAACCTATCCAGTGGGCAACCTCCCAAGTCTGCTCCCGGAGAGCACCTTCATCTCCCCAGCCCAGGGCGGGCGGCGGCTGTAGGGCCACACGTCCTCGCTCCTGGCAGGCGCAGCTCCTCCGCTTTAGCTAACTGGCCCAAACTCCTCGAGGGGCGAGAGGCCCAGCCTCTGGGCACCAAAAACCAGCTCTAGGCCTTTGCTCAGCAAAAGATCCTCATTTCAGAGCCTAAATTTCGAACCCAAATTCGCTCGGAATCATGGTTTAAGGCTTAGAAAGAAGCGCCAGTCCCAAAATTCACGTCAGGGCCTTAACTGAACCTTAGGTTCCTCAGGACCACCTGGTCCGTACCTCGAGGGTGATGGTTTTTCCCGTAAGGGTTTTCACGAAAATCTGCATTTTGGTGGCGGCCCCACGTGAGGCTGAGAAAAAGGAAGAGATGGATTAGGTCAGAGAACACAAATGCACGAGGCAAACGACGCTGGCCCGAGAGCATGCAAAGAGCAGACACTCACCGCAGATGGCGGATCGAAAAGGAAGAATGTCGCGCAGGCCCACAGGGTTTCCCAGCGCCGCCGCCGAAGGACCTACCCCTTAGGCAACCACACCCTATGCCTGACTGCCGTCTCAGCGACTGTCCAACCCGGTGCCAGACTGGATCGTAAACCTTGTTTCTCCTCCCTAGCCTGGGCTTTTTTCTCACTTTAGCCTTCGGAATGCTTCCGAAATGGTAGGTTTAAACAACGTAAACTGTGTTTTAGAGAGTCTTTAAAAGGAGGTGAGTCGAGGGGGGCCCTCATTGGGGAAGAGGGAGGAAATGGAAGTGTATTCTGGGAATTGTAGTTTTTCACTGCTTTCTTCTACCTTGGACTACTAGTCCCAAGATGCACTTCCACCTCCCAGATTCCCTAGTTACTATCTCTAAGCACTGGAGTAGGTGTTTGAAGAAAGGGATTCAGGTGAGGACTGGGGGGAGGATGAAGCGGAATAACGATTTCCCGAGCTTGGGAACGGGCCGGAAGTGACTAGGAGGAAAGGTTAAGGGGCGGACAAAGAGTGCGGGGCACGAAAGGTGTCCTTCACCCACTCGTAGCGATGAGGGATACAGAATCAGTGATCTACCAGACGCTCCCTGGGCTTCCAAGGAAAGGGAATCTGCGTGGCCTGCCCTAGGCAAACTGAAAAACAGGTGAAATCTTCGGAAGCTGAGGTTCAGCCCTTTCTTGCCTGTTGCCCCTCTCTGCTTTCAACCGCCAAGTCTCTCCCAGCCCCAGCCTAGGGAAGAGTCTGGGTCTGGTGTATCATTCCTTAGTGTGACACGCTTTAATATGTTGAAAATCTCGGGAGTTTTCAGATTTTCATATGAAGCCGTACGGAAAAGAAACTTGCAGAGTGGTTATTTAGTTGTAGAATTTTCAAGTTTGGGCATTGGAAGTGTTGGATCTGAGAGGAAGTTTTTGGAGTATGGATGGGGTGCTTTTCCGGCAAGGAGGCCAGTTAGAAGCAAGTTGCCCCTGTCCTTTCCGCACTCCACGAACCAGAGTTCTTTCTAATGTACCCTCTTAATGTCTTCTGTATTTATTTCTTCATCCTCTGCCACCTGCGACCCCATCCCCAAATTCAAACCTTAATTTTCCCTTGTAGGGGTTCAGTGTCTAACTCCTCTCTCCAGTCTTTCCTCCCTTCTAACCCACCTTGACTATTGCCTCCAAATACTCATTCTAAAAAGTAAAAGTGAGTGTGTTGTTACTCTACTTAAAATATCTCCCCTTCAGGATACAATACAAATTTCTTAGAATGACATTCAGCCTCTGCCTTCCTTACAACCTAATCTGCTAAACACATTACTCTACATTTCAGGAAATCAAGCTAATTTAGTTTCCTGACTTACGCTCTCTCCTGTTTTGGCGTTTCTGAAGAATCTAATCGTTTCCTCTTCTTGGAACATTTTTCATCCCATAGTCTGCCAACTTTGGGAGTCTTTACCTTTACAACAAAATTTCCTAGAGCTGTTTGCACACATTGTCTCCATTCTTCCCCTTCCATTGTCTGAACACACTCCTGTCAGGCTTCTGTCCCCACCATTCTGATGGGATAGCTCTTGTAAGGGTCCCTAAGAACCTCCATGTTGCTAATTTCAATGATCATTCATCTTATTTGATCTGACAGCAGCGTTTGACACAGTTGCTCATCCATCTCCCTTTGAAACCCTTTCTTTACCTGACTTCATCTCTTTCACTTTTTCTGCCACCCTGGAGGCTCTTTTCCAGGCTCTTTTGCTGCTGCCTCTTGATCTGCCAGACCTCTAACCATGGAGTATCCCCAAGGCCCAGTCATTGGGCCTCTGCTTTGTTAGCATTTCTTGGTTATCTCCTATTGTATAATAACTTTTAAAGTATCCTCATATGCAAATGACCCATAAACTTATCTGTCACTCAGACCACTACCTCAACTTCATATTCACATATCCAGCTATCTACTCAGCATCTCTAATGGACAGGCCCCTAACTCTTAATCTCATGAAATTGCTCTTCCCATCTCTATGTGGCAGTTTTCATTTCTCCAGTCACTGAAGCCAAAAACTTCATGGTCATCCTTGACTGCTCTTTTATATGCCCCGTCTTATCTACCCTGGCACATCTTGGCTTTATTTTCAAAAGATGTGCAGAATCCTTCCCATTACCTCCATTGTTACATCCTGATTCAAGCCACCATCATCTTTTGCCTTGATTATTGCAATAGCCTCCTAACAGTACTTCCAGCTTTCACCCTTGCATCCTGTAATCTGTTTTCCACAGAGCAACAAGAACAATTCTTTAAAATGTGAGTCAGCTGTCACTCTTCTGTACACAGGCCTCAAAGGGCTTTGCATCTCACTCAGAGGAAAGCCTAAATTCCTACAAGTGAGGCTGTTGCTCCAGCACTAGAACAAGTAGAGGCCACAGTCCAGTGTTGCTCCTCTTGCCAAGTCTGCCCAGAGAAAGGGACCTCTTTTACTAAACTGCACGGAAGTCCCCCGTGGGATGATAGTAGTTCTGCCCTCCAGGCCCTACATCCTACATAATCTGGCAGTTACCTCTCTGATCTCCTCTCTTCTCTCCCATTCTCATTCTCTTCTAGCCCCATGGGCCCTCTTGCTGTTCCTCAAATGTGCTGTCCTACCCCAAGGCCTTTGGACTGGTTACTCTTTGCCTCAACTACTCTTCTCACATAATCTACATCACCTGCTACATGATTCACATTTCTGAATGTCACCTTATCAGTGAGGTCTTTCATCTTTCCTGACTTATTGCCTTATAGAAAATAGTATCCTCCCACCTTTCTTACTCTCTGTCCCCCATACCTTGTTTTATTTTTCTTTGTATAACTTAACCCTCATCAGTCATACTATATTTCTGTATATTTTTTCTTTTTTTTTTTGAGACAGAGGCTTCCTCTGTCGCCCAGGCTGGAGTGCAGTGGTGCGATCTTAGCCAACTGCAACCTCCGCCTCCCTGGTTCAAGTGATTCTCATACCTCAGCCACCTGAGTAGCTGGGATTACAGGTGTGAGCCACTGCACGCAGCTAGGTTTTGTATTTTTTTAATAGAGACTGGGTTTTGCCATGTTGGCCAGGCTGACCTCAAACTCCTAACCTCAAGTGATCCACCCGCCTCAGCTTTCCAAAGTGCTGGGATTACAGGTGTGAGCTACCATGCTTGGCCTATTTTTTTTCCCTTGTGTGTTGTGTTCTACTTGAATGTAACCTCTATGAGACTAGGGACTTTATTTTATTCAGTTCTGTATCTCCAGTGTCTAGAATAATGGCAGACAAACAATTAGTGCCCTCCAAATACTGAGTAAATAAATGCAGCACAACTTAAGCATTGCCCTAGATTTTGTTTTACTAGATGTTTTCCCTGATGTTTCCTTGCCCCCTTCCACAGGCTAATGAGATGCCCCTCTGGCCCTCTATGGCCCACTGTGCTCTGTCACACTGCCTTTTCTGCTCTGTAGAAGTGGTTCATTTACTAGACCTGAAATGCTTGACTGGGAACCCTTGTGACTTGTCAACATATCCCTAAATATCTAATATGAATGAATGAATGATAATCTTAGTTGGTTTATGTAACTCAGTGGCATTTTGTAGATGCTAAGGAATAATCACCCTAGCTGTGTTCTGGTTTGAGAGTACCACAAGTCCAGTGTCTTACGAACAGACTAGATTATTGTTCAGTGATTACTGATTATTCAGCAAATATGTGTTTGCATGCTGCTCTTCTAGGAACCGTATTATGCACTTGAATGCATGTGGTGGAGGAGGGATAATGGGGAATGACAATATTTTGTTTCCTGATCTTGTCAAGCTTACAGCCTAACAGACAGAATATAAACAGGAAGTCTGTAAGGCAGTGTGCTGGAAAGATAAAACCATGATGGAGGAAGTGCATGGTATTATGGAGAACATCACAGTTGCGATTTTAAGGGAATTCAGGACAGCTTTCCTGAAATTGAAGAAAGATTAAAAGCCAAGTGAATCAAAGTGGTAGTATGTGTTTTGGGGATTGGGGGTAATAGAGAAGGATGTTCTGCAGGGAGGGGGAGAGGATTATGTAAGATCCTAAGGTAAGAGAGCAAGTTCATGGGAGTGGGGATGGGGATATGGGGCAAAGAACAGGGCCATGAAGAGAGTAAGTTTTGTTGGAGAACAAGAGTCATTGGTTCCTGAAGGACACTAATTGGCCAGGTAAAGGAACTTGAATTTTATCCTAAGGGTAATACTGTAGGAAGCCATTGGTATCCAAATGTCACTACCCACCTCACTAATGATTACACCGGTTTCTTCCTCCTTTGACTTTTTTCTTTTACTATTTGAAATTATATTATTTATTTATAGTCTGTTTCACCTACTAGATCATAAGCTCCAAGGAGCCAGGGACCTTATCTATCTTACTGATGAATTTCTCGCTGTGAAACACTGCCTGGTGCTTTGTTGACACTCAATAAATACTGGCTGAATAAAGGAATTAAAAATACAAAATAAAAAATTATTTCTCATTTAGGAAACTTGATTCATTTATGAGTTATTCCCTTGCTGGAACTGCTTTATATTAATTTATAAATTGACATGAAGATAAATCTGGTCTTTTAAACTTCAGAATTATTTTGGTGTCTCCTCTTCTAGTATATGGCTATGGGCAGTATTTTCAGGCTATATATGTTATTTCAGATAACTAGATAACAGTTATATTGCCAGAACATGATACATTTGATTTAGACATTTATTTATCATGGCATTGTTTATAATAGTGAAAATAGCAGCTGAGTACAGTGGCTCATGCCAGTCATTTCAGCACTTTGGGAGGCCAAAGTTGGCTGAGAACTTGAGGCCGGGAGTTCAAGACCAGCCTGGCCAACGTGGTGAAACCCCATCTGTACTAAAATTATAAAAAATTAGCCAGACGTGGTGTCCCACACCTCTAGTTTTAGCTCATCGGGAGGCTAAGGCAGGAGAATTGCTTGAATTCAGGAAGCAAAGGTTGCAGTGAGCCAAGCTCTGTAATCCCAGCACTTTGGGAGGCCAAGGCAGGCAGATCACTTGAGGTCAGGAATTCAAGACCAGCCTGGCCAACATGGTATGAGCCACTGCACCCAGCCATGGTTTGCTCTTTTTATTGTAAACCATTTATATAGTATTTCTTTACATGAATTAATCCGTTCTCTTGTTGAACATTTGGTTATTTTTTTTAAGTTTTAGATATTATGAATAAACCTTTACATGTCTTTTGGTGGATATCCATTAATTTTCTTTGGTTATATTCTTACTTGATTTCATTTTGGTTTAAATGTGTTAATATGCCTATAAAAGCGGCCCTTTACAGAGAAAGTATAACATACTCATTATACCAGCAAGTAGTGGTAGAAAGCAGATTGGATGAAGCACAGATTATGAGTGTGATTGAAAAGCTTTTAGTTATAAAATATAAAGAAAATGTGCTATAAATAAAAACAAAAGCTATAGTAAAATGCTGCTTATGTAAGCTGGATGTGAGCCATGGCAGTAGATTCTGATATGAATAAAGTCCTGTAGAATGCTGAATAAAGAAGACTAATAAATGATTATACTGTAATCTTTGTGCTACTTCATTGATTATATTTCTGTTTGCTAGGTGTTATGTGTGGCTTTAATGTGAATGCAGGCAATGTTATCCAACAGTCAGCTGCTAGTGAGTTTCCTTACAGAGAGACCATTGCAGCCACCTTTGGTGCTCCATGGCCTCAACACAGCATGGCGTCTTCCCCCACATGGACCTGCTGGTGGCCTCTTAGGAGCTGCCCCACTGAAGGAGGTCATTCCTCTCAGTCACATCTGAGTAGCACTCACTCATGCCTCGGCCCTGAGGGGAACGCAGGGGCGACTGGCGAGGTTCCTGGCTGTGTCTAGTCTGGCATCTGCCTTTGGACCACCTTCTCGGCAGAGCTCCCTGGGCTTGTGGCTGCTCCAAGCTGGGATCCATCTCCCCTGAGCTGCAGTGCTGCTCCCAATGGTCTAGAAACAAGGCTGGCACGGCAGCTCCCAGCTTAGCAGCATCCCCAGTGCAGGCTTGCCTGGGAGCTCTGTGGAGGGTGCTGCCCGATGACCCAGCCCTGGCTACACTCACATCCGAGAACCTGGCTGGCTGGGGGGGCCTCTGATGGAGCTTTCCTTTTCTTCAAGTCTTGCCAAATTTCCGGAGGAAAAGCACTAATGTTCTTCTGGACACAAGGGAGGCATACTCTCTAGGAGTAGAATAAACTATACTCCTTTCCAGTCTTCCTTTCCCAGCTTCTCCTGGACAAAGAGCTCCTCCATGTGCCTCAGACACTCCCTACACCACCCTGGCCCATCTGGTCCTCTGGCTGTTGATGCAGCTCCCCTGTATGCACATCACCCTGTGGCAGATGTTCGGGGACTTCTCAGACTCCAGGATCACTCTGAGTACACTGGCCATGGAGCCTGCTGGAGAAACTGCAGCGCGAGCCTAGAACCAGGAATCTCCTTGTCGGAGGTGCAGGGATCCTTCATTACATAGCTTTCCTTCAGGAGGACCATCGACTGGGTGTCGGGGGGATTCTGCCCCACGTAGCTGTGTGGAGCTGTCAAGGTAGAGTTCGCACTCAGACACTCCCAGAGGACGCCACTCTGCATGGGACCATCCAGCTCCTTTGACTATGGAATCAAGTACAACGTTATCAGCTGGCCCCTGGCTCCTGGCTGTGACCTCCTCTCGCCTGAACTGAGGTGGTGTGTAAGGGTGTATAGTATGGGCTTCACCACTGGGTGACTTCAGATGCAACTCCAGGAAGCGTGGGTTACCAATGACTAACAGTTACGATCCCTCCGGTGCGGTGACTTACACCTGTAATCCCAGCAGGTGTTTGGGAGGCCAGGGCGGGCGGATTGCCTGAGCTTGGGAGTTTGAGACCAGCCTGGGCAATATGGTGAAACCTTCATCTCCACTAAAATATAAAAAATTAGCCGGGTGTGGTGGCGTGCGCCTGTAGTGCCAGCTACTTCGGAGGCTGAGGCAGGAGAATCGCTTGAACTCGGGAGGCGGAGGTTGGAGTTAGCCAAGATCGCGCCACTGCACTCCAACCTTAGTGACAGAGCGATATTTTGTCTCAAAAAAAAAAAAAAAAAAAAATGCGTGAACCTGATCCCGCTTCTCTTCCGCACACTGGGGCGTCCTAGGCCCCTGCCGAGGGGCTGCGCCCTGTGAGCAGGGGCGGTTAAGGGGGTTCAGGGAGCCAGTGCCTTGGCATGCCCTTTCTCGCCCTAGTGCCGCCCAAGGTCAGGGAGGACAGTCTGCGAGGGCGATCACTTGCTCCTCCTTCGCGTCCCCAAAGCCGAGAGCGCCAGCTAACGAGAGGCGCCTTGAGGTGGCGCGGGGCCGGTTCTCAGTGCGCTCGCCCCCCGCCAGGCCGCGGTGGCGCACTTCCTGCCGATCTTGATTCTTTATTGAGAGAAGTATAATACAGCTGCTTGAAAACTATTCTCTGAAAAATACTGTTATTTTTGACATCATTGGGGGATAGATTTTAGCAGAACTCCTTACCTCTTTTTGCTTGGTACTTTAATATTAAAGATGAGAATTATAATAAAATTTATTATTTGTAGCTATTGTGTGCTGGATGAAACTAGGTGAGATAAGCGCCGGGGTCGTAAAGTATTTGACCTTGTTTGTGTCAAGAGGCTTATAAACTAGTTTTCCCACATGACACAAATAAATATAAAATACCAAACCTATTGGAAAGCGTGAATTAGCGTAAAAGACCATCAATTATACGATACATGTGAGGAGTTGTGCATAGTTTGGAAGAGAAGAGCTCTTAGTTGACTGGTGTTTGATACTTCTGTTGCGGCAGTGAAATAGCACAGACCTTTTAATACATAGGATGAAGTATTACAGAGACAGATGGGCATTTTTGTCTGAAATAAATATACATTTTAGATCAATATTTGACTTAATTAAAATGATTATATTAATTGCCGCTCTTTTTTTTCTTTCAGACTTACCAAAGATTTGACTTTGTTGCAAGAGCAGGTCAAGATTTAACTTTTCTCCAGTGAACAAGTGTGTGGATTGTCACCTATGTCAGTCCATCAAATAAGAAAACATGCAGTTCTCCCACCTATCATTTGCAGAAGTGACAAGGAGTTTTTGGAAAGTATGCAAAGATACATAATCACAGAAACTGAAAGACTGGGCTGTAATGAGGAAAGACCTGCTGATGAATATTACATCATATACCGAAATGTTTTTGACAAGGTATCATAATGCTGTTAAGGCAATTAAGTTTTCATGAAGAGAGCAATGATTTGTCTTGACAACCAGCATTCCTGCCCTTGTATCATCACTGTTTGAGTGATCACATTCCACTTGCCGATTTTGAGAAGTTCATCTAATTTCTCAGAAAGGCATGAATGGGAAAAGCGCAATTCTAGATTTGTGTTTCCTGACTGTGAATGAGTGTTTCATTTATTTTAGCTTGAGACCAGATTGTAAGTTTTCTTTATATATATTTTTAAAGACAGAGTTTCACTCTATCACCCAGGCTGGAGTATAGTGGCACACTCCTAGCTCATTGCAACCTCAAACGCCTGGGCTCAAGTGATCCTCCTACCTCAGCCTCCTGTATAGCTAGGACTACAGGCTTGTGCCACCACTCCTGACTAATTTTTTAAATTTTCTGTAGAGAGAAAATCTCTATGTTCCTCAGGCTGGTCTTGCACTCCTGGCCTCAAGTGATCCTTCTGAAATCTTGGCCTCCCAAAGTGCTGAGATTATAGGCATGAACTACCGGCGCCTAGCCCAGACTCTCAGTTTTTGATCCACTGCCTGACTGTATGTACCCTCTGATGATAATTTTCACCTTTTCATCTGAGAGTATCTGATTTATTAGAAATTGGGCTGCAAGTAGGAACATGGTACTTCCTACTTGCAGCCCAATTTCTAATAAATCAGATACTCTCAGATGAAAAGGTGAAAATTATGGTGGTATTTTGAGTTTGTTTGTGGTATCATTAAATTATTGGTTAAGGTTTGATCTAACATTAAATTGAGGCTCCTTGTAGATTGGAATTCTATCTAGAACTATCTAGTTATGGTTTCTAAGGAATTAGACTGGACTTAATGTTGGAAATATGGAGATCAGCTTACAAAAATGCTGTGACTTTGTGGAACATATTTGCTTTTGCTTTTTACGGTTTTAGAAATACCTATTATCCTTCTAAACAATTGTGGTTTTCCCACCACTCCTAATTTACTTATGCAACTCTTTTTTTCCCACCCCATCCCTAGAAGATACCCTGACAGTAAAATAAGTGAAATCAGCATCTTTCCTTTTTGCCAGAGGAAGTACTTACCTTAAGACTTCAGTAAACTGTTAGTCTCTGAGAAAAACAGCCACAGGCAAAATAGAAACTCAGTTGTTTGTTTGATTTTTAAACATTACACACTATGACCCTTATTTCTCCTCCAAATAAAAACCTAATGCCTCACGCTAAGGGAAAGTGAGCATAAGATAATAATATATACCTATCAGTAGAATAAGGAAAGTTGATACATATCCATAGGAGTATAAAATAGAGAAGCAGAGTCTTTCCTTCCTTTTGCATTGGCAGGTTAGCTTTATTTTATATGCTGTTATGATCAATGATACTTCTCTTGTTTTAGTTATTAAGGAATGTATTGAACAAATGTTTAAATAAAGGTAATGTATTGAATAGGTTTTATAACTATCAAGAGTCATGCTGTGACTCTGACTGTGTGAAATTAGCAAAGGAAAATCATAACTAACGTGTTTATCTTTGCATGCCCAAGTGCTAACACTTGTCAGTATTTTTCTTACCTGAAGAGCTGTCTGCTTTACATTAATGTAGTTATAGTGAAGTCATTTTGGAGGTATTGTTGGTAAATTTAATTCCTAGAGAAAACATACAATGTTAATAGAAAATAATATTGACATCTATAATCCATGTTTCTTTTCTCCTGGTGAGGAGAAAAAATTTCCATTTGTGCTATTTGCACATTGCATAATTGTAAATTTTACATTGTAAAGAATTCTGTTTTTCAGGACCGAAAGGGGATCTAGAAATGGAAATCATTTGATACTTTGAGAAACTTTTCTTCTAGCTTCTTAATAACAGATAATTTACCTCTTTCATTTTCATATTATTTTAGCACATTGCTTTTTTTTTAAAGGTAATCGGTTATTTAATTAGATTATTAGGACATTTAAAACACCAATTTGTGAGGATAAATTCCATTTGTCAGGGCAAACACAGATCGCAGGTAGCCCTGGAGCTGAGGAATAGTTTTGAGTTTTGGTAAAATTTGTGAGTCCACAGCTTTCTGATCAATCTTGCACTGCTCTGTAATTCTCTTTTTCTGTGTTGAAGATCTCACCTTCCTGGTGTCTGGGCTTCCTCAGCTGCTTCTTCTTGAAGTAAGCATCAGTAAGATGTTTTGGGATTTTTACATTGCTGATATCAATTTTGGTTGAGGTGGCAATGACAAATTTCTGGTGCGTTCTTCGCAGAGGAACTCGATTGAGGACCAGAGGTCCAGTCACAAGTAACAAGCCACTAGCCAGCTGCTTCAGGAAAACCACCCTCTTGCCCCTGTGGCGTCCAGTTAGGACGATCAGAATGGTCCCAGGGGTAATGCTGGCTCGCAGTTTTCTCACGTGCTGACTAAGGGGTTTTTTGCCGTGGCTCAACAGCTTTCGAGGCACATCTTCAGTAGGATAATACCTAGGCATTTTGCGAAGTTTAACCACCTGGGTACCACCGTTTTTGTCACCACCAAATGGTTTTGTAACAGTTGCAAGAACCTTCTCCTTTCTCTTTTCAACCTTGGATTTAGCCGCTGAGTACTTCGTCTAGTACAAGGCTTTTCTGGAATACATGGCAGATCGGGAATACCTGCCAATTCCTCTGACAAGAACAGGATTGCGGCTGCAATGGGGCTTCCCCTTCTTGGGCTTTTTAGCCTTGAGGCTACCCTTTTTCACTTTGCTACCAGCATCAGCCTTCTTGGCTTCAGGTTTCTTATCTTTAGTATCCGGCTTCTCAACTTTTTCACCCGTCGTCTTGCAAGATGGGAAAAGCAGCACATTGTTAATGAACTGTTAATGACTGTCTTCTCTGATCTTAGAAGGAACTAGTTGGGCAGAAGATAAAAGTGTCAGCTTGCATCTCTGGATACTTGGAATCAGGGAACAAATGCCAAATTGTGTTTAAAATCAAAGATAGATATCTTAACCTGGAGAATCATACCTGAATCAAAGTAAGGAGGTCTTGATATTCATAGCAAGAGTTGGGGGTCGATTGTAGGATGAGCCAAAAACTTAGTAAGCAAAGAAGACCAAAGCTCCGAAGAATGAGCTTCTTTAGAAATGGATGACTTATGGGGCTGGCTGCAGTAGCTCATGCCTGTAATCTCAGAACTTTGGGAGACTTGGTAGGAGAATCACTTGAGGCCAAGAGTTTGAGACCAGCCTGGGCAACATAGCAAGACTCTGTTTCTACCAAAAAAATAAAAAGGGGCCGGGATATTGAGGTAGCTGGACTCTGTAAAGCGGCTGATGTTTTGTGTTCCTATAGCATATTGTACAGGTAGTTCAGATCCATATGCAGGAGCTGAGGTAGAATGAAAACCATTCCTCTTCTCCCTCAGACCGCTGTACCTGGTAAGTATAGCTATGGTTATTTTCTTGGATTTTATAGCAACCTTAATGCAGTAGTCTCAAAGTTAAATGCCTGTAGAAGCCAGCAAGGTAATATAAAAGAGTTAAGTGGGCTGGCTATAAGAGAATAAGGAATGGTGGGGATTGTGGTAAAATGAAAAACCAACTTAATTGAAAGCTCCAGCTATTATTGCCATTAAGGAATAGGGATTCCATATTGGTAGATTTTTCAGAGAGTTTTCAAGAGCAGCTGAAAATGTGGTTTTGGGATGAAGTTTCCTAAATTTAAAAATATTTTATCGGTAAACAAAATTGCTGGCTGTATTCACCCATGGTGTGTCAGTTTGCATATTCTACTTTAGCGTGTTTTCTGTGCATTCTTAAAGGTTCCCATGAGTGCTCTTCTGAAATCTGTTTCTTCTAGCAAACAGACTTTGGAGCTGATCGTGATACCACTGCATATTTATTATTTACTCATTAATGTATCTCAGTTGTCTTAGATTGTTGGAGCACCCTGTTGCTCCTAGCCATCTACTTCACACACTCCTCTGATGCGCTCCAATCTGTGGAAAGCCACAGATTGATAACCTCTATTTTGTTAAAGGTTCTTGATTTGGGTGGATAGGTAGTATAGTCATGTCAAAAAGACCATCAGGACCACCAATTCAAATATCCTCTCCTGGCACTTGCCAGGAGATCAATAATCCTTTTATATCATTTGTTGATAGACCAGATGCCTTCCTAGATAACTTTTTCTAGATATTGCTGAGGTAAAGAAAGCCAGTGGGGGATACCAGAGGCTAGAGATGTAGCAGGAATAGAAAGCATAATTGCAGCTTTCAGAGAAAATTAGGGATTGATCCTGTCTATTCTCCATATTCATCAATCCCTTCTGAAATCTTTATGTGCAGAATTTGGAAACCACACATTTTTTATAACTTTTCTGTTTTTATTTTTTGACTTATTTTAAAATGTTCCCTTATTTTTGCATGGGTAATGCATATATAAGATTAACAAAAAATAAATGAATAAACCAGTAAAGGAGATTGTATAATGGAAAGTCTGCCCCTTCTCATCTCAGATTCTATTTCTCCTGTCCTCTGCAGGCACCCACTCTGTTTTCTTCTTTTATCTTTCCAGAGATGTTTTTTTGTGCTGAAACACTGTTTGAAGCCATGAATGTAGAGTGACGAGGGATTTTTTACAGTTGCACATGAAATCCTGGGAATAGAAATGCAATTAGATATTGAGAATATTGATGAGTCGATAGGAGCTGATTGGTTTGAAAAATAAGGTGGTGAAGAGAATCCAGGATTTTAAGGTTTAAATGAAGTTAGAGACTAGATTTGGAGGGAATAAGAGAAGATACAGAATTATATTTAAAAGATTCAGAACTGGGCAAATTTGAACTGGTTTAGTTTTAACTGCCATTATATGTATGTGTTCATACCAAGTAGAACAAAAATCCAGTGTTTTTTTTCTCTAATATTTAAACTCTGCATTATCTGTTGTAATCATCCACAAAGAGCACATATTTAGTAAATTTTGCCTTTAGTGTTCAGTTATGATGGAGCTTGCTGTAAAGTTTTTAGATTTCTAATTGCTAATCATCTTTCATTAAAAAAATAATAGTCTGTAATGGGTTGGCATGGTGGCTCATGCCTGTAATCCCAGCACTTTGGGAGGCCAAGGCTGGTGGATCACAAGGTCAGGAGTTCGAGACCAGCCTGACCAATATGGTGAAACCCCGTCTCTTTAAAAAAAAAAAAAAAACTGCAATGTTATTTGTAAGACTTTCGATCTATGGTCTTATAGAAAAAAAATCAATACTATAGGCAAAAAAATAATATTTCAGGTAATAGAGCATGCCACTGCATATAAATCCATTCTTACTTCAATCAAAAAAGAATATGATGCCTTTATTGAGACAATAAAGAAAAGCCGAAGAACTGCAGTCTGTCTTCATGGAAAACTTAAAGGTTTGGCAGCAGAGCCTACAGCTTTGGTATATCACAGAAAAAGAACAATCCAACTCGAAGCAAAGTAAGTATTTTAGTACCTAGCCCAAAAGATGGTAGTTATAGCTTGATTATAGTAACTAGCCAGTGTAATTCTAGCCAGTGGTTCTTAGTCTTACTGAATTTCAATTTTATTTAAATGATACATTTTTATGTTACCTCCTCTTAGTAACTTGAAATTACTGTATTATTTACTTATTTCAATTAAAAAACATTACTTTTGTTTGAGAACTTTTATGGTACCTGTTAGTATAATTTTTTTTTTTTTTTTTTGAGACAAGGTTTCACTCTTGTTGCCCAGGGTGGAGTGCAATGGCGCAATCTTGACTCACTGCAATCTCTGCCTCCTGTTCTCAATTGTCCTGCCTCAGCCTCCTGAATAGCTGGGACTACAGGTGCATGCCATCATGACCGGCTAATTTTTTTTTTTAATATTAAAAATAAGAGATGGGGTCTCACTTATGTTGCCCAAGCTGGTCTCAAACTGCTGAGTCCAAGCAATCCTCCTGCCTCAGCCTCCCAAAGTGCTAGGATTACAGGTGTGAACCACTCTGCCCAGCCAAAAGGCAAGAGTGGGCAGTTGTAGTTTTTTTTTTTTTTTTTTTTTTTTTTTGAGACAGAGTCTCACCATGTCACCCAGGCTGGAGTGCAACGGCACGATCTCTGCTCACTGCAACCTTCAGCTTCTGGGTTCAAGCAATTCTCCTGCCTTAGCCTCCTGACTAGCTAGGATTACAGGTGCATACCATCACGCCTGGCTAATTTTTTGTATTTTAGTAGAGACTGGGTTTCACCATGTTGGCCAGACTGGTCTTGGACTCCTGACCTTGTTACGCCTCGGCCTCCCAAAGTGCTGAGATTATAGGTATGAGCCACTGTGCCCGGCCTATAGTCTTTTTGTTTGTTTGAAGCAGGATCTTGCTCAGTTGTCCTGGCTGGAGTTCAGTAACCTGATCTTGGCCCACTGCAACCTCTGCCTCCCAGGCACAAGTGATCCTCCCATCTCAGCCTCCCAAGTAACTGAGACTACAGGCACAAGCTACCACACCTGAATAATTTTTGTATTTTTTATAGGAATTTTGCTATGTCAGGCTAATTTTTGTATTTTCTGTAGAGATGGGATCTTGCCATGTTGCCCAGTCTGGTCTCCAACTTGTGAGGTCAAATGATCTGCATGCCTCAGCCTCCCAAAGTGCTGGGATTACAGGCATGAGCCACCACACCTGGCCCTCTTAGTATAATTGAGGGCATACTGTTGTATCGTAAAATGAGTATCTGCGTGTGAAGACTCACTCCTATAATCCCAGCACTTTGAGATGCCAAGGTAGGATTGCTTGAGCTTAAAAATTTGAGATCAGCTGGGCAACGTAGTGAGGCCCTGTCCTTACAAAAAATGTAAAAACAAATTAGCTGAGTATGGTCCAAGTTGCTTGGGAGCCTGAGATGGGAGGATTGTTTGAGCCTAAGAGATGGGGACTGTAGTGAGCCATGATTGCACCACTGCACCCCAGACTGGGTAACAGAGTGAGACCCCGTCCCAAGAAAAAAAAAATGAATAAAATAAAATAAATAAGGGATGCAGGTAATTGCTCTAAGTAATTTCCTCCATGGAAGATTTAATAGTACAATTTCATGATTACTATCTGAATTAGAGTACTTAATCCTGTTATTCACAAAGGTAAGTAACCTACTGGGAGAGGATAAGATGCTCAATCTTGTTGAGTAGTCTTTTATTTTCAGTGTTACATTTGGTAAATGATGAGTAAAGTATTTTTATAGATAATTTTAAGTCAACACTTGGAAAACTATGCAAAGTTTGACATCCATTGCTGTTAATATGGCTGACTAGAAGTAGAGATAGACCCTCCTATTGGGGAAAAACACTATGTAATATATTTTTAAAAAATCTTTCTAAAAGCATTAGAAAGTCAAAATCAGGACAAAATCTAACAGAAGACAAAAGATAAGCAGAGCACTAAAACTGCTTTGGCCCTGAGAACATTTTTTAAAAAACGAATGACCATAATTTTCAGTTTTTACTATTGCATACAGAATAAAAAGCAAAGCCCAGGATCACTTCACATGATACAGTCTTTTGGGAAACACTCACCATATAAAGCTAGGATGGTAAAAGGCTATATATGCCATCATAGGCTAAACCAGGGGTAAACTTCTCCACCCCTGGGACTGCAAGGAAAATTGCCCTTTACTGAGCTGATTGCTGATGGGTACACAGTTTATTTTGGGAGCAATGAAACGTTCTGGAATTAGTGGTTGTAGTTGTACAACTACACTAAAAAATTACTTGAATTATATATACTTTACAAGAATGATTCTTAAGGTGTTAACTGTATCTCAGTAAAGCTATTATAAAAAGATACAGAGGACACAGTGAGAAGGTCATATTATTATGTCTAATCACAGCTCTACAATGAAAAGAATGTGGGAAACAGATAATATTTGAAGAAATAATGGCTGTGAGTTTTCTGGAACTGCCGAACAATACTGATTCACAGATTCAACAAACCCAAAGAATCCCAAGCATGGCAAATACTAGGAAATACTCAGCGAGGTTCATTTTAGTGAAGTTGTCAAAAATAGAGAACATAAAAGTAGCATAGACAGGAGCAACAATTAGATACCTTCTTATCCATGGGGTAACATGTATTAGAACTTCATTCCTTTTTATGGCTGAATAATACTCCATTGTATGTATATACTATATACTATATTTCGTTTATCAATTCATCTGTTTTTGGACACTTGGATTGTTTCCATTTTGAATGACACTCTGAAAATTCATGTACAAGTATCTGCTTTCAGTTTCTTTTGAAAGTCTGCTTATTTTTAACATACCTTCCATTTATAAGCACAAATTTATTTAGAGTAAAGCCAGTGGATATTTTGTTTCCACAGTCCTTTCATAAATCCTGCAAGCTCTTACTCTGAGCCATCAATAGTTGCCAAGAATGCTATATAATAGTCAGAAGCAGCCAGCAGTTATCTACTGACAAACTTGTTTTTAATTTGCCAAAAACCCTGTGACATTTATATATTGACAAAAATTCTCTTCCTGATCAAATTTTACTCAGGCTCCCCTGAACCCTTTTCAACTAGGCCTGACTTTCAGACTTCCACATTCATCTCTGCACCATTCAGTTTTAGCAAGAATCCTGTGAAGTTTAGTCAGAACCCCCCATCCTTGATACGCGATCCCCCAGTCACCCTCCAGGTGATGTCTAGTTACTGTGGCCTGCCTTCAGCAAGAATCCTGGTAGGTCAATTTATCCAGAATCTCTCTATTCTGATGTTTCCATTTAGTAATTTGTCATGCACTGACCCCACCCTGCTCTTTAGCTGTAAATTCATACTCGCCCATGTTGCCTTCAGACTGAGTCCAATCATTCTCCATTGTAGTAGTTCCTATCCCTATCACCATGGCCCCTGCTGTAAAAAGTCTTCCTTACCATACTTTAACAAGTGTCATAAATAATTTTTCTGTAAGTGTGTATTTTAATATGTTATTTCTCCCTTGGGCCAACATAACTAGGAAGAAAACTTCAAATAATGCTTAAGAGAAGTTTATACTACTTTTTGGTCTTTAAAATTTCCATTTCTGGATAAACTTTGTTTTATCTCAGTATAATGCTTTCCTTCCTCTAGCTCTAGGATCAGAATTACTGTAGTGGGCTGAATAACGATTCTCAAAGACCTCAGACCCTAATCCCTGGAACCCCTAAATGTTAACCTTATTTGGAAAAAGGGTCTCTGTAGATGTGATTAAAGATTTTGAGACTGGGCGTGGTGTCTCATGCCTGTAATCTCAGCACTTTGGGAGGCCAAGGTGGGTGGATCACCTGAGGTCATAAGTTCAAGTCCAGCCTGGCCAACATGGTAAAACCCCATCTTTTAAAAAATTAATTAATTAATTAATTAAAAAGATTTTGAGATAGGGAGATTATAAAAATAAGCCCTAAATACAATCATAAATGTCCTAATAAGAGGGAAACAGGAGCTTTGCTACCGGGAGAAGAGAAGGCAGTATGACCATAGAGGCAGAGGCTAAAGAGATGAAGTCAGAATGCTTGCAGCCCCAAGGCTGGAAAAGCCAAGGAACAGATTCTGAAGGAGGCGTGCCTCTGCCAACACTTTGATTTTGGTCCAGTGATACTGGTTTTGAATTTCTACCTTCCAGAATTGTAAGAGAATACATTTCTGTTGTTTGAAGTCATCAAGGTAGTGGCAATTTGTTACAATTGCCACAGCAAAGTAATATAAATACTTACCAAAATAATTTTCAAATTAGAAAAGTAATTTTCTACTAAAGAGAATAGATAGATAGCATTTTGTGGTCATATTATGATGATTAGCGTGACTTTCCAATATGGTTCAGAGTCATAGTATGAGATTTTATCGATGCTCAGAAAGAAAATTGTTCCTCATTTGTTAGGCTAGGTAACTTTTTCAGGGCATTGCACCTAGTCTATAATGCTTCAAAATAATGTAACAATTTAACGTGTTTTACTTTAGATTTTGTGGTTCAAGAATCAAGTTAGTTGAAAGACATAATGAAGGCTTTCTGTTTTCTAGAATGAGGATTATTGAAAATAATTCCTCAAAGATTCAATCTCAAATACATGAAATCAAGCAGCATAGGGCAGAGTATGACACGAAAGAAGCAAAATATTGTACTTTCTCCAAAGATCCTTCAAAACCTATTCCAGGTAGTATTTTCTTTACAATATTTAAGAGAAATCGTATTTCCAAATTTTACCTAAGCCACGCATTAATATAAATGTGCATCTGATATGTGTGCATCTTGAAAGTGTGTGTTGTACACATAATTTTAGTCAGGACCCTAGGTGGATTCAAGGGAATGGAAAAATAAACTGTAAAAGATTGAATTTAAGTCAGCTGGGTTATATAAAGTATAATGCAGTGGCTCCTGAAATGTGGTTCCCGTATCAAAGTCAGCATCACCTAAAGTCGTCTTAGAAATGCAAATTCATGGATCCTGTCAGATCAGAGACTTAACTGTGTCAGAAACTCAATGGGTGAAGTTCAGCAGTGTCTTAACTAATCCTTAAGGTGTTTTTTTTTCTTTTTCTTTTCTTTTCTTTCTTTTTTTTTTTTTGAGACCCAGTCTCTCTCAGTCACCCAGGCTGGAGTGTGGTGGCACGATCTTGCCTCACAGCAACCTCCATCTCCAGGGTTCAAATGACTTTCATGCCCTAGCCTTCCGAGTAGCTGGGATTACAAGCATGAGCAACCATGCCCAGCTAATTTTTGTGTTTTTAGTAGAGATGGGGTTTCGCCATGTTGGCCAGACTTGTCCCAAATTCTTGGGCTCTAGCAATCCACCCACCTCAGCCTCCCAAAGTGCTGGGATTACAGGCATGAGCTACTGTGCCTGGCTGCTTCAGGTTTTTTGGATGCACTTTAAAGTTTGAGAACCCCTGGTGTAATATAAGGAAAACTGTAGTGTATTAAGTTCTGGTGGATGTTGTTGATACTTGTTGATGTCAGCATTCTCTGCTTCCACATCTTCAGTATAATACTGTTACCACATTTTAAGAAATTGTAGTATGTCCTGGAATTCATCTAGGATAGTGAGAGGTTTTTACAATGAGTGGATAGAGGAATTACAAATATTTATCTGGGAAAAAGAAGGATTTTGAGAATAGATAATGGTATTCCAAACTTCTAAAAATTTTGGCTAGTGTTTATTCTGAGGCAGGATTAATAGGTAGAAATTTTAGGAAGCCAGATTTGGTCTCGGTGAAAGAAGCTATGATCTGAAGTAATGAGCTATGCTATGCTAGAGGATTTCAACTGAGGTTGAATAATCGTCTTGTGTTTCATAAAAGTAGGCACTAGATTCACTTTCCTTCTTTCTTCTTTTTTTTTTTTTTTTTTTGAGATGGAGTCTCGCTCTGTTGCCTAGGCTGGAATGCAACGGCATGATCTCAGCTCACTGCAACCTCTGCCTCCTGGGTTCAAGCAATTCTTCTGCCTCAGCCTCCCAAGTAGCTGGGATTACAGGTGCCCACCACCATACCTGACTAATTTTTGTATTTTTAGTAGAAATGGGGTTTCACCATATTGGCCAGGCTGGTCTCAAACTCCTGACCTTGGGATCCTCCCTCCTTGGCCTTCCAAAGTGCTGGGATTACAGGCATGAGCCACTGCGCCTGGCCTAGATTCACTTTCAAATATAAAATTGTGACTAGCAAGTGACAAATAAGATACATATTAATAAGTACAGTATAACTGACAAATCGACTAAGTGCTGAGAAGATTGAGGGTAAGGGACTAGTTAAAATCAAGTAGCATCAATCCAGGAAAGTTTTTGGAGGAGGAGTATTTTGTGGTATGTCCTAAAGTCAACAATTGGCCCAAATGAGAAAGAAAGATGTTCAGGGATGGGCACAGTGGCTCACACCTGTTATCCTAGCACTTTGGGATGCTGAGTTGTGAGGATCTCTTGAGCCCAGGAGTTTGAGATCAACCTGGACCAACACTGTAAGAGCCTCTTTCTCTCTCTGTTTTTGTTTTTTTTTTTTTTTTAAAGAAGGCATTTGAAGAGAGATAGTTATGAATAATAAGTAGAGGGGACTGTGAGAGAGAGAGGACTGAAGCTTTAGATGGCATTTACATTTTGTGTTGATAATTATAAACTGATTACTCTGAGGTTAGCTATAATAGAGTAATGGGAGATTTGTTTAGAGAGAAATCTGTTGACAAATCCTGAATTGTTAGGCAGAAGCTCTTGGTGTTATTGAGTTACAGTGATATTTAGGGGTCTTCAGGCTGTGTTAATGAATCACTAAAAATATTGTTTTGAGATGCTAAGGTTTGTGTGTTCTCAGACAGTCTTCACTGAATCTTCATTGACAATCTTTAAAACAGCTAACCTGAGGCCAGGTGTGGTGGCTAACGTCTGTAATCCCAACACTTTGGGAGGCTGAGGTGGGTGAATCACCTGAGGTCAGGAGTTTGAGACCAGCCTGGCCAACATAGTGAAACGCTGTCTCTATTAAAAATACAAAAATTAGCCAGGCATGGTGGCAGGCGCCTGTAGTCCCAGCTACTCAGGAGGCTGAGGCAGGAGAATTGCTTGAACCTGGGAGGTGGAGGTTGAAGTGAGCTGAGATCGCACAACTGCATTCCAGCCTGGGAGACAGAGTGAGACTCCAACTCAAAAAAAATAAAAAGTAAAAAAATAAATAAATAAACGGCTAGCCTGGCCTGGCACAGTGGCTCACACCTATAATCCCAGCACTTTGGGAGGCTGAAGTGGGCAGATTGCTTGAGCCCAGGAGTTTAAGACTAGCCTGGGCAACATAGCAAGACCCTGTCTCTATTATAGTCAATCCATCAATCAGTCAACCAACCAACCAACCTGCTAGCCATTTACAAGTTTGTGCTAAGTTTACATATGTTCAATAAGCTGCAAGTACATACTATGGTTTCTAAATGGTTTCTTAACACAGTGAACTATCTCGGTAAGATTTGCTCTTTGAACACAGGAGTCCCACACATGGCTTGGACTGCTTGATTTGTTCCCTTTTCCCATAGGCATGACTGTCCAGGAATCCGTCAATCTAGATGCTCTCACTGAATACATGAAACATCTTGAAGATAAATATGCAGAAATTAAACAAGCTATGTTGTTAAAATATGTACCAGCTCAGAGGAAGGCTGATTTAGATGAAGAAATGATTGTGTTAGTAAAACGGCGAGATGTAGCTGAAAATCTGAACAAAAAATTACAGTTTAGGTATGGAAGTTGATTATGTTTTTAAAGTTTGGAGCTTTTATTTGTATTTATTCTAATATTCCACCATTTGATTTTAGGCTCAGTATATTACTGATTTTTTTTATCTTTATAGTCATCAAAGACTGCAGATAATTTCACAGGCACTTAATTCATGGATAAAATCTGACATGAGCATCCCATTTCAAGATTTTGTGGAGCAAATTCAGAAAACCATATGTTTACGAGGTAGATTCTCTATAGTTTTAAATTAGTATGGATAATGGAAGATAATTTTTTCCCCTTGAAAGTTAGAATGGGGTTTTCTTAGGCTGAATTTAAAGAAAGCAAAAACATACTTCAGCTAGTTCCCTGTTACCCTGTGGGTTTCTTCCTTCAACAGCTAACAGGTAGTTAGTGAGCCAAAGACAGAATGCCTGAAAATGTACCTCAAGATAAAGAGGGAAGGGACAGGGAGGCCACTAAGTTTCGGAAGAGGTTGATGCTGTTAGGAACCATAGCAATAAGTTGTTGGTATTAAACACATGTATGTTTATTATTTGTTGATAAGTAACCTTAAATATCTTTCAGTGGTACTTCCAATATTTACAGGTGACCAAGTCATTGCTGAAGAATTACTGGAAGATGATCCACACAGGGCAAAAGAAGCTGAAATGACACTTCACTACATTGAAAGGCAAATATTTTTAAAGCTTTACTTTTCCATGTTAAAGTGACCATATTTACTGTTTATTTTGTATTTTGGCTCATCAAAATAAGTCATAGTCTCTACGTTTCTTATCTTTATGAATTAGAAAACAAGCTAGAATTATATTTTTTCATAGATTCTTTGTGAAAAAAATATTCAATTGGGAATCTGGGAGATTCTTCAGAGGAGATAAGAGGATTATAATGTTGATATGTTTTATTTATACAGGTTAAGCATTCCTAATCCAAAAATTTGAGATCTGAAATGCTCTAAAATCTGAAAAATTCTGGGCACTGACATGAGATAGCAATACCTCTGTTTTCTGATGGATCAATGTACACAAACTTTGTTTCATGCACAAACTTATTAGAAATTTTGTATAAAATTACCTTCAGGCTATGTGTATATGGTGTATATGAACCATAAATTTTGTGTTTAGATTTGGGTCCCATCCTCAAGATACCTCATTATGTATATGCATATATTGCAAAATATGAAAAAATCCAAAATCCAAAACACTTCTGGTCTCAAACATTTAGGATAAGGGAAACTCAACCTGTATTTTTCTTAAATTTCCTAGCTATCAACCTGATGTTACAAAATGGTTTTGAGAATGTCTTCCTTGCTGAAACCGTATTTGGAGAGGAAAAAAAAATTTTCTTCCTGATTCAGATGATTCTAGCCAATTCAGTCCTTTCTTATTATTTCTATCCCATAACTTATTAAGAAGGCATATTTCTCCCTAATAGTTAAGTTATTATACATGGTATATAATAGAAGATTAAAGAGATCTGAGACTATATTCTTTTTTATACTTTTACTTTTTATCAAATATTTCAAGTATACATAAAAATACGAGAGTAACATTAACCAAATGAACACCCATGTGTCAACTGTTTACCAGCTTTGCAAAGAATTAACATATTGCCGCATTTACTTCAGCTCTTTTTATAGAAGTTTGTTGATATCCCGCTGTGTATCATCCCTCCTATCTTCAATCCCTTTTCCCTCCATTTTTCCCCACATAGCTGCTCCCCTGGTGTTTAACATGCCCTTACATTTTTAAACATTTGTAATATATAGTAAGACTTATTCTTTTTCTTTTTCTTTTTTTTTTTTTAATTTTTTATTGGATTTTAGGTTTTGGGGTACATGAGCAGAGCATGCAAGACAGTTGCGTAGGAACACACATGGCAGTGTGCTTTTCTTTCCTTCTCCCCTTCACCCACATTTGGCATTTCTCCCCAGGCTATCCCTCCCCACCACCCCCTCCCACTGGCCCTCCCCTTTTCCCCCCAATAGACTCCAGTGTTTAGTACTCCCCTTTCTGTGTCCATGTGTTCTCATTTTTCATCACCCACCTATGAGTGAGAATATGCGGTGTTTCATTTTCTGTTCTTGTGTCAGTTTGCTGAGGATGATGTTCTCCAGATTCATCCATGTCCCTACAAACGACACGAACTCATCATTTCTGATTGCTGCATAATATTCCATGGTGTATATGTGCCACATTTTTCCAATCCAGTCTATTATCAATGGGCATTTGGGTTGATTCCAGGTCTTTGCTATTGTAAACAGTGCTGCAATGAACATTCGTGTACATGTGTCCTTATAGTAGAACGATTTATAGTCTTTTGGATATATACCCAGTAATGGGATTGCTGGGTCAAATGGAATTTCTATTTCTAAGGCCTTGAGGAATCGCCACACTGTCTTCCACAATGGTTGAACTAATTTACACTCCCACCAACAGTGTAAAAGTGTTCCTTTTTCTCTACATCCTCTCCAGCATCTGTTGTCTCCAGATTTTTTAATGATCGCCATTCTAACTGGCGTGAGATGGTATCTCAATGTGGTTTTGATTTGCATCTCTCTGATGACCAGTGACGATGAGCACTTTTTCTTATGACTGTTGGCCTCATATATGTCTTCTTTCGTAAAGTGTCTGTTCATATCCTTTGCCCACTTTTGAATGGGCTTGTTTGTTTTTTTCCTGTAAATCCGTTTGAGTTCTTTGTAAATTCTGGATATCAGCCCTTTGTCAGATGGGTAAACTGCAAAAATTTTTTCCCATTCTGTTGGTTGCCGATCCACTCTAGTGACTGTTTCTTTTGCCGTGCAGAAGCTGTGGAGTTTCATTAGGTCCCATTTGTCTATTTTGGCTTTTGTTGCCAATGCTTTTGGTGTTTTGTTCATGAAGTCCTTGCCTACTCCTATGTCCTGGATAGTTTTGCCTAGATTTCCTTCTAGGGTTTTTATGGTGCCAGGTCTTATGTTTAAGTCTTTAATCCATCTAGAGTTAATTTTGGTGTAAGGTGTCAGGAAGGGGTCCAGTTTCTGCTTTCTGCACATGGCTAGCCAGTTTTCCCAACACCATTTGTTAAACATGGAATCCTTGCCCCATTGCTTGTTTTTGTCAGGTTTATCAAAGATTGTATAGTTGTATGTATGTTGTGTTGCCTCCGGTGCCTCTGTTTTGTTCCATTGGTCTATATCTCTGTTTTGGTACCAGTACCATGCTGTTTTGATTACTGTAGCCTTGTAGTATAGTTTGAAATCCGGTAGTGTGATGCCCCCCGCTGTGTTCTTTTTGCTTAGAATTGACTTGGCTATGCGGGCTCTCTTTTGGTTCCATATGAAGTTCATGGTGGTTTTTTCCAGTTCTGTGAAGAAAGTCAATGGTAGCTTGATGGGGATAGCGTTGATTCTGTAAATTACTTTGGGCAGTATAGCCATTTTCACGATATTAATTCTTCCTAACCATGAACATGGAATGTTTCTCCATCTGTTTGTGTCCTCTCTGATTTCGTTGAGCAGTGGTTTGTAGTTCTCCTTGAAGAGGTCCCTTACGTTCCTTGTGAGTTGTATTCCAAGGTATTTTATTCTTTTTGTAGCAATTGTGAATGGCAGTTCGCTCTTGATTTGGCTTTCTTTAAGTCTGTCATTGGCGTAGACGAATGCTTGTGATTTTTGCACATTGATTTTATATCCTGAGACTTTGCTGAAGTTGTTTATCAGTTTCAGGAGTTTTTGGGCTGAGGCAATGGGGTCTTCTAGGTATACTATCATGTCGTCTGCAAATAGAGACAATTTGGCTTCCACCTTTCCTATTTGAATACCCTTTATTTCTCTTTCTTGCCTGATTGCTCTGGCTAGAACTTCCAGTACTATATTGAATAGGAGTGGTGAGAGAGGGCATCCTTGTCTAGTGCCAGATTTCAAAGGGAATGCTTCCAGTTTTTGCCCATTCAGTATGATATTGGCTGTTGGTTTGTCATAAATAGCTTTTATTACTTTGAGATACGTTCCATCGATACCGAGTTTATTGAGGGTTTTTAGCATAAAGGGCTGTTGAATTTTGTCAAATTCCTTCTCTGCGTCAATTGAGATAATCATGTGGTTTTTGTTTTTGGTTCTGTTTATGTGGTGAATTACGTTGATAGACTTGCGTATGTTGAACCAGCCTTGCATCCCTGGGATGAATCCTACTTGATCATGATGAATAAGTGTTTTGATTTGCTGTTGCAGTCGGCTTGCCAATATTTTATTGAAGATTTCTGCATCTATGTTCATCATGGATATTGGCCTGAAGGTTTCTTTTCTCGTTGGGTCTCTGCCGGATTTTGGTATCAGGATGATGTTGGTCTCATAAAATGATTTGGGAAGGATTCCCTCTTTTTGGATTGTTTGAAATAGTTTTAGAAGGAATGGTACCAGCTCCTCCTTGTGTGTCTGGTAGAATTCGGCTGTGAACCCGTCTGGACCTGGGCTTTTTTTGTGTGGTAGGCTCTTAATTGCTGCCTCGACTTCTGACCTTGTTATTGGTCTATTCATAGTTTCAGCTTCCTCCTGGTTTAGGCTTGGGAGGACACAGGAGTCCAGGAATTTATCCATTTCTTCCAGGTTTACTAGTTTATGTACATATAGTTGTTTGTAATATTCTCTGATGATGGTTTGAATTTCTGTGGAATCTGTGGTGATTTCCCCTTTATCATTTTTTATTGCATCTATTTGGTTGTTCTCTCTTTTCTTTTTAATCAATCTGGCTAGTGGTCTGTCTATTTTGTTGATCTTTTAAAAAAACCAGCTCTTGGATTTATTGATTTTTTGAAGGGTTTTTCGTGTCTCAATCTCCTTCAGCTCTGCTCTGATCTTAGTTATTTCTTGTCTTCTGCTGGGTTTTGAGTTTTTTTGATCTTGCTCCTCTAGCTCTTTCAATTTTGACGATAGGGTGTCAATTTTGGATCTCTCCATTCTCCTCATATGGGCTCTTATTGCTATATACTTTCCTCTAGAGACTGCTTTAAATGTGTCCCAGAGGTTCTGGCATGTTGTGTCTTCGTTCTCATTGGTTTCGAAGAACTTCTTTATTTCTGACTTCATTTCATTGTTTACCCAGTCAACATTCAAGAGCCAGTTGTTCAGTTTCCATGAAGCTGTGTGGTTCTGGGTTGGTTTCTGTATTCTGAGTTGTAACTTGATTGCATTATGGTCTGAGAGGCTGTTTGTTATGATTTCAATTGTTTTGCATTTGTTGAGCAGTGCTTTACTTCCAATTATGTGGTCAATTTTTGAGTAGGTGTGATGTGGTGCTGAGAAAAATGTATATTCTGTGGATTTGGGGTGGAGAGTTCTGTAAATGTCTATCAGGTTTGCTTGTTTCAGGTCTGAGTTCAAGCCCTGGGTATCCTTGTTGATTTTCTGTCTGGTTGATCTGTCTAATATTGACAGTGGAGTGTTAAAGTCTCCCACTATTATTGTGTGGGAGTCTAAGTCTCTTTGTAAGTCATTAAGAACTTGCCTTATGTATCTGGGTGCTCCTGCATTGGGTCCATATATGTTTAGGATCGTTAGCTCTTCTTGTTTTATTGATCCTTTTACCAGTATGTAATGGCCTTCTTTGTCTCTTTTGATCTTTGTTGCTTTAAAGTCTATTTTATCAGAGATGAGAATTGCAACTCCTGCTTTTTTTTGCTCTCCATTTGCTTGGTAAATCTTTCTCCATCCCTTTATTTTGAGCCTTTGTGTATCCTTGCATGTGAGATGGGTTTCCTGGATACAGCACACTGATGGGTTTTGGATTTTTATCCAATTTGCCAGTCTGTGTCTTTTGATTGGTGCATTTAGTCCATTTACATTTAGGGTTAATATTGTTATGTGTGAATTTGATACTGCCATTTTGATGCTAAGTGGCTGTTTTGCCTGTTGGTTGTTGTAGGTTCTTCATTATGCTGATGCTCTTTAACTTTTAGTGTGATTTTGGAATGGCTGGTACTGGTTGTTCCTTTCTATGTGTAGTGCCTCTTTCAGGAGCTCTTGTAAAGCAGGCCTGGTGGTGACAAAATCTCTGAGTACTTGCTTGTTCGCAAAGGATTTTATTTTTCCTTCACTTCTGAAGCTCAGTTTGGCTGGATATGAAATTCTGGGTTGAAAGTTCTTTTCTTTAAGAATGCTGAATATTGGCCCCCACTCTCTTCTGGCTTGTAGTGTTTCTGCCAAGAGATCTGCTGTGAGTCTGATGGGCTTCCCTTTGTGGGTAACTCGACCTTTCTCTCTGGCTGCCCTTAGTATTCTCTCCTTTATTTCAACCTTGTTGAATCTGACGATTATGTGCCTTGGGGTTGCTCTTCTTGCAGAATGTCTTTGTGGTGTTCTCTGTATTTCCTGCATTTGAGTGTTGGGCTGTCTTGCTATGTGGGGGAAGTTTTCCTGGATGATGTCCTGAAGAGTATTTTCCAGCTTGGATTCATTCTCTTCGTCCCCTTCTGGTACACCTATCAAACGTAGGTTAGGTCTTTTCACATAGTCCCACATTTCTTGGAGACTTTGTTCATTCCTTTTTGCGCTTTTTTCTCTGATCTTGGTTTCTCGTTAAATTTTATTGAGTTGGTCTTCGACTTCAGATATTCTTTCTTCTGCTTGGTCAATTCGGCTATTGAAACTTGTGCATGCTTCGCGAAGTTCTCATCTTGTGTTTTTCAGCTCCTTTAATTCATTCATATTCCTCTCTAAGTTATCCATTCTTGTTATCATTTCCTCATATCTTTTTTTAAGTTCCTTAGTTTCTCTGCATTGATTTAATACATGTTCTTTTAGCTCACAAAAGTTTCTCATTATCCACCTTCTGAAGTCTAATTTCGTCATTTCGTCACAGTCATTCTCCGTCCAGCTTTGCTCCCTTGCTGGTGAGGAGTTTTGGTCCTTTCTAGGAGGCGAGGTGTTCTGGTTTCGGGTGTTTTCCTCCTTTTTTCGCTGGTTTCTTCCCATCTTTGTGGGTTTATCCGCTTGTCGTCTGCGTAGTTGCTGACTTTTCGATTGGGTCTCTGAGTGGACACCCAGATTGTTGATGATGAAGTATTTCTGTTACTTGGTTTTCCTTCTACCAGCCTAGCCCCTTCGCTGTACGACTGCTGAGGTCCCCTCCAGGCCCTGCTTGTCTGGGGTGCACCTCTAGCAGCTGTGGCACAGTGAGGGATGCTACTCGTTTCTTTTTCTGCTATCTTTGTCCCAGGATGATGCCTGCCAAATGTCAGTCTTTTGGATATAGAGGGGTCAGGGAGCTGCTTGAGGAGACAGTCTGTACTTTTTTGGAGCTCAATTGCTGAGCTGTGAGCTCTGTTGTTCATTCAGGGCTGTTAGGCTGCTATGTTTGATTCTGCTGCAACAGAGCTCATTAAAAAAAACCCTTTTTTTCTCAAATGCTCTGTGTTGGGGGGTTCGGGCTTTATTTTTCGATGTCCGTTGAGGTGTCCTACCCAGCTAGAAGGCAGACTAGCCACTGTTTGGCTGCCGAGCCTCCGCCCTGCTGTTGTGTGATTCGCCCTGTTCCTGCAGGCTCCGCTGTGGTCTCCTCCACGCCCTGCGGCGGAGTCTCTTCCTTGTAGCGTGTTGCCTCGGCAACGGCAGGCTGCGTCAGCAGTGGGCGTGTATCTCAGCAGGGACAGGTTGCCTCGGCAACGGCTGGCTGCGTCAGCAATGGGCGTGTATCTCAGTTGGGGCGGGTTGCCTCGGTAGTGGTGGACGCCCCCCCCCAGAGCGTCTCGGACCGTCTGCTCAGGATAGTTTGAAATAGCGGTTTTGTTCGTCCCACTGGGTATCCCAAACGATCTGTCCCTGCAATCCCCTGGGCTGGCCGACTGTCCAAGTCTCGTTCAGTCTCAAGTCCAGCCCTCTCAAGTCTCAGGTTGCCAGTTCAACAGGGCACCCGGACAAGCGCACCCTGTGGGGATTGCTGGGTAGGGCCGGCCACCGCCGCCCCGGCTGCCGGCTTCGCCAGGCAGACCTACTGCCTGGCGTCCCGTGTCTTTTTTATACTTGGGAGTTTCCCCGTTCTGTGGGCAACAAAGATCAGTCTGGAAATGCAGCTCCGACTCACCTGTTTGCGGATTCAACGAGAGCTCCAATCCTGGGTTGTTCTCACAGCGCCATCTTGAGTCCTCCCCAGGACTTATTCTTTAAGAGGTTAATTCATAGGCTATGAGGCTTATCTGTAATGTACATATGTAATATTCCTGGTCTTATATGTTGAACAGTTTTTAGCTGTTATTTCAGTTGTTGGTATGGTAAAAAAGAGGGGGGTAAAGATAATTTTGGAGAGGGCAAAAAAGTTTGTGTTATTTCCTTGTACTCTAAGGCTTCTCTAAGTCTAACAGTTTGATATGAGAGAAAAACCCTTGTTGAAATAGAAATTTTTATGTATTTTGTTTAATATTACTTTAGTGGGTTTTCCCCCTGGGGTTCCACATTTGTTTGCAACACTAAGTGACTTCTGTTTGTCATATTTTTATTAATTGTGAGGTAAGGACTGATTTGAAGATCTTTTGCCATAGGAAGAGGAGTAGAGGCTTAAGTTATCGTAACTATTATCTTTCCTTCTTGTGTTAATCTTTGATTGGGAACCTGTTGCCTGGCAGAACAACATAGGCTTCTGAATGCCAAGGACACCTCTTGTTCTCCAATTTGGCAACTTTTGTGTTCAATTAATATTTCCTCAAGGCAGTGTTTCTAAGCAGATTGCCCTTCTTTCCCCTGATACCAGTACTTTTTCATGTAGAGATGCTATGAAGGAAAAAAATTTGAGTTAATAATAATTTCAAGTTCTATTCTCTATGGCTCGCTGTAAGTGCTATAGGAATAAAGTATAGGATCATGTTCAAAGTCAGCTAGCAATTGAGAGTTTTATTCTGAGACTTAAAAAAAAGCCAACAGAATATTAGAGAAATATTTCAAAGAACATCTTATAGAGTGAATGATTCTAATTATAGTTTATTAGAATTCCTTTTTGTTTTTCCATATCATTATGCCACTATATTTAGTATGTATTAAACATTTCTAATCCGTTTTTTCTTTTTCTTTGTGTCATTATAATGCATTTTAAAACGTGATGGCTATAGATTTAATGAATTAATCTCACTTGGTGAATATGAAAAGGCAGCTAGTTATGCAGCCAACAGTCCGAGAAGAATTCTTCGAAACATTGGTACAGTGAACACGTTTAAGGGTAAGTATTTCTCTCTGAACCTTATATATGCATGCACATTTACTACTTTTTCTCTCATAGAATGGATAAAGCACTAAACTGGGAGACTAAAGGTCTAGGCTCCAGACCAATCTCTACCATTTACTCGGTTTGCTTATCAGTAATACTAAGGGGTTTGATTAGATTTCCTAAATTGTATTATGAACAATTTTAAGTATATAGAAAAGTACGGAGAAACATTAACATCCATGTAATCACTCTTATGATTTAATAAATGTTAATGTTTTGTCAAATTTGCTCCACATTCCTTTAAAACCAGCTTTCTTATGGTAAAATTGTCATAATACAACAAATTGTACATATTAAAGTATTTGGTAAGGTTTTTTTTATTTTGAGACAGTTTCACTCTTGTTGCTCAGGTTAGAGTTCAGTGTTCATTCTTGGCTCACTGCAACCACAACCTCCGCCTCCCGGGTTCAAGCAATTCTCCCCCAGCCCTGCCTCCCAAGTACCTGGGACTACAGGTGTATACCACCATGCTCAGCTAATTTTTTAATATTTTTAGTAGAGATGGGGTTTCACCATGTTGGCCTCGAACTCCTGACCTCAGGTGACCCTCCTTTTTTGGCTTCCCATAGCACCTGGCCCAATTTGGTAAGTTTTGACATATGTATACAACCATGAGATTATCACTCAAAAGTTCCCTCATGCCGCTCTGTATCCCTCTCTTCCCACTACTTCCTAGTTCTCTCACCCTTTTCTCTCCCACAGCCTCTCCTTCCCCCAGTCTGCAGGCAAACCACTAGTGTGCTTTCAGTCACAATAGATTAGTTTGCATCTAGAGTTTTATTCAAATCGAATCATACAGTAAGTATTCTTTTTGACTGACTTCTTGCACTCAGCATAATTATTTTGAAATTTATGTTGTTGGATCTATCCAGTAGTTCATTTCTTTTTATTGATGAGTAGTATCCCATTGTATGAATACGAGTCCTTTATCAGATATGTGCCTCTGACTGGTCCAGTTATTCCAGGACAATTCATTAAGAAGATTTTCTTTACTGAATTGCCTTTGTATCTTTGTTGAAAATCAGTTATCCATATATGTGTGGGTCATTTCTGTTTCACTGTTCTCTTCATTTGTCTGGATAGAAATACCACACTGTCTTCAATACACACACACACACACACACACACACACAGTAGCTTGAACCTGTAATCCCAGCACTTTGGAAGGGGTGTGTGTGTGTGTGTGTGTGTGTGTATAAATATTAGCTTTATATTAAGTCTTGAAATCAGATAGTGTGAATCTTCAAATGCTGTTCTTTATCAAATTTGATTTGGCTATTCTAGAGCTTTTGTATTTCTGTACAGTTTTTTTTTTTTGAGACAGAATCTCACTCTGTCACCCAGGCTGGAGTGCAGTGGCACTATTCCAGCTTACTACAACCTCCACTTCCTGGGTTCAAGCGATTTATCTGCCTCAGCCTCCCAAGTAGCTGGGATTACAAGTGCACGCCACCATGCCCAGCTAATTTTGTATTTTTAGTAGAGATGGGGTTTTACCATGTTAACCAGGCTAGTCTTGCGATCTCCGCCTACCTTGGCTTCCCAAAGTGCTGGAATTATAGGCGTGAGCCACTGCACCCGGCCATTTCTGTATACTTTTATAGAGTCAGCTTTTCAATTTCTACAAAATAGCCTGCTAGAATTGGTATTGCATTGAATTTATAGATCAATCTGGAGAGAAAAGACACTGAATAGTATTGGATCTTCTGATCCAATCAACCCATGAAAATGGTATATCTCTCCATTTATTTATGTCTTTTAAATTTTCTCTCAGAAATATTTTGTAGTTTCATTGTTCAGGTCTGCACATCTTTTGTAAGATTTATCCTTAAGTGGTTCATATTTTTTTTTTTTTTTTTTTTTTTGAGATGGAGTCTCAGTCTGTCGTCCAGGCTGCAGTGCAGTGGTGCAATCCCAGATCACTGCAACCTCCACCTCCCAGGTTCAAGTGATTCTCCTGCCTTAGCCTCCCCAGTAGCTGGGATTATAGGTGCATACCACCATGCCCAGCTAAATTTGTATTTTTAGTAGAGACGGGGTTTCACCATGTTAATCAGTCTGGTCTCAAACTCCTTACCTCAGGTGATCAGCCCACCTCGGCCTCCCAAAGTTCTGGGATTACAGGTGTGAGCTACTGCACCTGGCCTATTTTTTTTTTTCTTTCTTGAGATGGAGTCTTGTTCTGTCACCCAGGCTGGAGTGCAGTGGTGTAGTCTTGACTCATTGCAACCTTATGCCTACTGGATTCAAGTGATTCTCTTCCCTCAGCCTCCCAAGTAGTTGGGACTGCAGGCATGTGCCACCACACCTGGCTAATTTTACTTAGGATAATGGCTTTCAGTTCTGTTTTATGGCTGAGTAGTATTCTGTGGGGGGGGGGGCCGGGGAGAGTATTTTCTTTATCCAATCATCCCTTGCTGGACATAGGTTGATTCTCTGACTTTGCTGTTGTGAATAGTGCTGTGATAAACATAATGAGTACAGGTGTCTTTTTCATATAATGGTTTCTTTTCCTTTGGGTAGATACCTAATAGTAGGATTGCTGGATTGAATGGTAGTTCTATTTTTAGGTCATTGAGAAATTTCCATACTGTATTCCATAAAGATTGTACTAATTTACATTCCCACCAAAAATGTATAAGCATTCCCTTTTCTCCAAAGCATTCCCTTTTGACTTTTTATTAGTAGCCATTCTGATTGGTGTAAGATGGTATCTCATTGCAGTTTTGTAATTCTCTGCTTTGTAGATTTCCCTGCTTTGGAAAGTATGGCCATGACAATTTAATTATTTTTTTAACCATTAAACAGCCGCACTTCCCCCCACCCAAGTCTCCTACTACCCTTCACAGCCTCTGGTAACCATCCTTCTACTGTGTTCATGAGTTCAATTGTTTTTATTTTTAACTCCACAAATAAGTGAGAACATGTGAAGTTTGTCTTTCAGTGCCTGGCTTATTTCACTTAACATCATGACCTCCGTTTCCTTCCATGTTGCTGCAAATGATAGGATCTCATTCTTTTTTATGACTGAATAGTGCTTCATTGCCTATAAGTACCACATTTTCTTTATCCATTTGTCTGTTGATAGACACTTAGGTTGCTTCCAAATCTTGGCTATTGTGAATAGCGCTGCATTAATCATAGGATTGTTAATCATATGGTATGATCATAGGATTGCTGGATTATATAGTAGCCCAGTTTTTAGTTTTCTGAGGAACCTTCAAATTGTTTTCCATAGCGATTGTACTAATTTACATTCCCACCAACTCTTGTACACTTACAAGGGTTCCCTTTTCACCACATCCTTGCCAGGATTTCTTATTGCCTGACTCTTGGATAAAAGCTGTTTTAATTGGGCTGACATGATATTTCGTTGCAGTTTTGATTTGCATGTCTCTAATGATCAGTTATGTTGAGCACCTTTTCATAAGCCTGTTGGTCATTTGTATGCCTTCTTTTGAGAAATGTCTATTCAAATCTTTTACCCATTTTTAATCAGATTATTAGATTTTTTTCCTATGGAGTTGTTTGAGCTCCTTATGTATTCTGGTTATTAATTCCTTGTTAGATGGGTAATTTGCAAATATTTTCTCCCATTCTGTGAGTTGTCTCTTTACTTTGTGATTTATCCATTCTGTGATTTATCCTATCCTTCAGAAGCTTTTTACCTTGATGTGATCCCATTTGTCTATTTTTTTCTTTGATTGTCTGTGCTTGTGGGATATTATGCAAGAAATTTTTGCCCAGACCGATGTCTTGAAGAATTTCCCCAATGTTTTCTTGGCAGTTGTTTAATAGTTTGAGATATTAGATTTAAATATTTAATCCATTTTGATTTTATTTCTATATGACAAGAGATAGGGGTCTAGTTTCATTCTTCTGCATATGGATATCCAGTTTTTCCCACACCATTTACTGAAGAGACTATCTTTTCCCCAGTGTATATTCTTGGCACCTTTGTCAAAAGTGAGTTCACTATAGGTGTGTGGATTTGTTTCTGGGTTCTTTATTCTGTTCTATGCCTCTGTTTTTAGTCCATTACCATGCTGTTTTGATTACTATAGCTCTGTAGTATAATTTGAAATTAGATAATGTGATTTTTCCAGTTTTGTTCCTTTTGCTTTGGATGTCCACATGGTGATTCCATATAAATTTTGGGGTTGTTTCTTACATTTTTGTGAAGAATTTCATGGTATTTTGATAGGGATTGCATTAAATTTGCAGATTGCTTTGGGTGGTATAGACATTTTAGCAGTACTGATTTTCCAATCCATGAACATGGAATATCTTTCCCTTTTTGGGTGTCTTCTTCAGTTTCTTTCATCAGTGTTTTCTAGTTTTAATTATAGATATCATTCAATGCTTTGGTTAAGTTAATTCTAGGTATTTAATTTAATTTGTGGCTACTATAGCACAATTGCTTTTTTAAATTACTTTTTCAGATTGTTTTTGGCATATAGAAGAGCACTAATTTTTATATGTTGATTTTGTGTCTTTCAAGTTTACCGAGTTTATCAGTTCTAATAGTTTTTGTTTTTGAGACAGAGTCTCTCTGTCACCTAGGCTGGAGTGCAGTGTTGCAATCTCAGCTCACTATAACCTTCGCCTCCTGGGTTCAAGTGATTCTCCTGCCTCAGCCTCCTGAGTAGCTGGGACTATGGGCACACACCACCATGCCCAGCTAATTTTCGTTGTTGTTGTTAGTAGAGACATGGTTTCACCATGTTGGCCAGTCTGGTCTTGAACTCCTGATGTCAAGTGATCTGCCTGCCTTTACCTCCCAACGTGCTGGGATCCCCAGATATTTTTATGGTTTTTATCATGAAGGATGTTGAATTTTATTAAGTGCTTTTTTCAGCATCTGTTGAAATGATTGTATAGTTTTTGTCCTTTATTCTGTTGATACATGATATATGACATTGATTCATTTGTGTATGTAGAACCATCCTTGC